CCATCTGCATCACATCTTATTATTTCGTTCCTAGATGCCTTGAACATTGCGACAACACAACAAACACACCACCCACCACCCACCACCCTCATAACCCCTCTTTACCACCCAAAAGGAATTGTAAGAGACCTTATCTTTCCACGATTCAAAGCCTCTTCCCTCTTCGATGGATGACATGATCTTTCTCAAGTCCATCATCTTACTCGTTACAGTCCCTCGATAGGGATTAATTACCTAGTACACACACTACTACCCTACCTACCTAGTCATTACTACAAGTCTACCACCAACTCAACTTGTGCATTAAAGTTTTGCTGGCAGAATAAAAAGGTTGGCTTCGGTCGGGTACATCCCCATTCGCTACTAGCACCCTCTAAAAGCCTCTAAACCCTCTAGAGCAACGCACTACTTCCTCACTTGTCGTACCTACCCTACCTAAAAGTTACCACTTTTAACTTTTCGTTACGTTGTACCTGTAACTTGTACTGCTTCCACAATATCCAAGAAGTAAGTGACAATGGACGACAAACCATACATACAGAAATCCGCAGAGATGCGAGAGACTCCCTCACCATCACCATTAGATACAAACATTCCATCACCAACCTCAGATCCAAAATCTTCAACAACAGCATCTAGAAGGACTTACGATACATCATCTAGACCGACCGTTAGGAGATTACAAACAAATCGAACATCTTCTGCAACAAATAGTCCAATAGGATCACGGGAATCCTCACCAGTCCGACCTCAACTAAGGAACACCACCTCTGCCGCTCGCTCAGGTACCCCCTCCAGATCAAGGAAGAATAGCCAAGACATTAGTCCTTCACGATCAACCAGTAACCAGTATCCACCATCTGCGGCTGCGATACAACGAGTATTATCAGCTCAAAAGACTCCTCATTTCAATCACGTTGCATCCGAAGCTTCCATTAGAACACCAATTCCTCAGAAGCCGCTAGTAACGAGTGAAGTAAGAGATGGTCCACGTTGGCCTGTATCCCCGAGAATAAGATCCCCCCCTCCAAGACAGAATAGCTTGTTATCACCACGAAGGACCGAACCAGACTTTCCCGCGATCAATGTGCAAAGAACCTCTCCCGCCGCAGAGCCAAGAGTGGAAGGAAAATCTGCCGCAGATAGTGAACCAGAAGAGAATCTGTTAACACCAGGGATGAGAACACCTGCGAGAGGTGTGAGTGGTGGTAGTTCAACGTTAGAAACCGTTCAAGAGATCAGTCAGCCCAATACTCCATCATTCGAACTCGATGGCGCAATCGATGGAGGTTCTCATGAGAACCCGACTCTACCAACAGGACAAGACCTAATGGATGGCGCATCGGTGGACGTACTCAAGAAGCCGGTGATTATAACAACAAATGAGAGTGGGAGTGAGAGTGGTGGGAAGGGAGACAATAAGATGAAGAACATTACTCCTACGACAAGTCGACCTGGCCCCCCCAAATCATTTAGTGGACCATCAGCCGGGCGAGGGAAACCATCTGGAGAAGGTTCTGTCAAAAATATGACCGTGGAGACGGAGACGGTGAGCTCCATTCCACAAATCGCTCTTGCTACCGGCGCGGGAGGATTAGGAGCCAATGGAAGCTTGCGGGCCAAACAAAGTACCGAGACCATTCGACCTAGGAGGGACAAGAAGAAAAGTCGCAAGGCCCCCTCGGTAGCTTCTGGAACGGGTGAGCAATCAATTTCAAGATCCAGACTGTTACATCATCATTCTACACGATCAATCTCAAGTGCATATTCCGCTCGGTCTCCAGACAAGGCGTGCGGACAAGGACCCTCGCCACGTAAAGGAAGTATGGACTCGACGAGTCCCGAGCGGACGGTATCAGAGAGATCTTCTCGTAGACCCAGTTTAAATTTGTATAGTGCTTCCCTTTTGCTAACTAGACAACGTCCAGCCTCTTCCAAAGCAGATATCTTCGAAGCCAAAGTCGCGAGCGCCGTTGACGAAGCGAATTCCTCCGATTCCGAAGAAACCTTTGTTTACGAATCGAATCCACCAGAACAAGAGAGACCTCGTCGATTTCATTCTCGAACCCCAAGTGCTACTTCCATGGCTAGTCAAATAGATGCAAGAAATGGATTGCGCTCAATGATGGACAACGGTAGTCATAGTGTGGCGATGAAGAAGAGTATGAAGTTCGCAAACTCCTCGTACAACAGTGCACCTCAAGAAATGTCAACGGAAGACGATGGAAAGGGTACATCACGGAGTAATCTAGGCAGAGGGACGGCACATCATCATTTCAGTCGCTGGGGCCGAAATGGAGGCAACGGTCATGCATCTCTCTTCGATAACGAATCACCTTTTCCTAATGCCGCGAAATCGAAGTTTTCAGCACATCCTAGCCGACAAGGCTCGAGACCTACAAGTCCTAGAGTGGTGAACTCGGCGAGAATGTCAAACGCAAATGGCAAGAGGACCTCACCCATCAGTTCGGGATATGATCTTGATGATGCAGCGGACGATGAAAGAACACCACTTATTCCGTCTACAATCCGTTCGGCCCGCTCGAGTCGCATACGTCGTGGGAACGCCCCATCATCAAGACACATTGAACATCAAAGACAAAGCCGCTCATTCTTCGCCCGTTTTGCTGGATGCATGTTCCTATCCTTGTTAATTCTCCTTGTTGTGGCAGGTGCTGTTGTGTTCTTGTTTGCGACAACTCAACCACTAGCGAATGTGAAAGTATTGGCTTTGAAAAATATACTAGCCAGCGAGCAAGATGTGATTATAGATTTACAAGTTATTGCCCAGAATCCAAATCTGGTTGCCGTCACTATCGACTCCATGGATATGGTTATCTTTGCAAAGTCCAAATACGCTGGAACCGATTCTGAATGGTGGACACAGCCTTCTGGGAGGATATCATGGAGACGTGGAACCAAACAAAAACGTGATGATCCAATTGATGATCCACCGGTGGACGATGATCCAAATACCAATCCAAACTTGGAAATTGGACACATTTACGATTTCGAGAGTCCGCTGATATTTGAGGGGTCGCCATTTCAACGTATATCATCTGTATCTGTTGGTGAGATGCGAATACTAAAACCTGGCAACCAGACGGAGCCACGTGGATCGGAACGTTGGGGACGAGTTCTTCAACATGAGTTCGAACTCATCGTCCGAGGTACGCTGAAATACACACTTCCACTTAGCTCGAAAGCCAGAAGTGTAGGAGTAGAGGGTCGGGTCACAGTTAAGCCAAATGCAGCTGATCAAGATCCTGACAATATTCATATCATTGACGGGACTCATCACTTGTTCGATTAGAGGAGTAAATTACTCCACCTTACAGCACGGGTGGTGCAGCAACCACCAAAATATTTCTTTTTTCTATCCTTTGCTTCTGTAAATTGAGCGTCAGTCACATCATAAAAACTCAAGCGAAGGCGCTTTTCATGGGGCACATGGCAGGCAAAGGCGATGAGTAATTTTTTTTTTCATGTTACACACAGGATGGGTATTTCTCATCTCTTTCTTTCGTTGGATTATACAAAACAGAATCACTTGAACTTAGCGCTCTGAATTGATTTCGGGATCATGAACATTCCCGATTTATTGCGATTAAAAGTATTAATCAACGAGTTTCCTTTGTCGAGTACAGTACGACGATTTTTCCTGCTCATCGCACATGAGAAGATATACCTTGCAACTGCGAAAATATCATGTCGACATTTTTTCATCTTTTTTACTATTTGATATGGGAGGGTATGGGGTAGGATTGGCATGGGGTTTTCTTTTGGGAGTGGGGTGATGGGAAGGTTACATTTGTCTTTCTTCTTTTGATTGGGATGGGCGAAAATGAAATGATCATAGATGTTTGTTTGTTCTGTCATTGTGACAAGAAATTCATATAGATGGGATTGGGCTTGGCTTGGCCTTTCTTGCAGAAGAAATGGATGAAAGAAATAACGGCTCTTATGATTGATTACTCTAGAAGAATTCAAGATGGATGGAAAGGCGTTGAGGGACGAGGGGAAGAAGTGGGGAAGAAATGGTGTTGCAGGGTTGAAAGGGATTGAATGGTGGAGTGATGAAAGAAGGATGGATGAAGGAATTTGTACAAATGATATGCATGAAATGCTTGGTAGCTGGTAACTGACTGGTAACTGGAAGGGAAAGGAAACTCTTCGATTATTGGAAGTTTACCACCCTTGGTCAGACCATATGGATGTGGAAGGATGGATGGATGGATGGATGGATGGATGGGAAGTGGGAGGCAGAGGAGAGAGTGTGCGGGGAAGGGAAGGGATGTGTACTGTATAGTACGTAGCGGAATGAAAAAGATATCAAATCAGAAATAGGAGAAAATCTTGAATTGAGTTGATTTGGTTTGGTTTGGATGGGTTTCGGTGGGTTGAGTATATGATTTATTGATTAAGTGGTATGTGTGTATGTACATGTATGTGTATTCATCCTCCTAACTCAGATCTCGAATAACATTTACGGAGTGAGTACATTATACAGCAGGGCTAGCTAGCAGCTAGTAGCTACTATTATCATTATCATTATCATTATCTTTGGAGTCTTAACTCTATATCCTAGCTTTCACTCGGTCGGTTAGTCAGGAGGTTAGTCAATCAGTCAGGAGCTTTTTCGAAGCAAGAAGTTTCTTGAGAGGAAGTTTTATAAATGAATATTATAGAATTAATGATTATTATTCTATGTGCGTGTATAGAGTAAAGAAAGTGCTTTCTTTGCTTGTGCTTGTGCTCAAGCGAGCTCGATGTCTAGTCTAGATGGCTAGCTAGCTAGCTGGCTGGTGTTTCTCAAGGGTTGTTTGTGGTTTGAACGGACTTTTCTTTTTTTGGTTTTTTTGGTTGGGGGGTTGGTTTTTTATCTCCTTGATATGATAGATGATAGAAAAGAGTGGATTGGAATGGAATAAATTGATTTGGGGTTGTAATGAGGTTCTTGAGTGTGGTTTTCTCGTCTTTTTTCTTAGTTACGAGGGGCCTTTGGAGAGCGGTGTTTGGAATGGTTTGGATGTGGGATTGTGATATTGATGTTGTTGACCACGATGATGAAGAGGAAGAGGAAGAAGAGTCTTTGTGGATTACAGGTTTTTTTGGGGTGTGTTTGTTATATCAATGAATCAGAATAGGAACGAGATTTATTGTAGAAAAGTAGCAGTAGTATAAGTACCACCCCACTCTTTGATCCCGAACTGCAATGCAAGGAATTCCATGAGGGATGGAGAAAAATGTGTAAGCTTATTTGTACGAGAAGCTTCGGTGTTCTTAAAGATGGGGCTTGATTTCAATGTAATATTTGCATTGGATAGAAGCTATGAGCTGGATTTTCTTAGGCCGGGTTGTCTTTGTATGAGGTTAATGGGATGATTTGATGATTGGGATCATGATTATATATTTATCTATATCCCATAATTTGAGATATGGATTTTGGGTGCAAGTTTTTAAATCAGCTAGTCATTCGTGAAGACCTCATTTACCTACTTCATCAAGATTACTCAAATCCAAAGTTAAGAAGATAGATAGATATGTCTTCCCAAGACGGCATAATGGATATCGATGATGAGGATTCTGTTCCTGAGCACCTGGAAAATAAAGATACAATGCTCAAACTCGAATTCATCGATGATTTGAAAAAATTGGGTATTAATGAGCTGGTTAATCTTCCGCAGGTATATATGTTCGCTTATTTATTATTGCAATATCCATACCCCAATCCATTCAACCATCCAACCAACTCCCCACAAACAGCCAAAGATCAAACTAACAAACCCAAAAAAAAAACAGCTCGTCGTAATAGGCGATCAAAGTTCGGGCAAAAGTTCCGTTCTCCAAGCCATAACGCAACTTCTCTTCCCCGTAGACGACGGTCTCTGTACTCGGTTCCCGACCGAGGTTTCCCTGCAACGAGCAGCGGATTTGGCGCTCGAGATTAGTATTGCGAAACCCGTGCGTGCGTTTGATGCGCTGGTTCAGCCGGTTTCGTTTAAGAGGTGGTTGGAGAAACAGGCGCTGCGTATTGAGGAGTTTAATGCGAGGTGGACAGGGCAGGATGCGCATATGGTGGAGTTTGGTGATATTATTACGCAGGTGGGTGGGTTTGTTTTTGTTGGCCTTTGCAATTGTTGTGGTTGAGCGTTGAGACTAATATCTTGATAGGCAAGAGTAGCAATCATGGGAGATTCCATTGAACCGAGTAAAGCTATCACGGCGCAAAACAGGAAAAACGTACTCAGTGATGCGACTCTGAAAATTGTGAAGAAGGGTCCGGGTGAAATCAATATTACAATTATTGATATACCTGGTTTGGTTTCACGTAAGTCTTTGCGATATATTCATGGTTGATCGACTTTCTAACACTTTCAGCAAATCATACCGCCAATAAAATGGCTAAATCATTGGTGGATCGTTACATAAATAATCCCAGAAGTATTGTTCTGTAAGTCAAGCAGAAAGGAAGTTGTAAAGTTTGACTAATATCCTCAAGGGCTGTTGCACATCCTGCAAATGTGGAAACTCAAGATATTTTCGAACTTATTGCAAAGATTGATGGGTGGAAAGATCGTGTCATTGGTGTTATTACTAAGTGTGATAAGATAGAAGTAGATGGGGATGATTGGGTTTGTATTTTTTATGGCTGTCACTTCTATCGTGCCTATATACTGATAAAGAGACAATGACAGGTTTACAGAGCCATCAAGAACGAAGAGTCTGATCTTAATTTCAATAGGTGTCTCAAATACGGCTGGTTTGCATTGCGGAATCTTTCTCCCGCAGAAAGAAAAGCTAAGCTCAGTAGCAATGATCGAGATATGAAGGAAGCAGCATTATTCCGTCAAAAAGCCTGGACAGATCTCAAATGTCCCCAAAAACTCGGCATCAAGAATCTCAAAGATGCTTTGACGATAATGCATAATGAAAATGTCACACGAAGTATTCCACAACTCATTCCCGAAATTGAAAAACGTCTACAAGCTGCTGAGGCGCGGATTAAAGGATTAGGTCTGCCACGAACCACACCGGAGAGTCAGATGAATTGTCTCGTCAATCTTGCCACGAAGTATTCTCTTCACGCAGCTGATGCTATCGATGGACATAATGATCGTTTACCCGTCAGTTGCGCAGAAGTAAAGATTCGAAAAATCGTCCGTGATGCTCTCAATGATTTTAGGGATAAGATGATTGCGGTGTATGAAGAACGATTCAATTTCAATCGTCCAGCATTTTCTCTAGAATCAGAGGAAGAACGAACATGGGAAAGATCAATACTTAAAAACAAGTACTTATCTGAAATCGCCAATTGCATCAACGATAATCGTGGCATGGAAATGGCAGATGAAGTTAACACAGCCGTATTACGCAGTCTCTGGTGCGGAATAACACCAGATTGGAGAGAACAAACGCAAAAACTCATCGAGCATCTAATCAAAGCAATAGGTAAATCAGTAGAATTCCTACTCCGAGCAATCTGCGACGAAGAATCCCTCCGTCTCAACATTCAAAGCCTCCTCGAAGAAGACAAAAAAAAAATCCAAAGCGACGCGCTTCGCGAACTGGAACATCTTCTCAACGACGAAAAATCCGGCCTAATCGTCACGCTCGGCAAATGGAACGTGCGGCGGCTGCAAGAATTACGCAGCGGACGAATCGATTTCATGGTTGCGAGATTAGAGGCGCTTAAAACGAGGGATAGGGGGGTTGTGCGTATGCTGGTACAAACGTGGTTTGGACATCATGCGAAGATTGAGGCGATTTTTACAACTCATGATAAATTGGCTAGTTATTATGAGATTGGGATGGTGAGGTTCGTGGATAATGTTTGTCATCAGGTTTGTGAAAGGCATCTTTTGGGGGGGAAGAGTCCGTTGAGGACTTTTGCGCCGGATGTGATTACGAGGAGGTTTCAGGGGGTGAGTTTTATTTGGGTTGTTTTTCTTTCTCTCATCCCTCATCCCCCATCTCCATTCCCATTGCTATATACACCTCTGCACATGCAAACCTTACTTCTCCCTACCAAAAAAAATCACCATCACCATCACCAACCCAAAATACCCTTAAACAAACCCTCTACAAAAGCAACTCAACTCAACTCAACTCAACTCAACTCAAATACAAACAAACAAAAAAACTAACTAACCAAAACCAACCCCCCACAGAACGAAGAAGCACTACGAAAAATCGCAGGAGAAACTAATCAACAACTAGCTGATCGCGATAAATTGAGACAGGAAAAGGAATTGTTGAATCAGGCTATGATTAAGGCGAAGGAGTATAGGGTTAATTTGGGGGTGCAGGGGTTGGGGTTGTGAGGGGTTGGGGAGGGAGGAATGTGTGGATGATTGATGGATGGATGGATGGATGGATGGATGGGGGAAAGTCATAAATAAAAGATAGGTTTCAGAGGTGGGAAATGTGATGGCATGAGAATGGGAATGGGAATGAGAATGAAAATAAACGCGATAATTTTGAATAGGGGGTAACCTTAAGCGAAGTTAAAGTATTCTTACCAGTTAATCAGCCTCATCAAAAACCTTGTAAATCTATAAGGTGAATTTGAAAATGTTCATTTACTTGTTTTTATTTTATACTTATATATATAGATATTAAAATTAATGAAATTGAAAAATAAAATTTATTTTAAATTATTATATGTTAAAAGGAATGACCTTACACAGGGAATAGTGGGAAGCTGACTGTTACGTTGCAACATTATAACTATTATCACGTGTTATAGGATCACATGAATAGTCTTGTGAGGGAGCGAGGGAGCGAAGGAGCGAGATTCGAATCTCGCTCCCCAGCTCCATCGCTCCAATGTTGGAATACGAAGGTCTATATAATCAAGATGGATTCCCTTTGTATAGAGCTTCGTGCTCAAGATCAAGATCAATCATTTAGTATACTCTACTATTAGTTACGAATTGCATCATTGTCATTACTTTAAGTCCCTGCTTGACGCCTAGTTATAAATGTTGACCTCCTGGGATCTTGGCAGCATATGCATATATATTGCATGATGCATATAAGGAGCAAACAAAACTCAACTTTTAATTCATTCTTTCCTTTTTGGTATATTGTTTGTGTTACGTGACGGTTGTTATCTCACTAGTGGCTCACGTGCACTAGCCCTGTATATAAAGACCTTCTTACTTAGAATCTTCTTAGTTCTTTAGTTTTAGATTCTAAGTGATTGAATTGACTCCGTTTACGACTTTTCCGTCACAGTTTGTTTGCTTTCAATATTTTGATTTCAAAGCACTTTAATTCCGAAGGCTGAATACCTAACCCTATTCCTTTATTTTTTGAATATATACTCGCAGCTTAACTGCTTAGCTAGTGAAAAAATTCAATCTGATGCTCTTTCTGGTCTCAAGAAACCCAATAATAAACCACCTCGAGAGCCTAGAGCACTTCCACGTGATCTAGACGGCAAACCTTGTAACACTGACAGGGCAGAACTGAGGCTATATTGGGCTTTTATATGAATCACACATTGTCTCTATTCTACAGAGAGCTTCTCAATCTAGTCCTAATAGGACTAGTGCCTTGTGCACGTGCTACGCAGGAACCATTCACTTTAACATAAATATTAATTTTTGATATTTTTGATATTTTCAAAAGAGAGAAAGTACCCCGAAAAGAAAATACTAGACTGAAAGTTTTAATCAATTCTTATAATAAGAAAGATCTCTAACAATAATAAAAGAATTATATAATCAACCCCGCAAAAATATCAATCAATAAAGAAATAAGGTTACTGTAACGATACTATACTGGAGGCAGCGGCTGCCAAGGTTTCGTCTGGTTGGTAGTTGTGGGTTAAGGCTTTATCACTGGTCTTCACTTGGAAGTGAAGTCGTTACTAGATCAAGTAGAATGTAGGTAAACTAATTGATAACTAAGTTGAGCACAAAGCTCCTTAACTACGAGACTAAATGAATGTTTATATACCCTATATCATCTTTTGAGGACCTTTGGGACCCTAAGGTCCAAAAGGTCCTCGAGGTCACGTGAATTAATGAATCGTGACAGTTACTAGATCAGAAATACATATCTCATACACAACCTCATTCATACTTTATATTAAGATCTTACAATCAGGATATTTCCTCCGCCTCATCCTCATCTTCATTCTCTTTATCCTCCTCTCTTCCTCCCCTCTTCCTCCCCTCTTCCTCCCCTCCTCTCCTCCTCTCCTTCGCCCCCTACCGCATACACTTTGATTACTTCCATAAATAAATCTTACAATTGTTAACTACAAACTACAAACTACAAATCATCAACTATAAACAAAACTTAAATATAAGACACCCTTCCCTAGAAACTCCCAAAAGACAAAAACACTACATGAATGACATTGCAATGCAAAGATACAAAAACCCACCATACTCACTCCTCTCTTAAATTTTCGAATTTTTAATCACTAGATTACCCAATCAAAAAGAGATAGATAATAATATCAGGACTTTCTCGTTCTACATTCTACATTCCATATTCCGTATATGGATGTGGATTGTACTCCGTATTTTTCATTCCAGAGGTAGAGGTTGGAATTTTCGTAGTGTATGTAATGTTTACTGATTTAAATGTTAATGTTATTAACCCAGTGATGAATAGATGGGTGATGTGATGTATTTCGTGATTAATGATTGAGATGAATAAATAGATAAAAAGAAAGGATAAAACCCCTCCAGTATTTTCGCTTTAAAATAAATTTAGATTTTTGAAGAGAACAGTAGAGGTCCTATCTAAAATTTGATATATTCATTATTTATTCATTCATTAGCTTTTAATGATATCAAAATGTCATTAACCTCAACGTTTCCGATGATTCAATATCAAAGTACATCATCAAATTTTGCATCATCATCAACTTCATTACAAGATCTCATTTACTACTATCCTACCTACCTAGATACCCCATATCCCACATCAACAGCGAATAATTTCCACCCACCTCCACCTCTTACCAAACCGATCGGTACCGGTACTCATCCGAATAATCTGAGACAAGACTGGTAAATAAGAAAGCAAGCAAGCAATCTGATGATGATGATGATGCGCCGATAAGGTTAATTCCTATCGATTGTAGATTATAGATTGCGGATTATCGACGATACGATACGATAGATATAATGGAGAAAAAGATTTGCATATAGTACCTATACTAGGTAACCTTAAATGAGGAGCCGAAATGAATGAAAATCTAGTTTTACCAGTGTTCGTTCCTAAGGACCTTGCTATAACTATAACTACTAGGTATAACTACTAGGTATACTCCGTAAATCTTTGTATGGAGTTTTAAATTCTTGGAATGAATGGAATGATAGAATAAGGGAAGAAATAAATGAATTGATATGATATGATGGGTAGGAGAAAAGTCTAGTCTGTTAGGGATTGATTGACTGATTGATAGATTCGTAAATTGAAATTGGGATCAAGATGAATTCAATGCGGCTCGATCATACATAGATGAACCAAGTTACTTTTTCGCTTCATATACTGAGTATTGGTAGGTAGATAACTACTGTAACTCATAAGGTACTCATTCATCTATTCATAATAAATAAATAAATAAATCTTCTTACCTTACCCCATACAAGCTTACACTCACTTACTTACTCACTAGAGTAAAGATAAACCTCTCTTCCCAACCTCCTCATTCATAGCTCAACTCAACCCAAGTTACGGAGTACCGTACCCAACCCCTATTTTATGAATATCTCCTCCATAATCCATCCATCCCAAGAATCCCATCCTGAATTTTGTGGAGAGGTGGCAGGCGGGTCTTTCCCTACGCGGAGTCGATGAAGTTGACTTGGATTACGGAGATCGGAGGAGAAATACTAAAGCGGGATAATTAGATGATCTTTTTATCGATTTTGGTGTTTTGGCAAGGTACCTACCCACCTAGTCGTAATGTTATTTTCCATTTTTGAATTTAAATTCGAGCTTTGATATTGCTTATATACTGCGTAATGTTTGTTTGTTTGTTTATTTGTTTTGATGTAAATATTAATTAAACACGTCGAACGGATTGGGAATCAAAGTAAACAAAGACTTTTCATTCATATGAGTTTTTTGCTGTAAAGGTTATGAAGTTGGAAAGTGCTGGGTCCATGTACTTATTAGTTTTAAGAAGTCTCTTCTCTTTCGTTCAGTAGGTATCTATGGCGAGCATAACATAGCATGACATAGCATGAAATGAATCCTTGGGAAAAGTACAATGATGCTCGTGATGCATGCCCAAAATATACGTGGCACGAGAAGGAGCGCGTAAGGTAAATTGAAATTCTTTCTTTACAGCGTCTATGCATGGAGGGGAACAAGAAGTTTGATTGTTGTCAGTATCGTGAATACCATCCATGTTCTTGGCTGTGTTGGAACAGATGGGGTTTATTCTTAGGACACGGAGTATTTGGCAGGAAAATTGGAGTTTCAAAAGTTTTACTGGATCAATTTTGTCGGTGCTGTCTAGCTGTCCAGTCAATGTGCATATTATTGATCGAGGGCTGCTTGGGGTTGAAGTACTGTGGTCCAAGCGAATGGGTAGGTAGCGTAGCAGCAGGCAGTAGTGAAAAACCCAGATGGATGAGATGAACCAACAAGGTATGGTAAGATCTTACCAACTTCTAATAGAGGGGCTAGAAGAACAATGTAAAATACGGAAGATAGATTTTGATTGGGGAAGAGTCAATCAGTTTTTAATCCAAACTTGCCGCTTTAAATGTTTTCCTGACACGATTTGATAAGACCGTGACTGATCTGTGCTTTACGCGTTTCATTGGTCTAAATTTGTTGATAAGCAAAATAAACAAAAACCAAATCGGAATTAGGAATCATACAGCCCCGGATATGTAGTACTGTAGATATGTAGTATGTACCTAGTAGGTATGTACATGAAAGGACGAATCCCATTTTGAAACTGGCTGCACGCTGTGTACAGAAAAGTTTGAAACGATATAAGACTTGGAAAGCTAAGAAAGAATGTTACATTTGTAAGCAAAGCTAAGAGAAATGGGAGAATTTGTACCTCCTTACATGCCGTTTTGGATAGAAGTTGTAACGGTCGAGATGTTGTAGAACCTCATAATCTTTATCGGTTTTTGGTGTTTTGGTACCTGGGTGTATCACGGAAGGGAATGGATAGATTGGATGAAGACGATGAAAATCATAGAAAATCACAGGTGCCCAGGATCTAGGTGGTCAAAGTTTCTTCATAAATAAAGTGTGGCTAATAATTTATCTATCGATTTTAGGTCATTTTTGGTCTTTCGGCTTGTCTCAAAACGCGTCAAGGTTAAGCGAAAAACAGGTAAAAAGAACGAAAAAGACGCGTTTTTGAGTAAACAACTTTTCTTTCCTGTTTTCCCCCAATAGAATGACAGAGCTACAGAGCTAAACTTGATCTCCCATCACAAACTGCCTAGTATATTATACTATAGGGACCGTGAGATCTTACTTATACTACACTATACTAATACACTACTCATACATTCTAAAGTCTAAAGCAACAAATTCTTTCCGCATATTCCATTTCAAACATTTCAATAATTTACTTTTCCTGGGTAGTTGGCATAACCTGACGAAAACTCGACAATAAGAATAAACGACATTTAATCTCTCCATTTCCAATAATACCGATACCTACCCTACCTACCGACACTTACACATTCCAACCACGAATATTGGCAATACGAAACTGGTTTTCTATCCAAAGAGGGGTTGTTGAGAGAAGAAAGAACAAAAAACATTTCAACGTCGGCATTCAAATAATAGGCATTACCTACCTAGGTACCTCTCTACTAGTATCTTTGCGACAAGTCACTACGATCACTACGCGCCCATTGGTCTTTCCATCTAAAGCACATCCCAACCCCAAATCTCAAATTCAACGGAGACGCCAAAACTTAAAGTCAGGTCCGATCAAAGTCAACTGCGTACGATACGGCATCTGCTGTACATTCGACTTCGAATTCTTTTGGAAAGAGGAAAGAGCCATACTAAACTATACCAAGTATGACGTGAAGACTTTCCTTTCTCTACTTCATCTACAGAGTACATTCATCATCGCGACTGCCTTTTATAATTTACAACGTACCATTTACGAACCAACAATTTCCCAACGACGACCAAATCCGACCCGTATAACTCTCTTCCCTCTGTCTTACGCCACTATCCTCTTCTCCCGACATTCCTCGAATTGTTTCTTTACCTGTACAGTCTACATTCCGGTCGATTTCCAATAAAATACCCATTTTGGACAATACTTGTTGATCATTTCTTTCTCAAGTTATAGTCTATTCAATCGAGCATTCAAAAACAATCTGCGACATAAAGGAACTCTGTATTAGCTGGTCCCATCTCATCCACAACCTTTTCTTTCTATAGATCCGAGGCCTGCGACAAGAACGACGCGACAAATTCCAAAATAGAATCAGGGAGAAAAGTTATTCACTTTCTGTAACGACTACATTTCTTCATGTCGCAAGACTAATAATTTTCGACATCAGCGCCGAGAAAAGAGATCACTCATTTTAAATTGTTAAACCGCGACATTCCAACAAACATCATGTCGTACTCCAATAGTGGCGGGGGCACCCTTACTATGCCATCACCTACACATGTTCACCATGTTGATGTTACCTCAGCAGTGAGATCGCTAAGACGTTCTATATCGCGTTCGCCATCCAAGTTCCGACTGGTCACCAAATCACCTAGCCCATCACCAAAATCCCCGCTGTCGCCATCTCCATTGTCACCATCTAAGCGCGCATCTTCATATCCTGCCTTGTTCGCCGGAACAAGTACACCTCACACACCATCACCACTTGCTGTACCATTTCCTCCAAGCGCAAGATTGGCACTTCGATCCTCGTCGCGAGCCAAGACTGCCCCTCCTCGACAAGGCACCCGTCTACGAACATCACCTAGAAGTCCTATGAAGCGGGCATTGAGCCAAACAATAGATACTGGTAACGCGACTCCAACACCGCTCGGTTTTATGGGTGGGCAAGAAAATTTTGGAGGTCGCAGTCCTGTCGAGGGAAAGAGCCCGGAGAAGATTCCGAGAATGCAACTTAATTTAGATTCGATTGCGCCGGTCAACCAGGCATTGTCGCGATTAGGTGGCGACGGAGCCAGTGATTGCAATATCTCCAATCCAAGCCCACTGAAGCGCAGCGATACGATCATGAACCTTGATCAGGCAAGCCTCGGAAGTCCAGTCGCAAAGCGTAGAAGTCTTCACGGTTCTGCCAACTTTGGCCAGGACTTCAACGCCTTTGATCCACCACAGGCAGCAGCCCCTCCATCGCAATTTGATATTCATAGTGATTTGAATCACGAATATGAACTATCCGCCACAGTTCTTACTTCTGAAAATACTGCATCTCCTTTCACCTCGACGCCTCGACGTTCCTCCTCTTTGCGCAAATCTACATTACTTCAAAGAAATGGTGAGAAGACTTCCTGGGGTCGAAGACATGCAGCTCAAATTTTAGCTGCGCAACAATCCGCACAACAACAACCTTTTGCCATTGCAAACCAGGACATTGTCAGCCCAAGTAAGCAAAAGAATCGTCCAAGATTGTCGTTGGATCAGTTCGTTGCACCACCAAACCGCGATAGCCCGTTTAGTCCCCAGGGTAACCTTCCAAATGCTTCTATGCACGCGGTCAATCAATCACAACAACCCACACATCAGCCACATCCACTTTCACGTACCATGACAAATTCTTCCTCTAACTCGAGCATCGCCGAGGATTCACCTGTTCAACAAGTTCCCGTTAACTTTGCTGGAAACCAAAAGTCCAAGATTGATTTTTCAAAATCTTTACCTGCCGGAGCTCTAAGACCCTTCAATTTGGATGCTCCTGATGACTTCTCAACTCCCAAGAATTTCAGAGCGGTTAAGCCATTACCTGCTGCGTTCATGTCGACGGGTCTCATCTCAAAGGTCAACAGAAGACCGGAAGAAGTTCAAATGCTTCGTGGAAACACCAAGTCAAATGTTCCAGACACCCCATGTAAGAAGCAGAATAACATTTTCGGTACTTACCCAGCCGCAGTGCCAACTAGCGCCATTGCCAAAGCTAGACAAATCCGGCATTCATTCGGTACCCCATCAACACCTTTCAATCCCCATGGAGCACCAGCCATCGGTACCTTTGGAAAGGGCAATGGCGTATTTGGAAGTAGCTTTGGTCAACCGCGGGGTCTAACTCGACGAGGTAGCTTTCTTAGCATTGATGGAGACGACGTTGGATCGCCGGATTTCAAGACCGACAGTCAAATTAGTGATTTTGATCTCCCACCAACTCCAACGAAGCAAGCCCCAAGCTTTGCTCATTTTCAAAACGGTAGTCCTACGAGTCATCGATCGATTTCGGCCTCAATGTCTGCTGTGGGTGGCTATAACTTAGGAAAGATACCAAGATCAAGCAGTAAGTTGAACCTCTCTACGAGTCCAGGCGAGCAGGAAGAGGAAGACAGCGATACTTCCATCGATATGAGCGACTCTCCTACACCTGCCGCTGCCGGGCTTCCCTTCAGTACTTCTATTTCTGTACCTTCGTTTTCTAGATCCCGAGCTCTGCGGGGTATGCAATCTCCTTCGCCGTTGATGGCTAAATCTCTTACTACATCTTTTTTGAGTCCTTCAAGACATCCTTCAAGAAAGCCCGGTTTTGCTAAAATTAGTCACGTGGCTCCAGCCAGTCCATTGGAGCGTGTAGATTTCATCGAGAGACTGTCACCTTGTACACCTCAAGACAGCATGTTACCACCCGATCCCAGCGGGCTCTCCATCTCTAATCATAAGGATGGTCAAGCTCAACTCGGTGCTAACAGTGCTCCTGTTGCTCCACCTCCAGCTACCCCAACCACTGGTCGAGATTATTTCGGCAAAACCAGCACCACCCCAATCGGAAGCTTCCCACCTCGAGATGTGGATGAGTCCCTCGTATCACGATTCGATCAGGTAGAGATGATTGGAACTGGAGAATTTTCCCAGGTCTACCGAGTTACCCAGAGCTCTCAAAAGGCATCAGCATTCCTCTTTGGTGATTCAGTCGACTCCCCAATGACTGGTAGAACACCACCAACACCCCAGCCACCACGTATCTATGCCGTCAAGAAGTCTAAACAACCATACCAAGGCTACAAGGATAGATCCCGGAAGCTCAAAGAAGTTGAGGTTATTAAGGCACTTGGTCAGGCTGACAACGTGGTTCACTATGTTGACTCTTGGGAAGAGAAGAACTACTTATACATTCAGACCGAGTTTTGTGAAGAAGGCAGTCTCGATATCTTCCTCTATCAAGTTGGTCGAAAGGGAAGAGTAGATGATTTCAGGATCTGGAAGATTTTACTAGAGATTGGACAGGCAAGTTAAGCCCCTCTATGATTATCACAACTTGACTAACATTTGACAGGGCCTTAAACATATCCATGATTCTGGCTTCATTCATCTTGATATTAAACCCGCCAACATCATGATTACTTTTGAAGGTGTCTTAAAAATTGGAGATTTTGGTATGGCAACTTCATGGCCTGCTTCAGATGCAATTGAAGGTGAAGGAGACCGTGAATACATTGGACCAGAGATTCTCCTTGGACATTATGACAAACCAGCAGATGTTTTCGCCCTTGGTATGGTCATATTCGAGATCGCTACCAACGTATACCTTCCCGACAACGGTGTCTCTTGGCAACGACTCAGATCCGGAGACATGAGCGAAGCCCCAAGTCTTACTTGGAGTGAAGCAAGTAGCATGCTCCGTGATGCTAATGGCATACCCATTGTACCAAGTGATGATTCCATGACAAGCGATGATGAATTCGATGCCGACCTTGGTTCACCAATTGCTGCTAGCCGAAAACGATTTACCTCGTCTTCCCAAGTCATTTGCTCATGACGCAAGCAACTTATTCGGTTCTTCTCGACGTGGTGAACTTGAACAAGCTCCAGAATTTATGAGAGACCCTAATCATGAATGTACCCTCGATAAGCTTGTTCGATGGATGATCTCACCACTTCCTCAAGATCGACCTTTGATTCATGAAGTACTTGAAGCAGAAGGCCTTCAATGGGTTAGCAATAGAAGACGTGCTGGAGCCACTGTTTTTGAAGGAAACTGGGGACCAGCAGATGAAGTCCTAGATGATGCTGAGATGATGGATGTTTAAAATCTTTCAAGATTTTGCTGCGAGCATCGCTGTTAACATTATCGCCAAATACTCGCTCGATCCTGGATAGGACTTGAGGAGATTTGGATTCACATCAATTTGAATTTGATCATGTGTTTACGGCGTTGGCAGGATATCAACGGCGTTACCAAGTGATATCTACCTCTACTTTACGACCCACTACCTCTACGATTCACGATTTGCCTTCTCAGCCTAACGACCTTACTTTCTTGTATATATTATTCTTCCAACATGAGTTCCTCACTCATTTTACGCATTCACGAGACCCACAGCATCTAAAGCATACAAAATCAACATAAAAAAGACGAGAGAAAGATAATATTTGGTGGGGATCACTGATCAAGTTATTGAACGATTATCATGTCAAGATTATTATGAAAGAAAAGAGGAAGCAACTTTTTACCTTTTATTTGTGTCTTGTTTTTGCGAGTTGATAGGCTGGTATATGGATTTGTTTACAAATAAAGATAGGTATCTATCCATGCTTGCTATAAGCTTAACCAGATTTTGATTGCTTTGTATTAGCTACGTTTCTTTTTTTTTTTTTCTTTTTCGAAAGCTTTAAGTTTCTTTTGTTCTCTACATACCCTTTTGTTCTCTACAAACCGACGTGCTCAAATATGGGGTGCATAAGGTTAGAAATGTTTTGTTTTTAATAGGGGAGTTGTGAAACGACAAATTCCTAATCATAAGGGAGGATGGGATGGATTGATTGATTGATGGATGGATGGGGAAATATATGAGGTGTTTTATGTTTGTCTTTGTTGAGGCATGGGAATGGGATGGAATGGATTGATTTGATGGAGTTTTCATTTGTTGAATTTCTTTTGTAAAAGGTGAAGATGAATATGCGTGTGGGAGAGATGGGTGGGTGAAGAAGATTGAGTGGATTATGAATGATGGGTGGTAGTGGTGGATGATTGTAGATATAGAGATCCTTGAATTGTGGATGGATGGGCACTTGCTTATTTGCTTGTTTGCTAGACAGTCTAGAGAGATTCAGAGACACAATACTCTTGCTTGTAGCTAGCTGGCTGTGATAGCTAAGATTCTGGACTGATTGAAGAGAATGAATAAGAATAAGAATAAATGATGTCGAGTATTGTATACAGTGATTTTGAACTTGGAATATAAATATAAGAATTCTAGAATTTACTCACCGAGTCCGCTATCCTAGATTCTGGTTACTTTCCTTGTCAAAAATAACAAAATTCCAACTCTTAAGTCTAGTACCCCCTTTCTGGACCATCCCTCTTTTGGATCACCTTTTTTGTTACGACGGGCTACACAACTACCAAGACACGTGATCACAAATGATCAATAGTGATCATTAAGGATCACTAAGGATCACGGTATAGGTGATCACTGATGATCATTAAGGATCACTAAGGATCACGGTATAGGTGATCACTGGTGATCATTAAGGATCACTAAGGATCACGATATAGATGATCACTAATGATCATGAAGGATCACTAGTAATCATGGAAGCATGAAGGACTATATAATCAAGATGGATTTCCTTTGTATAGAGCTTCGTGCTCAAGATCAATCATTTAGGATACTCTACTATTAGTTACGAATTGCATATCATCATTGTCATTACTTAAGTCCCTGCTTGACGCCTAGTTATAAACCACCTCGAGAGCCTAGAGCACTTCCACATGATCTAGACGGCAAATCTCGTAACATTTTTATACCAAAAATCGTGATTTTTATTTATTAATTATTCAACAATTACTGAATCGAATCACTTGAAATTATTATTATAATATCTTTATATAATTATAATTCAATTCTAAAAATTTCAGATTTTTCACGATTTTATTGATCGAGAAATTAAAGGTTAAAATTTTGATTTTTGATTTATATAGGTGTCACGAATCATGGTTTGGATTATCTCTCTTCACTTTCTCCTTTAGAATCTGACAATCTGTATCATTTCTGCAGCGACTACATATATATATAACTCCAATACAGAAATAAATCTCTAACTACCTAGTTCTTATATGATCAGGTATTATACTCATGGACCCGAGTGATATTTTTATACGGGGGGCACGTGATTCAGATATTCTAGTATGGTATGGTAGTATTATAGATATCGGTGATTTAGCTGCCGAAAACAAGGGGGATGTGATTCAACTGCGGTTTACAGGGGGGTTCCTTATCGATAAGGAGCCTAGGAATCCTAGGACAAGTGTCCTAGGATAATATGTGTCCTAGGATAATAATCTTAGGACAAACGTTTAGGCAACTACAATGGTACAGGATAAGTGTCCTAGGACTCAGGATGGGCTAGGATAGTATTCGTTTTAGGATAATATGTCCTAGGAGCTAAATTATCCAGGAGACGAATTGTCCCAGGATTAGTGTCCTGAGGCAGATAAAGTATCATGTGATAAAGCCTCTAAAAGCGTAGGCTCCTCAAGGCTCCAGGAAAGGGATCATTATATAGTTAGAATAGTTTCATAGTATGGGAGCTTCGTGCTCAACTTAGTTATCAATTGGTTTACCTACATTCTACTTGATCTAGTAACGACTTCACTTCCAAGTGAATACCAGTGATAAAGCCTTAACCCACAACTACCAACCAGACGAAACCTTAGGCAGCCGCTGCCTCCAGTACAGTATCGTTACATATAAAAACCTAATATTAATGTTACGACGGCTTCTGGCCTCGTATCATATGATTACGTACGAAGGGACCGAAGGAACGATAGGCATGAAAGTCTATATAATCAAGATGGATTTCCTTTGTATAGAGCTTCGTGCTCAAGATCAATCATTTAGGGATACTCTACTATTAGTTACGAATTGCATATCATCATTGTCATTACTTTAAGTCCCTGCTTGACGCCTAGTTATAAACCACCTCGAGAGCCCAGAGCACTTCCACATGATCTAGACGGCAAATCTCGTAACATATAGTATATAATATGATATCATCTATATCTTCTTATTCGGGATAGGATAGGTATGACTTTTTTAATTTGAAGGACAGATAGGATGCTAGTGAGGATATTTATAAAATCGATAGGATATAATTAGCGCCTTTATCCTGAGCCTAGGATAGGATGGGAGATTTGGAACGTTGATTTGGAGAGAAAGTAGATTTAGGTGGTTTGTTAAGATCGTGTCTTTGTATGGGATTCTTATCCACCACGGAAAGACTGACATTAAAGTTCTGTGTTATATATTGAGATTCGACGGGTTGGAATTGGAAGTTCCTTTATTAAGTGGTATTATACTGCGGAGGATAACCAGAAATATTACATCATGAATCCAAATAATGTTCTACCAAGTTGATAGTTGGTTGTATGGATTCTTCGAATTAGATTGATATATGTGGATGAAACGGATTGTATGGGATAATACTAATCTCACACTAGAGAGGTTGGTAGAGCTTTGTGAAGAAATATGGTCGAACCACATGAAATTGCACGTAACACTTGCTTGCCACGATGCTAGAGAATCTTATGAAGGATGCAGGAGTTAGAACCTCTGAACTCAAGATTGGTCTAGAACAAAAATTACACAATGTCTTCTACGCGCCTAATAGCTGCAAGTATGTATACAAAACGCTTCGTCTTTTAGCTCTTATTAGAAATGGTGAAAAAAATATTATATGAAGAAATTGTGTAAAAATTCCGGAATACAAGAAACTAGCAGAACTCTCATGAGAAAGTATGATTGGAATTTATAGAGTGGTTTCTAAGAATCAATTCAGATGAACCCTTGTTGCAAAACATGTACTCGAGTTACCACAGCTAAAAAAAAATGAAAATTTCGCTTGAGATTACCTTATTTGAAAATGAGATTTTTTAATTTTAAGGTGTCTCAGGGATAAATGCGATATTTTGCCTACTTCAGCCCGACTCCACTTTGATGCTGAATATAATTATTTAGGTATGTAGAGATTGAATCTGGTAACTACGCGGATTTATACAGTAGTATACCTGATCGTATAGTAAGCGGTTTTCTGCCATGGGAGAAATTACTCTGTTCGCATTTTGGAGGGGCGTAAAAGTGAAATATGAATTTCTGGCATTACATCATGAACTCCCTGTATGATTGCCTTGGACTGTTCAACTATGGACTACACTTGTAGTTTAGACCGCATACGCTCGATGATCAGCAGAGTGCGAAGTTCCAATACATGAGGAGCAAGAAAATAGATCTGAAACTTCCCAAAGATCGTCTGGTCCAAAGACTTCTGTCTCATCCACAACAGATATAGACCTGAATTTTAAGACAAAATATCCAGCTACGGCTTCTCCGGTTCGTAGTTATGTCATAATACTGTATGGTAAACCACAATGTAAACGAAGACTTCTCCTCCTACTTCCAAATTTTGTAAAAATGATTAACTTTTCCAGAAACTAAATCATAATAATTTCAACACCCCAAAAAATCGCAACAATTAAAACAATATGACTATCTATATAAAGAAATCCAAACCCCATCCATCTCCCAGTTTCAAACAACAAAATATATCCAAACCATTAAGAAACCCGCCATAACTCATTAAATTCTCAAACAAAAATGAAAAATCCAGATCCTTCCCCAAACAACAAAAATATACATTCCAAAAACTATTCAAAAAATCCCGCGAGAAGGATTCACATCCCTTCCATCTTAGAAATATGCCAAGTACGGCAAGTCCCGCCTTTCTTACTTTAAAGGCTCGCGGATGCCAGCTGCAGATAAATGTGCAACAACACTAGCCGCCGGTTTTGATTTCCGCGTTTCCATCCAATGGAGTTGGATGCTTAGAGTCAGATTGCAGGAAGGTAGGTTATCGATCCTTGTTGTTTATCTTTGGATTGGAAGATTTCTTGCTACTCTGGTTTATACGATCTGTAACTATGATTGCTAGATATTGATGTATTTTCCGTGTTTCTTTTCTAGTCCTAAAGTCTAGTTTATCTATCTCAGTAATTGAGATTTCATGCTCGTCAAATCGGTGGCTAGATTATTGAAATTAATCACAACCTCTCGAATACCAAACTCCCAGCACATCACTTCTAGAAACCCCTAAAGCAACAAACCATGACCAAAGTCGCAGTCATAGCCAAACCCCGAACCGTGCCCTCGGGCATTATTCATTCTAAAGGAGACTCCATCCAACATCTCACTTCCTTCCCCGTATCACGTGTCTCGCTTACACACTGGCGGCTGGGGCAAGCGGCAAACCCCCATCAAACCCAAGACTCAATCCAACATCAGCACTTAAACTTAAACCAAACTCTATCCTGACAACAACCCACAATAGCCGAGGTCTTTTATGAAAGATGCCTTGCAACCCTGTCCTGCCACGCTGAAATCATCCTGCGTCCCCATAAATCTTTTATTCCCGCTTGAGGTTTTAAAAATCCTTATTTCCACCGTGATGGATGGGGTGTGAAATCTCGGTTGCGAAGTGATTACTAGCTAGGTCTTGCTATACCTCTTTTGATCCTGCAGATGCAAAGCGCAGCGTGGTCTTCTTTCTTTCTATTCCCTTATCTAGCGTTCCTGAAACATGTGGAAAACGTTACAGTACATGGAACCGGGGTCTCCTTTTGTGATGACCAGGGCCAGCGGTTACCCGGTTGGCTTATTCAACTCATTATCTTCCTCTAACCTTGATCATACTTCGCTTGCAATGACAATTCTTCCGTTGCCAAGTTCATCTTTTTGTCTGTTCCTCTGCACCACCGTTCATTGTGATGTTTTTCTTGGATTTCAACCGTTGGATCCAAATACGCTTGTTATGTTAGTATTTTCCCGCGTCTATGATCTGATTTCATTTGACGGACAGAATCGATAATGATTTCCTTAGAACGTGGATTCTTTGATTTTAGGCCAAATGCGCAATAAAGAGGCTTGTTTGGAGGAGTGCGGGCAAAACGGCGGAGCAATTCATGTGGTAATCTGACAGCGCGGATCTCTTCCTTCCAGCTCCATTCTTTGCAGAATGATAAGCCAACCATATCTTTACCTCATAAGACAATTGTGGCGTGTTAAATCATGTTGCAGATGAAGCAAGGCTTTCGGGATTGGCAGGCGCATTCTGTACTTACTGGGCGATTTTATGGTCATGAATCGACCTTGGTATTGGGAATATCCCAGCGAGATATTGGCTGGAAGAAAGGTCTGGACTGTAACTTTAACTCATCAACGGTTGGTAGTAATAACAATTTTGGACATGATCTGTATAAGTACATGTTATGAAAAAAAGCGAGTGGAAGATTCAATCAGCAATCAGGCAGATCTAGGGGTTCGGGCAATTAGTTGCGTGCCAAGATTGAGGTACATACGCACATACAAAGCTTATCATTTAAAAACGAAATAGAAACTCGGAGTCCGGCTCTGTCTTACAGGCAACCATTTCTCCGATAGGGCTCCTCTCCAGATAGGCAACAGCAAAACTTTTCTTGGTGGATTACTTACACAAAATGTCGACGACTAGAAATATATCCTACCTTCAAAGGAACAGCAGCTTCAAGGAACATCATAATAAGTATCCTCGTGATAATGGGTATTGGGGCTCGAGCAGTAAACCCGACTATAATTCACAAACTTACAATTCACGAACGCATAGCCTTTCTCATTGTACATCACCAATATGTACTTCGCCGACAGATACGAATTCCACCGATATCTCTTTCAACATCCACGATGATGCTATTAGCGCATGTATGGAAGAGAGCCGCAATGCCTATAGTAGTCAATATGCCGGTGTCTCTCAAAGTGACATTGCCATCTCCTCAGACTATAATGACTACCTGTGGCAAGATACCTCATATCAGACGTTTACCTGCGATTCAGAATTGATTTATGATGCGAACATTGACCCGAGTCTTTGGCACTGTGGTGCTATGAGCACTGGACCTACTGTTCCACTCCTCGTCATCACACAAGCCCAAAGCATCCTCGACGAGCAAGATTTTAATAGGTGCTGGGATATCCCATCAATGGAAGGAGCATCTATGCTCCTAAGTGAAAATAGCGAAGGAGTTTTCCCATCTTGCATGGCTGACGAGCCTGATATTGCGAGAACGCCTAGTGTCAATTCATTCCGATCGGCCTTTTCGGATTACATAATGGAAAGGCAACCTGCTACCTATTTCTTCGATACGACCGAGTCTATGATGATGAGATCTCAATCCATTGGCGAGGAATCATACCGATCCGAATCAACTTTAGGATCACCTCCACCAGGGGTAATGGAAAAATCATCATCTTGCTCCAAAAGGAAACGAAGGCTCCCAGATAGTGATGACCCGAATCATATAAATCGACGTGGGGATACCGGGAGAAGGAAGTTGGATCGATATTTTTGTACTCGTTGCAATGCTTTCCCCAAAGGTTGGAAGCTACCTGAGGACTTACGAAAGCATAATCAAGCGTATCATACCGAGACGGGATTTTACTGCGCATCGGGAGTGGATGAAAATTGTACCTACTGGAGTTCCCAAGAGTCCAGATATGTCGACCATTTGAAGGCAGAGCATGCTCATTTATGCATCTCTCAGGAGATTATCCGGAAGTATAATGCGGTAAATGGTATCACAGTCGATGGGAACTATATGTGCCGGATACCAGGTTGTAAGAAGGTATATAAAAGGGCAGAGAGAGGCAGGAGAGATAAACATGAAGAAAGGAAGGCAGCACACAATAGCAGCTAGGCAGCGGGAAAGGCGTGGGTCGATTTCATCTGTACTCAACTTACTAAGAGATGAACTAAAAAGGATGGCTTGTGAATGAGAACAAAAATATTGATATGAAAAATGCGATTCGCCTTGTGTGTTAGACAATGAAAATGGAGGTTCTAGTCATGGCATTCGAATAAGTTGAGATGAGGCCAATGCTGTAAAAATTGACACCCCTTGTATCTTGAAAGCAAAGTTTGAATGGCTCACTGAAGAGTCCCCAGATAACTAAATTTAAAAGAAACAGAAAGATCCAATGATAAGTAAATCAAAACATAGCTGCCTGGAATAGATATGAAATATTCGCTGGTTGAAATTTGCAGTCCTGGCGCCTAGCACTATCCATATATTGTGCATCCATGGCCTAATCCGACAGCCACACTGTGCTGCCTGGACTACTCTAAATACCGCCATGGATTAGGTTAACGTGTCCATTGGTCATTTTTCAATTACTGCCTCACAGGTCTAGCTTTATGAACTTAGGTATGTCACTGATAGTGCTCTCTGTTCCTGACCCCCAACCCCACAAGACTCTTCCCTACTATCCACTATTTTGCGCAGTATGAATTCTTTAAGCGGAATTCGGTGCTCAGGGAAAAACTTAGCAGTTCTTATCAACATCAATATCAACACCCTTGACTTGGGTGCTAGTGGTGCAGGCTATTTTGTACTAACATTCATTAATTCATTGACACAAGGGAATTGACACAAGGAAAAGTACAACATCCTGCAACGCATTTCCTGAACTGAACTTCATTTTCAGCAATATCAATAAAATGCCAGCACCAAGTCCTCACGCAAGTAGAGCTGAGACGGCTTCGCAGACAGGGCCAGGTAATGATAGTCGCATGTCTTCTGACAGAACTATCTTTTCAAGATCTAATTGTGGAGAATCAGTCCGTCCGAAGTCACTTCGTGCAGAGACAGCTCGTACAGGATCGGCCGCGCGTAGATAACAAGATCTTAGATCAAGAACGCGGAACTTCAATATCGTCATATCTGCTACCACTATCTTCAGAGAAACACTCCAAAATCCGAGATTCGTAGACGCGAGCATGAACTGAAAACAAACATAATGGCAATTTTAGTAATAATGAGACTGAATGGCGAAGGAGAACCAGAAGAAGGGAAAAAATGACAAATGAGATACTCACAAAGGAGTTGTTCTTCATCATCATCATTATTTTCATATCCATAAAATAGATTCTGCTCGCAGGCTTCGACCCTAATCATCCATGAAATCCAAAGCAATGACTACCACTGAAGCTAAGCTAAGCTTGGTCCCTTATGCATACGAGAATGAAAAAGAAAAGAGGTACTGTAAAGCTCCTACTCGATAAGCTAAAGAATATATCCCGCAGCCTAAAAAACAGACTAGCAGTGAATAAAGAACATCAAGACAAGCCAGTCTTGAATTTGAAGAGTAAAAGTTTTGGAGTGTCTGACCCGGAATGCTAAGATTGAAGGAATGGTAGGTGAGGAGAGAAATAGAACTCCATTTTAGGCGATTTGATGGCAATTTAATTCCAATTTCTGTTTTATATCTCCGACTCTTTAGTATTGCGACTTTTCAGCCTGCTTATTTACAATCTGATAACAACATATTCACTTCCATATTAACCCATGCACTCTCTAGCCCACAGCGTCAGAAACTTATGACCAAAGACAGCGAACAAAGATGTGATTTGTATACTTGACTAGTAACGGCTTGTACAGGTTGAGCTGAGAAAGTAAAATGTTGATTTTGTTGCGAAGCTAAAGGAAAGGCGGCTGTGAAGGTTTTATACTCCGTCAGCACTCTGGAAAGTACTCAATGTGGTGATCAGGCATTATCTAGGTGTACTACCTTTTCCAGAAAGATTATACATCTTATTTTCATCGCCTTTCACGACCCGCGGGCGGGGGTTTACTACTACTTGTCCACTTGAAGTGTCTTCCGTCCGGTCAAATATCACTCCCCAATCACCGTTGCTTAAATTCAAAACATCACCAAAAAGTTTCCTAAAACTGCTCGTTTCTGGAGGAACTTGGGAATATTAAACATACGCCATGCTCGAATCTCGAGGTTATGAGCATTGATACACTTCAGATGCTTGTATTCATGCAATCTAAATAACAATTACACCCATCCTAGCGTATTCCCTTTACTTTTGTTAACTTCTTAGCACGTAACATACTCTCAAAGTAACATGTTGATTTTCCGATAGCGCAGTTTATTGACTAACTTGCAGCCCAAGGAATAGGCTAACCGTATATTGACCTTCATTTTGGTGAAGACTTTCGCGCTGCGGTCGGTTTAGTGACCGAACGATGATCGAGTCCGCTTCATGTATTAGATGAGGAAGAGAGGGAGAATTGATGACAAGTATAGGCAAAATTGTAGACTTTTTTCAAACAATGGGAAGTATAACGTGGAGATCATAAATCTATCTAATCATTGAAAGACTTGCTGTAATGATGGCTATTGCCATGAACGAATGATTATGATAATGAGTCCCAAGGGTCACTTGAACCAAGATACTAAACGATGGCATTCTCTAGTCCCGATTGATGGCTACTGGGGTCCCTAAAAGCGAATATATGGTGTGAGCACATAAAATTCGCAGTAAAAAGTGAGAATGCAAAAGAAGTGGTGGTGGTGTGTTCTGAGATTACAATCCCATCTGGAAATTTCTGACATATTCCTACATTATACGAAATGCTCATTCTGAAAACGAGTTTGCGTATTTTATACACGCAATAAGCAACATAGTGTAGTCTTTCCAGACCCATACCACCCTGCGCTTTTTTGCCAATCCCTCGATATTCCTTCCACAAATAGTTGACCAAAGGTATCGTTCCAAGCATCCGCACCTCCTCATACTCCTCACTCATCCCTCTTTGCCAACTCAATCCTCCTTTGCCTGTTCTCGCGGGCTGCTGTTCTCGTTGGCCCCCATCTAGTCTTCACAGCTTCCAACTTCTCTCTCTCCAAATCTCTCTTCTCCGCTGATGCCTCCGTAATCATACCAATAAATATCGACGAGCAATTGAACTTCTTAGCCAATTGTAATCTTGTCCATTTCTCTGGTTCCTCAGCCCTTAATCTTCTGATCTCTGCCACATCCTTTTCACTCAAATGATGTCTCTCATACTTCAATTGTTTCGGGTTGACTGGAGGTGGTAATCGATGTGAAAAAGCATTAAGTCGTTCTTGGGTGATGGCTAGAAGCTTCCTTCTCTTGTCCTCCTTGGGAAGGAATTTCAGAGGGGTATGGAATACGGATGGAGATGAGGATGGCGGATTGAATACGATGTGATCTTGTAATGCTCCATCCGTTGGCACAAAATTTGGATCGGGTTTGACATTTAAACGTTGCTTGGTGCGTCTGTAAGTGGATTCATGTCGGCGGGCAGAGGCGTTTAAAGACAATAGACACTGAGGTTTTGTGGATAAAATATCGACGACAGGTCTTCGCAGTATTCTGAGATCCATGGCTGTATAGAGCGTGAGAATTGAAGGAGTTGTGGCTTGACTAATGGTAAAACTCAAAAACCTCGTCCCAATTCACAATTTCATCGTCTCGGCCCCAAAAAGACGAATTGAAAATGTTTGCTGACTAATCACACTCTATTTCGTACATATCACATTATCGTCAACAAGGTTTTTCCGGGGTGGGCTTGCGATAAGGTCGATGCGATAAGGCTTTCGTCCCAAGTTCCAAATCATTCGTTTTTTTTTCTTCGTATCGAGGTTTCCAACTTTTTGATTGTCATGGGACTCCATTTCTCGTTTTAAGGAAATTAAAGGTAAATGCTTATTTATGTTGGTGACCGGTGATTCTGTGACTGATTGACCAACAATTCTTCATTTACGTTATTAACAAGGAATATCCAAAATATAATGCATTGAAGCATTGAAGCATTGAAACCAGTATCCTTTCCCCTCTGCTTAAGGGAATCACAAGAAATCATCACCCCTCTTTCTCTGACACTTTTTGCCGCTTTCTGAGCCACCCAATTTTAGGTGAGATCATATTATAGTTACCTAGGTATAATTGAGTCTTACAATGACCTACAATTAACAATTGTCTACATTATGCCTCGGAATTCAATTGTTCTTCTTCTACACAGTACCTGCTCAGTATTTCATTGGAATTTGAATTTGAATACGGATTGATTCTTCTTTGTTGTTATCATTCACCTTTCTCTCTCCGAACAATTTTTATTTTCCATTGTCCGAAAACAAGCTGATGATTCCCAAAAGATAAATAGCCTGCACGCGTAAGTCTGCAACCCTCCAAGGTATTTATTGGTTTGATTAAGGCGCATACGCCAGCGTCCATACGATGTGATGTGATCAAGTTATTAATTTTAACAGCGCATATTTATATATGTTTATCTAACACTTCGCAAATAGTTTACAAGAATTTCGATCCAGTTTACTTTTCCTCGATATCCTAGAAACACATCAGATCTTTTCTATTATATTGTCATCATGAGCGCGTCAGAATCGAGTACTTTACATGCGAATACTCCCGTCCCCACAGGCCAACAATCCATAACCACGTCAAAGGCCCCTCTCTTAGGTGAGGGATTCACAGTACCAACGAACCAAACGTCATCGAAATCCGGTGAAAGTAGTCATGTCGATGTGGATGCAGGTGATGCTGCGAGCGGAACCGCAAAGTCGGGAAAGAGAAGACTATTTGGATTTGGAAGAAAGAAGAACGATGAGAAGGTAAAGGGTAAAAGCAAGGATGACGGAACGCCTGCTGGCAATGCAACATTGATTCGACCTCTCCAGCAGCCGCATACAACAAATTCTCCTCCACGATCAGGTTATCCATACCAGCATCCATCGTCACCGCCAAGTCGAAAACTGTTCTCATCTTCACCGCGTGTAGTGTCACCTGCAGGATCACAAATTTTCGAGCGCGATGTGCAAGAAAGTGCCATTCAACCCAATTCTCCCGCCATTCCATCCCATATACAAACAGAGGATCACATTCCGCCAGTCTTAGATGCCTCGTCCGAAGCTATTACCAACAATGACATTGACCCGGATACGGTGGAAATTGTTACGCACTCTTCTCACCAGCCGGCAGCAATGTCAATGACTGGTATTAGCAGCAGCGAACCTGCATCAATGTGGACAGATGAGTTGGTGGCCCACCCTGACAGGGACGATGCGGCATCCAACTACGGTGCTCTCGACAGTACAGATATCCGGAGATTAAGCTTCATCTCATTTGCAGATGTAGTACAATCAGAACATGCGGAACATGCTGGCAACAGAGACTCAATCTATATTGCGGGACTTAGTGCGTTGTCATCACCAGGTATATCACCTGGTGTGAACCGCTCACCTTCTCCCGTGCGATCACCAGTATCATCATTCGGCTTCGGAACATCCCCCCCGACAAGTAAATCTGCTTCGGTGAAAGGTGTTGAGCTATCACCAGGTCGAAAACAAACTGGTCTTGCTAGTCCAACGTCGCTTCACTCGCCCACGAATGGTGGGGAATTAACTATAGAGACGATGGCACAAGCCGTTAGGAAGACGGCGAGCGGTGATCTTAGCGGCGGCGTTCGCAGTTTACCACTAAGCCCAGTGAGCTCTGATGGTCCTGACACGCCATTCAAGTAAGCTAGTGAGGATCGAGGCTGGATTGATTTGTTAGATGGTGTTTATTATTCTATTATTTCAGCTATATATCCGGGATCTTTTTAAGGGTTGGGACCATTGCTGATGGGGACAAGGAAGGGGCACGGATTGCTGCGTATATGAGATATGAGATACTCGATTGAGCGAATGGCACTGGCGTTCCGGATTAGGATTTGTCTTAGTTCTTTTTTAAACTTCTTCATCATGGTAAATCGATATTTCTATACCTTATGTGCGTGATTGAAATTGGCATCCGTGATATTTCTATATGATGTGCTATGGTAGTTTTGAGACCCACTCATGAACGTTGGGCTCGCTACACAGGATATGTGATGATGATGAATAGACTTGGGATGTTACAACATGCAGCCCATGTAGCCTCTCTTTAGTCATTTGTAAGGATTTGATAGTATATTACGAGGCCGTTCGATTATAGAATATGGATATAGATATAATATGGATATAAATATCATCATAGATATAAATATAGATACTAATATCTATTCATATCGATCTTAGTGATATTTGAATTTACAGATATACTAATAGGTTAATTGATAAAAACAGAATTTTTGTTTCAGGTACCGAGTACAGAGTAGGTTACTTGTTTCTCGAACTGGGTATTGGGAAGATCTGGGAATTGGGAAGGACATTAAGGTTAAGGTTTATTGGTGGAATGATATTTAGAAGGGGACGTTTTAGGGGTGGAATGGAGATAGAAGCGCTGCGGGCCGGCTGCTAGGAAGGGTTTTAGTGAGTTGAGAATTTTGGGCGGGTGCTTTGATATATTTTGTTTGAGTATAACTAGGTACTAGGTAATAATAAATCAATGTTTTATTATCTATTTTTGTTATTTCATAAGACGGTTTATGATATAAAAAGCTATATTGTCTATCTGGTCATTCAGGACCTCGGGAGTTATAATAATATTTAGATCCTCCTACACTACCTGTAACATTTTGATAAGCATACCAAATCAACCGTTGTAATCCTCGGGATATGATTGGTACCAACTATCACAATCCCTTGTTTCCAGAACTTCTCCAAATATACTACTTCTTCTATTATTCCTTTCCTCACCACCGGATTGAGCAAGGATTCTGTATAGTGTATTCGGTACTCTGATACAACCCAAAATAAATAGTCGGTCATCGATTAAAGACTAAGACTAGAGTATCTAGGCCGGGTACTCATTACATCTCAAGTAATCTATCTTCTCCAACGCATCATCCAAGTCGTCTCATCTAAAAGGAGCAAAACATACGAGAAAACTGCACAACTCATACTTGTTAAATAGCCTCTTAACCAAAAGCTCATAGCTTCTTCATCACAACCTGCCACCGACAATCATAGCTCAACACGTTCCTCTTCACTCCTCTCTACTTCCTTACTTCTTCCCTTAATTACCTTTTCTTCCCTCTCCTTTCTATTCATAATCTCCAATCCCATCCCCATTCTTCCAATTCTCTACGTCTGCCTAGTATAGCTGCCCAGTCAATTATCTCCCAACCTTAATCTTCACCTCTGAGGCGACAGCGACTGGCCCGTTGCATCACATCAATTCTCCTCCACTTTAAGGCTCCGGGTCGCCTTATTATACTTTTTTATTACTACCTGAAGCCTGGTTCCTGATCTTGGTCTTGAATAGAACATTCCCCCAACGATACTAGTAAGCTGTCGGCGGACCAGCAACCCTTGAAAGCCCCGGCCTCTATACTCCAAAAGGAAAAATCGACCCGCTAAAGTAGATTCGACGGATACTTGGTCAAACTTGACATATATGGTATATGGCTAGTTATCATGAAGAACTGTCGAAACTCGCGATTGGTATTGGGAAACCATAAGGTGCATTCGAAGCGGGATCAATTCTATCGGTAAAAGGAAAACAAAAGCTTTGTCATTTATTAATCCGAACATTGACGCTACTTTGCGCGGTACAAAGACTGGCAGAAGCTTCAACAATTGCGCACATCTTAGACTTCCCCACGTACGCCACAGCTTGTCTCGAAGATCTTCAGCCCAAATTGTTCGATACGATACCCATGCCACCTTCGACAACTCTGCTTGCATGCTTCCGCACATACCAAGACTCGAATACACGAGCTTATCAAATACTTTAACATTGCCGATGCCGCCAGTTTTTGAGGTTTAGATGGTTGGGCATGGTTTTTTAAAACTTCCATGGGAAGGAATCGTGGGATGAGCATCTTGTCGCCAGGTATGGACGCAAGAGATTATAATGGGATGTCTGGAAGGGAAAACACGGTGCGAGACTGGGGAGAAAATGCGGCGGAGACATTGGCACGACGATTCTCTCCGAGCGAGCCACGACGACCACGGGGTTCTGGCCTGGATAGTACCATTCGCACAGTTACACCCGAACCTGTCGAGGTAACAGACGACAACCTAAGCATATTGGAGACTCCGCCTAGGCTCTTTCCATCTGTGCCGACTTCGCCGCGATCGATACCCGGCGGAGAAAAGCCTAGAGAACGGCGGCAAGGTCTTGTTTTCCATGATTCATGCAGCAGTGATTCTGTTGACAGGCCCGTTCAAAGTACCATGAGCCTTCGATCTCGACCTCGAACATATACTGTAGATGCGACCACACGAAAGAGATCAGGCTCAGGAGGCGCTCCTAGAAATAGGCAGCGGATTGGTTCAATTCATTCTACAAATTCATCATCATTTCATGATCTTGAGCCGCGATCCGATGGTAGCATTGCAGTTGGGTATTTAACTACTTCTAATAGAAATGCATTGACCAAATCAGACTCTCTCAAACAGGAACAGGGTAACGGTAGACGATTGCCGAAAAAACACTCACGGCCAACCTCACCATTTCAGGCATATGTGGATATACCTTCCATCGATTGTCTCCCAGATCCTGTGTCTACTGGAGATGCAAAGAAAATACTGCACCTTATGAAAAATTTACGCGGTCGTATGAGGGGTGAAGTCGAGTATCAAACGGTAGAGCGAGGCCAATGGTATAAGGGTATGTGCTATATTGACAATGTGAAAGGCTCTTTAATGTACGAGGATGATGATAAAGGACCTTTCCATATCGATGTAGCAACCGATCTTCGAGGGTGCAGGGTCAAGCCGATTATGTACTCATTGGAAAGGCAAGTAAGGTGCCTGGAAATATTGAATCCTAATCTCGGCTTAGATCTTCGCCTTCTACCAAAGGATCCTGCTGAGTTCGATCCCTGGTTAGCCGCCATACTACCGTGGCAACAAATCAGGCTGGCGCCTTTTTCTCCAGGCCCACTGAAATCGCCAATAGGCGGACATCATGATGACAGGCGGCCAGGCGTGGATCGGCGCGGTTCCGCGTATAGTAACAAAGACTCAAATATCATCAAAGTAGCCAAGCTACTTCTGTGGGATAAGGGGCCTCCCCTATCTCCTGAGTCTATCATAACTCGGCGTTCAACACGACATCTGCGTAATTCTGGACAGCAGTGGCGTAGGATATCCTGTATACTCCAGGACAATGGCGATCTCAAGATTTTAACAGAGAATGACGCTTTATTGCTTTCAGTTGTTCAACTTCCACAACTGTCTCGAAGCGCAATACAAAAGCTTGACAAGTCCGTACTAGGAGAGGAATATTGCGTTGCAATTTTCCCACAGTACACATCTACTTCTACAGACTTGTCCGTATTTAGACCTATTTATCTAGCATTAGAATCACGCTTGGTATTCGAAGTGTGGCTATGTCTCTTGCGAGCTTTCACAATCCCAGAAATATACGGACATGATACTCCGCAGCAAATAGAAGAGCACGAAAAAAATGAGGAATCTGGTGTACCATATTCTTCTTCAGCTAATGACATGTTTCGGATAGAGAAGTCTCTCAGCATGCGGATTGTGGAAGCTAAGTTTCGGAAACCTGGCACAAAGACAGAGGTACCTCTATATGGCAGAAACTCTGTAAGGCCAGAGCCAGATGGGGTTCTCGGTGACTATTTTGCAGAAGTCATGCTTGACGGTGAGGTTCGCGCCCGCACAATGACAAAACTCGAAACCAGGAATCCATTTTGGCGAGAAGAATGCGAATTCACAGATCTTCCTCCTTATTTACCCAAGCTTTCGATAGTTTTAAAACGCATGGAGACGTCACAACTAACCGTACAAGGATTTCTGTCAAGCTCAAGCACCCCAGTGGCGGACCAACAGGTGGAGATCATCTGTGGGGTTATTGAGATACCGGTTGACAAGCTGGAGCGAGGCAAGGATAATGAGGCATGGTGGCCAATTTTGGATCAAAATCAGGAGCAGGTTGGAGAGATGCTAATGAAAGTGCGACATGACGAAGTCGTAGTACTCCTTGCCAAAGATTATCAACCTATCTCGCAGCTTTTACATAATTTCAATAGCGGGTTGACACTACAGATATCTCAAGTCATACCCAATAATCTCAGACAGTTATCGGAAATACTGATAAATATATTTCAAGTCTCCGGTAACGGATCTGAATGGCTAAAGGCCTTAGTTGAGGATGAAATCGACGGTATTGGAAAAGAAGCGCCAACTAAACGACTCAGATACAGCAGGAGGATCGGCTCCAACGAAGTGTCCTTCACATCATTTGATCGGGAGCAATCCGTTCGAGATATGGGAAAAAGTCTCAATACCGAAGCGAACCTCTTGTTTCGAGGAAACTCTTTACTAACACAGGCCCTTGACTTTCACATGAGACGAGTCGGGAAGGAATATTTGTCTGAAATTCTAGGGGATCAAATTCGTACCATCAACAATATTAATCCTGATTGCGAGGTCGACCCATCTAGAATTGACAATGATAACGCATTCGATAAAAACTGGGAGTCATTAATCGCTTTGACCACTGACGTCTGGAGGTCAATCGCGGATTCTGCAACTCGATGTCCACCAGAACTGCGACAAATCTTCAAATACATCCGCGCTGTTGCTGAGGATAGATATGGAGACTTTCTTCGTACTGTCGCTTATACTAGTGTCTCTGGGTTCATATTCTTACGTTTCTTTTGTCCAGCAATTCTCAATCCAAAATTGTTTGGTCTACTTCCAGATCACCCTCAACAGAAAGCTCAACGAACATTCACATTGATAGCGAAGAGCTTACAGGCCTTAGCAAATTTATCAAGCTTTGGCCAAAAAGAGTCATGGATGGAACCCATGAACAAATTCCTTTACCAGCACCGTCAAGGTGTCAAGGATTTTCTTGATGCTATTTGTGCTATAGCCCCTGATCGCACAAATTTTGCGGTTCCTGCGTCGTATTCTACACCCATCACCATCCTCGCAAGACTACCGCCCACTTCCAGAGAAGGATTTCCCTCTTTACCATATTTAATCGATCATGCAAGAAGCTTTGCCGACTTAGTCAAATTATGGTTAGAAGGAACACAGTCCGCGAGCCAAAGCCTCGAAGGAGATCTCGCTGAGTTCAACGACCTCTGCATAGCACTCAAGAAGCGCACCGACGAATGCATACTTAAAGCCGAAGAATACGGTGAGCGTGTTGCTGATCAAGTTTCTCTTCAATTCGAAGATATCGTTGAAGGTCTCCAGTCAACTCACTTTCAAGAATCTCCTCAAATTCCTCCCGTCCCTCCCATACAGTCTCACTTCCAACCAGAACCAGAACCCGAACATCCTGTCCTCACTCCCCCTTGGCAGGATTACTCCTTGAATAATAGCAACGCCACTAGCATAAATAACACCGTCCAAACACCTCTCCGCGCCCCCGGCTCTGCTGGCAGCGGCAGTGAAAAAACCGGTCCCACTTCTAGTAGCAAGGAAAAAGAAAAGAAAGAGAAACAGAACTTCTGGGAAGCGACGTTTGGGAAGGACTCAAAAAATCAAAGACCTTTTGTACCACCATTGGATAATAGCGTGCAACAGTTGGGCATGCAAGCCACGAGTCCTCCTGGTGATAAAAAGGTATTGGCGGGATTTGGACTTAATAGACAGGAAAAACAAAGTCGGAGTTTTCTGGGGGGTTTAAGGAGGAAGGGGAAACCTGAACCGAAGAGTCAGGGAAGTGGAAGTAGTAATGATGGGGGTTATATAATGGCGCCAACGATTTCTGGAGGTCAGGGAATGGGCATTAGTCTTGATACGGGAGGTGGATATGCGAGGGGCCCAGGGGGAGATGGTTTAAGAGACGAGATTGTTTCGCCCACGACGGGAGGTTGGGGACATATGCAACGGGAGGGCCGGGGAGAAGGCGGGATGTTTTAGCATGGGAGAGAGGGTGAATGAAGGTATGAGTGAGATGATCAAGGAGCAAGAGGCAAGATGCGAAGCTAAAGAATGGAAAAGAAGTAAGATTACGTAGGAGAAGATCAAGAAAGAAGCAGAGTGCTTTCTTTTTCTTTTTATGATTACATATATGGGTTTATATGTCGCATTTATATATAATCTATATATAATCTATATATATATAATCTATATATATATATATATACGTGTATGTTTACCTATATAGTTATATCTGTATTTATTTATATTTATGAATATCTATCTATCTATAATTTATATCTATATCTATATCTATATTCATTCATATTCATATTTATAAACCTATGAATTTGATATAATGATCTATTTGTGTTGGAGTAAGTCTAAGATCTTATACATTAAATCGCTAATCAAGTACGGATGATAGATATTCTTTTATATTTTGGTAACTTCTTTCATTCATCGTTCATTTATTTTAATCCACGAGCTATCGAGGAGCTAATCGAATAAGAGCTAAAGTGATATCTACCCTGTGAGCTAAACGCTAGACGCTAAATTCTAGAAGCGCGAAAAATTTGAGTCGAGATGATGTGTATCATGAAAATTAAAAAGTTCCCCAAGCTGAAGCAACGCCGTCCATCATTCATGATATATCATCGCATTTTTTTTTATAACTTTCCCTTTCCATCCTTGCCCAACCATTCCATTCATTCCCTTATTTGCTACCAGACTAAGCAAAAAACTTGCTATAAGCAGCCTTTTCCTTCTTGGCCCTCTCAGCCATACTCTTCTTCAAAGCCGATAGTTCCTTAACCACAGCCGCATCTCCGGGAACCAACTTATTGGCCTCTTCCAAATCCTTTAATGCCTCATCTTCATTCTTGAGTCCTATGTACGCAACAGCGCGGCGGTACAGAGCTTTAGCCTTATCCGTATTCGTGGTACCAGAAACAGCTAGAGCAGCGCTAGCGGTACGTTCGGCGTCGGCGAAGTTCTTGAGTTTATTGTGAAGGAGAGCAGAGTTGCTGTTGAGGGTGAAGCGGATGGCGGAGAGAGAGGAGGAGGTTTCGGGGGGAGAATCGGTCAAGTCTGGGTCTTCGTTGAGGTAGCGAAGACCTTTTTCGTATTTATCAAGGGCGAGAGGTAGTTGGTTGGCCTTGAAGGCGGTGTTTCCGTATGTCTTGAGGTCGGTTGCGATTTTGACGATTTCGGAGGCGGTTGGAGGGGTAGTCATATCTTCTGGAAAATCTTTTTCGTGGGAAAATTCTAGGTTAACCAATACTCCAAATGATCAAACAACAATACGAAATATATAAAGATGGAAGGAAAGATTGAAACAAAAGCTGGATATATCGAAAGAAAAACTGCAAATATGAGACGGCAAAGGAAGAACAGAATATTCGGAGGCTATGTCGCATATGTATATGTTGACTAGCTCCTAAAACAGTTGAAGAAAGATGATTTAGAGATTGAAGTACCTTCATAAATGTCGCCAGTGGAATCGGGTATTTTCGCATCGGCAGATTCGGCTTCGTCGCCGGTAAGCTCTCCACAGTCTGTGATGGTAACTTCCTTGTTTGGTTTGTCACCAGCTTGGGTAGGCATATTCTCGACCTTGCGGACGATTGATTTACCGCTGAGGACTTGACCAAAGACAACGTGCTTGCCATCAAGATGGGGAGTTGGTACAGTTGTAATGAAGAATTGACTTCCGTTGGTTCCTGCGGAAGTATTTGTTAGTCTCATGACGTACTGCTTAATCGAAGAGCTCAAGAAAGGTAATGCAATGTACATACCTGGACCAGCATTTGCCATTGAAAGCAAGAATGGTCTATCGTGCTTCTCAATGAAGTTCTCGTCATCGAATTTGACGCCATAGATACTCTCTCCACCAGTTCCATTGCCAGCTGTGAAATCACCACCTTGAATCATGAATTGCTTGATCACACGATGGAAACCAGAACCTTTGTAAGAAAGAGGTTTGCCTGCTTTGCCAACACCCTTCTCACCAGTGCAAAGGGCTCGAAAGTTTTCTGCGGTCTTGGGAGTAATGTCATCGTACAATTCAAAAGTGATTCGTCCTTGAGGAACTGCTCCAATGGAAATATCGAAGAAAACTCGACTGCGGGGTTTGGAATCTGCGGCAGACATTTTGTTGCTGGGAATACCTTTTGGCGATTGCGAGAGTAAGTCTAAGGGAGAATTGAATGGGAAGTGGAATGATAGATCGTACGCAAAACGAAGGAAGCTTTACAAGTTATAGAAATTGGTCGTTTGATTGCTTTTTTCAAATTATTTCAGCCTTCTTATGAGTAGAAGCTTCGAGATGGAGAGTTGGAATGTGGGGGTCGGTGTTTGTGGCTTCCGACATGGAGCTTTACCTAAAATGGAAAACGAGGCTATTCACGTGAGAAATTCACCTCTTCGGAAGGAGCCCTGGGACGTTCTGTCATAGTATCTACTGAGTACCTGTACTATGGTCTATTGAATATCTTTGTCTTGTAGTATTGAATATCTCTTTGCGAAATGGCACTGGGTAGCGCTGGCCATATTGCTGGCCTTGCGCTTGGGGCTTCAATAGAGGTGACTCGCCCAAAGACCAGAGTAAGAGAATGAATGGTCCGCGATACGCCGAATTGTTCATTTCATGCCTTCTTTTCATTTGACCTGGTTGACATTTCCAGTGTTACCTTACAACAATATGTTAGTATAGAAATATACACTCAAACTCAGGGGGGTTAAAGAGGACATACTGGGCCATCATTCACCAGAGCCACTTCCTGTCAATCAAACATTTCATTAGCAGATGACCTAAAAAAAGAAGATTCTAAAATGTGGTGTGACCTACCATCATTGCCTGGAACACGCCATCTTTGACTCTTTCTGACTTATAACCTTGTTGAACTTTTTCCACGAAAAGTTGATACAATTGCTTAGCCTCTTCCCCTCCCATAGCTCCGTGGAAGTCTGGCTTTGAGCCTTTCTTCGTTGAGGCAAGCAATGTAAATTGTGAGACTGGTACCAGAGAGGCAGGCGTCAGTTTGTGAGACTTCCGTGTACAATGGTGGTATTTAATTCATTGTCTTCACGTACCACAGAGAACTTCCCCTTGGATATCTTGTACACTTTGTTTCCACTATGGAATATATTAGGACTGTTGTAAATTGAAAACATTAACTGAACAGCAAGGTGCTGACGAGTCAATGCCTGATATACATTGACAGAGAATGATTCTTCAAGATGCAGTAACTAAAGAGACTCCTCTTTCATACCCTACCGCCATTTTCATCATCCCATAATCTCATCTTGAGGACCTTTGCTGCCAATGATTCTGCGTCTTTCTCTGTATCACCAGGGGCCACAGCAGCAAATACTAATATGCCTTTCCCAATTGAAGATATCAGCTGCTTGTCTACCGTTACAGAAGCGGATAGGACACGTTGAAGTATAGCTAAAATGAATCTGGTAAGTATAACGTTCGGGGTAGGAAAAGAAGAGAGGGGTAAAGCTAGGAATGGTACCCTTCATGATTACTACCTAGTGGGCAGATGACTTGGACTGAATAGACCCTTTTGATATCTTAACCAGAGTAAAAGTCTGCTTTTCCCGAAGAATGCTATGTAGATCGAAGTCGAACACCAACGCTGGTCTGATCGTCCATAAAAGCTTAATCTTCAAGGTTTATGATAGTTTTTAGATGTGAGAAAAAGGTCAATGTTCCTAGACAGTAGTAGGTTCCATGATGCAATCCCCACTTGAGCATTTCATCAACATAAACAATATCAACAACAATATTACCTACTGCATGATGTGATTCCGAGGACGTTGAGATATTTTTAATTCGTTGTGAAACATTATGAATCATTGTGAATATACTAAATCACATCACATCATATTATATCAAGATCAGAACATAGTATGATTGCGAATAGAATCAATTTCCAAAATAACAATATAACTTGAGAATTTTGCATGGCATTCTTTATTTTGAACTTTATCCTCCCCCTCTCGTAAACATTTCCCCACGTTCTTCTAAGGCTGCAGCTCGTGCAGGTAAGGTGCAAGCAAGCGAGGCTTCTTCCCGCAATCTCACCCAAGCACCATAAGTCGCAACTTGGAATCCCAATCCAAAATTCAGCGACAAGTTCTCAAATCTCCCACCCACTTCCCATATTCAACCAAAGTAAGTTTTCACTTGGTATCAAGGTGATCTCTAGATTCCTTGTACTACCACCTTTTTCACAAAAGGCTCAAACCAGACATCTATATTACGCATGGGGTCGAATATTTGTCAAACAAAGCTAGCCCCTTGTACACAACAGCAATCACCAAACACCAACCCATCGATACATTTCTCCGTACCCCTCATAATTACACGATGGCGGCACGAAAACTTCAACAAGAAGTCGACAAGTGCTTCAAAAAAGTCACCGAAGGAGTGGCAGAATTCGAATCAATCTATGAAAAGATAGAACAGTGCACAAATGCTGCGCAGAAGGAGAAGCTGGAGGACAACCTCAAACGAGAGATCAAAAAGCTGCAAAGGCTCCGTGATCAGATCAAGACATGGGCGGCAAGTAATGACATAAAGGATAAGGGTCCTCTGTTAGATCATCGGAAATTGATTGAAACGGTAGGGCATCTGTTTACTTTACTGTGGGGTGAGCTAAACTGTTGCAGCAAATGGAGAAGTTCAAAGCAGTAGAGAAAGCCATGAAGACAAAGGCATATTCGAAAGAAGGGTTGTCGGCGGCTGCCAAACTAGATCCTAAAGAGCGCGCGAAAATGGAAACGGGAGAATTCTTGGGAAATATGGTAGAGGAGCTTGAGCGCCAGATCGAGACAATGGAAGCCGAACGCGAATCGATATCAGCGACAATGAAGAAGGGGAAAACCCAAAGTGCCAAGGCTGATAGGATAGCAGAGCTAGATAATCTGACTGAACGGCATAAATTCCATCAAAATAAGCTGGAACTCATTAAACGCTGTCTGGAGAATGGTAATGTCGAGGTTGATCAGGTTAAAGATCTTGAGGAATCCATCAAGTATTATGTGACCGACAACATGAACGATGACTTCATGGAGGACGAGGAGATGTACGATGAGCTTAACCTTGATGAGGAAGAAGATAACTACGGCATGAATAATGATAATGATCGGGTGTCATCACAAGACACGCAATCGATACAAGAGGACATTCCAGATACGGATCAACGGTCGAATAGTTTACCCGGGAAATCGAAGACGGGTCCCGAACCACCTTTGGCTGCTGCACGGAGACCTTCTACACAACTGAAAAGCCCTCTTCCTTCATTGGCCACTTTACATACTCCATTATCGACGCTATCAACAAATGGAAGTTCAAGTAACCTTATGAAACCAGCTGCGGTACCTACACGTGCCCCTGGGGAGACTCTGAAATATGCCTCAGCAGCGGCCGCAGCTGCCGCTAGTGATAAGAACGGTATTGCGCCTTTGCCACCTCCACCTGAAGCCCTTCCGCCCCCCTCGACGTCAGCCAGCCACCCACCATTATCTGGAAATGCCGGACGAAGACCAAGTGTAACGGCATCTCCCACGACTATACATTCTCAAACAGCCAGTGTCAACCAGACACCCGTGACAAGATCCAGTGTTCCAACTACGGATACACCATCAAGTGCCCAAACGAAATCTCCAGCTTTGAGCCAATCAAGTGCGGCGCCTAGTGGAGCAAGTGTCTCCCATTCAGTTGAAAAAACAGAGAATTCTAAACCAAATGTGTCCTCGACTCCGTCAGGAAAGGCGCCAGCCCTATCTAAGACAGCGGAAGGCAAGAGAGGTTCGTCAAATGCTATCCCATATAAGTCCAGTGCTAACAGTTCTATGCAAGCTGTTCCACCGCAATCAAATGGGGTGTCGAATGGGCTTAAGCCGAGTACACCAGAGAACACGGAATCAGTATATCATCTGCCGTCAGGGTTCCAGGACATGCTTCAATCTTTCGAGGTAATTCAAAAGAGTGCTCCAGACGCTTTATCCACTGCATCACAGAGAATGCTGGCATCATCTCAAGCTAGTGGGCCAGGCATGCAAGACATATCATCTCCTCGAAGCTATAAACCAGAGACCCCTTTTAACACACCATCATATTACCCTCAAGATGTCCCTTCGGTGCTTGATGACCCACGGTTGTATAATCGTATAGATGGGGAAACATTATTCTATGTCTTCTACTACAAGCAAGCCACATATCAACAGTATCTTGCAGCTAAATCCTTAAAGGAACAAAGCTGGCGATTCCATAAGCAATATCAGACTTGGTTTCAAAGGCATGAAGAGCCAAAGGAGATTACTGAGCTGTATGAGCAAGGGACCTACCGTTTCTTTGACTACGAAAGCACATGGTTAGTTTCATCACGATTTGTCCATTTCCCCAACATCGACTAATCAACTATTTATAGGATGAACCGAAGAAAAGCAGACTTTAAGTTTACCTATAAATTCCTAGAGGACGATGTATGAATAATGCTCTGGCGCCTATGGTATCTTTTGGTTGGAGGATAGGTTGGCGCAGTGGGAATTGCTCAACCAGTATCTGGCTAAGCGGAATGACCTTAGTCGGCCTAATAGCAAAACTTTGCTCATCTGATTCCATTCAGATGAAATTCCTTAACTTAAGTGAAAATGTTTTTCCGATAAAAATGTTTGATAATTTTGGTGTGACCGCTGCGAAACTGCCACCGTTCTGGCTCACTGACTATGAGATGCTTATCTTTTGTGTTGTATGAATGGAGATGAACACAATGAGGTTGACATTTATGCCAATTGATGAGTTGCATTCTTCAAGGCGAGCGAAAGGATGAGGTTTCCATAATATCAGGAAACTCGAACCGCCCTCTTGTCTAATTGTTCAGCGAATCGGTTTTCATAGTATCTAAACATGAATAACCCTGATTGGTAGATCTGTACAATGGCCCTTGACAAAATGACCTGCAGACATCATGTACGAAAACGACAACAACTTTTGGGCAGCAGGACTTTTAATGTTTGATACCCAATCTTTAGATCTTGATTCTAATTATAAGAAGCTGTAAGCTCTTCCCATATTTTAATTTTGAAGGATTCATGTTTTTCTTGCATATTCCTTTTTTGCCTTGTCTATCCATACCCAAGTACAACGAGTTTTGGACCCCAAAGAAGGTTCACGGAAGCAAGCAAGAAGGAATCATTGGTTACACTGCTTCTAGAAATGCGACTGAACGGCGAACCACAAATGCCAGACACAAGATTGATTGGATACCAAGACCACAATACGCTCGGTGACGCTTTCCCCCCGGAGCGACAGCTTCTGTCAGTGTCATCTCTACATCTTGATTGTTTCACCACGATAATACTGACACTGAGCAGGTCCAGGTCCAAGTTATTTTGTCTTAGATTCAGAGATACATCAATCATCTCGTAAGAATGGGGCTTTGCATAGGATTCCAATCCCTGACGAAAATGCTTCTCCCTCCTTTTTCACAGAACATGGCACAGCCTTCTCTTCACATGCAACAAGTTCATTGAATGTGGCGGTTCAAGAAAAACACAGAGAAAGCGTTACATCGGCGTCTGTCAGTTATCGTTGACACAAGCTAATGAAAAATGTACAACGCAGGTAAGGCAAAAGGAGGCGGACGCTCAACCCCATTGTTTTGCTCTTGCTGCCTAATGGTACAGTTCCGACTATCTGAAGCCTCAAAATCAAAAATTTGGCCCATTGAAGGAGGAAGTTCGTGTTTACACCAATTCCCCACGCTTCGAGATGCATTTTATTGGAAATGGCGGTCAGCATTTGGATGATGATATAGAAACAAGTTGCCCTGATCAGGTTTGAAAATAGATTTGTTTCTCTCCGACGAGTTTACGATACCCAAAACTCATCGTTACGGTGCCCAATGGTCGACATGGTCAACCAAATGCCAACAATTATTATTTCAAATGCTTTCGAATCTACTACGCCAGATGCCGCATTTCCGATCGAGCTTTCGTTTGTCGACGTTTTGTGTTATATGCCTTGCTGCGCACATAGGGCATCATCGGTCACTGACAACCCAAATGTCTCTTCAGATGCCTTCTCGGCTAGCGGAACAACAATCCCAGTATTATTATCGTCCGCCTCACTGAGGCTTGAGTTGCCCAAAAAAGCAAATACCCTTTTCGAACGTTCGCCCGCTGTGCTTCTGAGCAATAAGGCTCGAGGATATCTGGGGACCTAGCTACATTTTCGACTTTCCATAGTCCAAAAAAATGCTGACATGTTTTCCTGGCGAGTCAAAACTCGAGTAGATTTTGACTCTCGGTGAGTTCATTAAGTTAGACCCCGCCAACTAAGTGTAAGGGGCTTTCTCTTACCTTTCTATGCATATGTATTCAACCAAAGAACACTCTGGAGCCAGTCAAACTTTTGTGGGGCAAGCTTTTAACATAGACACCGCAAGGCTATGGGGCCTCATTGGTAAATAATAAGCTATGTTGATATTAACCTCCATATTATTTTAACAGGTCAAAGGTGATGCATGTGAGTATTTTAGGACTTGCTAAGTAGAAGAACCACTACCAAATATTGAGGATTGAGCAGTTGAAAGCTATGCTCTTAAGAAGCGATATCCTGTCCTGAATATTTCGATACGTCGAGTCAAGATACTTATATCGGTACTTTCAAGCATCACCTTCTTGCCTTCCATACTCCTGTATCAGCATTTCTTTCGTCATTTGCTCAACTATATCAATACTTGGTAAGCAACTTTATCATTCACTGTCGATCTGCTATTTGTAAAGCCCGATGGAGGTGATGTTGGACAGAAGATGATACCTTTCAAGTGAGGTCTAAACTAATGTCACGGAAAAGGGTGCACAGAACCATTTCCAGAACAAACTTCAGTCTACCATGTATTCCCCCTTCTTCAAACAAGACTTGAGGCCAGGGACACCTCTTGGCCAGAATATAATCTGGACCTATCCAACTCCAGCGCCAGCTATGAGAGGGTTGGCGATGAGTCGAAATTATTCTGATCAAAGCTCGATCAGCACACAATCTAGATCTTCTGAGGATTCCTACTTGCCGATTTTCCGCAGCGCATATGCATCTATGTCTTTCGACTTGAACGGCTCCGATTCATCACAACATCATGACGATGGTTATAATCAGGGCTATAACAACTATACAACAGCATCACACAATCTTGAAAGAAGCTTGTCAAGTCATAGCAATTCTATGAAAGCGACACCATCCAGTCTTGGTTGGGCCCCCGAAAGTGAACTCCTAAGGCTCTACAAATTCATTGTACCCAAGGGAAAAGAGCCATATCTAGAATTACTTCAGGGATATCAAATTTGTTTCAATGTGCCACAGAGGGTGTATCTTGATCCACCTAGGTATGTTGATATACAGCGAAAGATTTTGCTAATGCTAATACGTACATAGTAATCCTGAAAAAGGAGTTTATCCCTGCCAATTCCCAAGCGGCTGCCCAGGAAAACAATTCCGTAGACCTGCGGATTTAGAACGTCATTACAGACACGTACACGCGGACGCAGATCAAAAGGGGAGTTTTCCATGCGATTACAAACCATGTACTCGATCCAAGGGCCCCTTTACACGAAAAGATCATTACAGAGATCACCTCAAAGATTTCCACAAAGAAGACATTGGGACGGCTAAACAGCCCAAAAATGCAAAAGATCCAAAGGCAATACAAGCTCTTCAACAAACCTGGCTCGAGGAACGTCAAATTGATCCTAGATGGTGGAGATGTAGACGTTGTCTTCAGAGAGTATATGTGGATACTCATAGTTATAAGTGCATAACATGTAATGAAGAATGCGCTCAAGAAAGAATCGAAGCTCGGGAACAAAAGAAACATGGTATGGGAAAGGAGAGGATGTCATTTTCAGAAAAGAATTTGCCTATGACTTATGCGGCGCAGTGTACAAGTTGTAATGGGAGTATGTGGATTACGGATAGTGATAGTGTATTCGCAGAGGGAAATTCGGTGCCCTGTCCGATTTGTTTGCCTAGTGGAGAAATTGTTTATGAAGACGCGGAATGGGATGGGGATAGATTTGGTACGAGTTATGAAGCTGGGTATTAGCCGTTTTCTTGGGGGATATGGGATATGTTTTCATGATTTGATGGGTTACAGGGAGGGAGTAGTTACTCTTAAACCAAAGACATTGGTTGTGTCGGGTATATTAGGCGTTGGAAGTCGGTCGGCGACGCGACCTTACTAGAGGCGTTAAGTTCTATATAGATGATTGATTGGTTTAGGATTTGGCTTGGGATGGGATGGGATGGTTTTGATAATATATTCTTTTTAATATTTGGTTTTTGTATCATCTTCTCTTTTATTTTTCTCTCTTTGCTTTACTACTTAATCATAATTTCATTTAATTGGAAGTGGAGTTTCCATTTTTGAATTTCCTACTTTTGAGACCGCAGATTGAATTACCGCGCAAATATCTACAGAATTGCTTTTATTTTGAATACTTATTCTTGTTTATTCACCTTTTTTTTCATCTCTCCTCTTTCGTTTTGCCTTTCCTTTTCTCCTTTTTACTAATCTTTAATTCTTTATTACTATCCTGTTATTATAATTTTCCCGCACTCTTTAAATTTTCAGATATCCCACTCCTATTTCTCTTCTCTCCTCACCATCTTATTCTTATTCCTACTATCACATTATTGAAAGTATTCCTCTTTCTAAGTTATTAATAGGCTACGGAAAAGGAGTTCAAGAGAAGCAGAAGCAGAAGTAGAAGCAGAAGTAATCCTAATCTGTCGTGGAGTTTGTACTATTTATTTATCTGGTTCTGATTCTGGTTCTTATTCTGTTTTCGGTTTTGGTTTTCGGTTAAATTGGAATTGGAGTTGGAGTCAGAATTATCTTTCCAATTTCTATTAAATGCATACTAGGTACATGTATGATATATATATTATAGAAGAAGATAGTGTTCTGGTATATAATGATATCAATGATTTCCTCAGATATTCGTAATTTGAGCTGGAGGGGTTAGGGATGGGTTATAGTGGCTGTGTAATTTTATTTATATGTTTTTATTTATATTATATTCTATAAGTTTTTGATTCCTATCCTATTATATATAGAGGAATGTAAGATTAATTAATCAATATATTCAATGTCACGACTCACAAGTTCGTTTCCAAGCTGGGTATATTATGTACTCGAGTAGGGTTTTATTATCACGTAAAGTGTCGATGATTACTAGGCTCCGAGCATTGCCACCTTAATCGCCATAATCTACTCGGAGAGGCTTATAGTACTGTATTGTATGGAAGTGATGTTGGACTTGAATCAATATCTAGTGATCCCATCCCATATGAATGATTTGGAATCGTGGGGGTGGGTCGAACCAAAAAAAATCTACCCCTGACGCTTGTGAATGCGTGATGACGTGAACTTGGTTCGGTTGAGAATACTAGGTAGAGTAGACAAGCCATTTATTTATCGCCTTTGAGAACACTAGAACATAACTATTTTCACCCGAGGGAACATGCATGGTAGTTTATGTGATAGGTTCAATTATTGAGACTTTCAAATATAGAATGGACAAGGAAGCTTTTCCCGACATTTCCGGTATTTTTCCTACCAACGCCAACGCTATGCAAAAAGGGAAAATTCCTCATTAGACTTCTTATTTTACCCCAGCCACAAGCAAATCTAGCATACCCTTGACCTGCATTGCCTTTTGTGACCTTTCCACTTCCGCTCTTACGCGTCGATGTAAGAATCTGATCTGGTGTTCCAGATCTGGCGAATCACAGGTATACTCTGCGTATATGTCTAAGAGCAACATAGCAGCATCAGTACATATAGGAACGTATCGAGGATCAGTAATATGCTTCGACACCCATTTGAAAATCGGTTGTATCGTAGTCTCATCACGCTTCTCAAACGCTGCTCGCATGGCACTTCTGTGTCGTAGAGCTGTGAGAAGTGTAAGAACAGTGACTGCGGGTAGGCCCTTCTGAAGCACACAGTCTAGTGCTTGATGATATCTCCCTTGTTGAAGTTCACGCTCCCATTCTGGAACTTTCCGCTTTGTTGAACGTGTATTACCCTCAATTACCACATCTGCCCCTTCACCCATGAAATCCATGCCTCTAAGCCTCTTCTCTACCCCGCTAGTATGTTTCCTTTTCTTGTTCTTCTTGTCATATTCTTCTAATGTGCCATCGAGTAATGCTTGCATCTCCTTCGCCCTTTCTCTCTCCTTAACTTTTTGTTGACCTGATAGACGCGTTTTGATTGACAATACCCCAGATTGCATACCCACAACCAAATGTTTATCCTCTCGATTAGCACCAGAACTAACAATGTTGACTGATAAAACAGGAGCTGAATATTTCAATCCAGTAACAACATTCCATCCAGTGGTCTCGAAAACCTTCACATGCCCGTCCAAACCACCACTAACCAATCTCGTAGCGTTCGATGCGAGGCACAACGATGTGACCGTCTTCTGATGATTCTTGATAATGTGCAATGGCTTTCCTGCGACCAAATCAAGGACTGAGATTTGATTATCCGCTGCAGCAAGAACCGTTGTACCTGAAGGCATAGGAAGTACAGTTTCGACTGGCGCAGCATGCTTGAAGGTCATAGCTGCTCTAGTTGGAACTCTAGGATCCCAAAGTCTAACAGTCTCATCATAACTACCAGTCAAGACCATATTTGACATCGACCCAGGCATAAAAGCACCACTTCTAACATAATCCGTATGCCCAGTGAAAGTTGTTGTACTTTCTTGACTTGGCAGGTCCCAAAGCTTAACAGTCCGGTCATCACTAGCACTCATGAGAGTTGTCAATTCTGTTGGTGAAAACTTTGTCGCCCAGACAGGCTGCTTATGTTCGTCCCATGTTTTTAAAATAGCTCTTGAATTCACATCAAAGACTTGTATCTTTCCAGTTTCGTCACCTGCCACCATTACACGTCCATCTCGTCGAATCTCTCCACTATGCGCAACATCTGAAAATCGAGTAATAGTCTTTACTAATTTTCGTGTGCGAATCGAGTAAATTTGAAGTCGGGTACCGGTCGTCACACAGAAATAATCATTGCTGGAGGGCAGTAAAGCGTTTGTTGGTGGAGGAGGGAATGATATATGCGTAATAGGATAATTCGTTGGTGATGGAATGAGTTGCTGTGAGCGAAATCCTTTCCAATATCGTTGTTCAGGTGTAATTGGCGAAGGGGCAGTAGGAAGTTTCACTGCCGGCAGACTTGTCACTGGTGCGGCCATAGTGAAATCTTATGAAAAGAATTGTAGATGGTGATGTCGCAAAACGAATAATATTTCACTTCGATGAAGCCTGCGATGCGATTCGCAAAAAAAAAAGTTAAGGACGGGATCTGGAGGTTATTTTTCCCGATGAGCTAGACTATAACAAGTTAGTATTACTCTAGTATGGTCCATGCATTTATATCCCTACTACACCTTGATGTACGGTTTTCATTGTTCATCTTAATGACAGTGCCCTTCATCCAAGATTTGCTTCATATGCTCTTCCTCAGTCCATAAATTGATGATGTCTCACAGCAGTGTATATCTGGGTAGTGATAGACTGCAGTTATGTACTTTGTTTGACCTGATATGAGGACGTTGAGTTCGTTTCTGTTGGTTGATGTACCTAAGGGTTTTTCCACCTTCCGATAGACCTTCAGCAGCTATAGACAAGAGTCATTTGTTGTTAAGTGAGACGCGTTTCTGGTATTCATACACCCGACCGAGGCAGGAGTCTGTAGTCCTGTGACTTTACTCTCAAAATTGCTGGCCATGTCCGAAGCGCGACTGCCTCATTTGCAAATATCTTCTCGAAGCGCACTTTCGCGTCGTATTCCGTTCTTTGATCAGACTTCCTTGATGAGCAAATTACAAACCAAGTGGGATAACAACTGAAGGCAGCTTGTCTTTTCCGTTCTTCAGATATACCCTGTCCCTTCATTTGTCCTGGTGAGAGCTATGGCGTTACCGGATGAATTTAAGCTGTTCAATCTGGTCATCTTCTCCCGTCCCAAAGTTACTCACAACCGTTCGAAACGAGCAAGGCATGATATAGTCTTTGTAATACTTTGTACATGAGCTACCCGATTAGCTATGCTCAATACAACGGCTGACATGACAACATCTAATTGTCAACGCTCAAATGCGAGCTCATATGCAGAAGTGGGTCTGAAAGATTGCGCACACTCCCACCGTGCGTATCGCAGAGGGAGAATCTTCTAGTTGAGAGATTGCAAGTACCTATGCTTAAATTCCCTGGTCATATACACCAAAGATATGCTGGTTAGAAGCAAATCTGCTCTTTTTTTCTGCCTAGGCCTTGACACTGCTATGATAACAAAACGTTCCTGTGAATGTATCTGGGCTCTGGACACGAAGCTGTGAGTTGTGATTTGAGAAGATTCCATTTTTGACTTGTGGTACAGCTATATTTATGACCATGCTCCTCCACAAAGGCTTGAACGAGAATTAAGGTCTCATTCTCCTTCGCTTCATACAATAAATCGAATGAGGCTTCTCAATAACGAAGAGTGACTTAATTTCCGATTGAAGCCTCTCTGAACTTTTCCACGAAGACCCGACTCCTAGGCCTGTAACCAAACCAGATACCAAACTCCATTTCTGCTAAATTCAAACGCCGAAAACAAGCAGGAAATCACACAAACTAAAGTAGACGACTAGAATCAACGATGCAACCATTATTTTGATCGACTGCAGAAAATCCGGCTCGAGGCTTGCGGGTGACGATGAACATCCAAAAATCTTCCGGCTGTAGTGGCATTTGTTTGCAGATTGCGACGACCATTTGGTTCCCGGTTGCATGAAATGCTTCGAGGGGAAGAGTCGCCAGAGGAACGACTGATCAACCATCTCTCGAGTTTTTGTGCCCATCGTAATTGCGAATTTTTGTACTCCTGTAGAATTATATCCTACACCGTTGATTAGTATCACACTCGGTACCTAGGCGGTTACTAGAAGTCGCACCAAATCTCCCAGAACCGAGCATCCCATACGTTCTTACACCGCCATTGATGGTCCATCCTTCTGCCTTGAAATGTTGATCAAAGAAGCAACTCCAATCATGACTAAAATCAATGCGACGATACCCAATATGCCAACGTTGTCCATTCTGATGATGATGCGGGGATGATTCTAGGCAAATTTGTGGTAGCAGGAGTACTGTTAAAGGTCGAATGAACTAGTGACAATCAGAGGTGGGCGTGGATGAGGATTGTAATAAAGACCGGCAACAATAGTGGACAGTATTTGAATATCCTTTGCGACACTGGTGGAGGAAAAGAACTTGGAAATGGTGGAGAGAAAAAATTCATGAAATATTTCGAGGGCGTGTCGAGTACATATACGATTCCTCCACATTTGCTATATGTCATTTATCATCTGCGCTCTCATCAATAATCAGCCTTGATCAGCAATGGTTCCTTCATACCTGCATTGCATATTACAATTCTATGATTGGGGGTTTTCGCTTCTCACTACAAGTGATTAAACCTTTATTGGTAAGTCAACCAGGTATTCACACAGTATTCGTACCGATTTAGCGCAATTTGATCTTTATGTCAAGGTTTGGGAAATATAAGGCCCACTTGTCTTACGGTTTTCTGATCATACCGGCACGAAAGACTACCTGAATACAGATTGAGATTCTTAGGGTTAACACCTTGTTTCCCGGACTTCGAGAAGGAAATTCATTGCAACCATAATTTACTGCCCTATAGGTATGGTCATCATTCGTTCAATATCGAAATCGTTAGATGCGCAAGAAAGTCTCCATATGTTAGCTAGGGTTGCAAATGAAGCAAATTTCATTGAAAGACCATTGCTTGATTGTCCTTCCATCCGAATCTTAAACATAGTACTATTTCGTAGTTCCGACATAATGGTATTCAGGGTTCAACCAACTGTCAACTGGCTGGTAGCTTCTACTCAGGGGTAATTTGGCTCGAGCCAAGTTAATCTCCTACCTTCATTCAAGCGAACCAAATAATTTTATATTGTGTACGATCCACGATCCACTGCCGCAAAATAGCATGCATGGGTGGAACTGACCACCAATTGGTATTTTCTTAGTATGGACCCTGTCAATACAAGCGGGTTTGTACCTATAAACCTATCACCCTGATTTAGTTCAGCGACTGGGTATCTGACTGATATGAACACCTGCGATTTAACTTCGATTGCGCTGTCTATGATTTGTCCTATTAAACTGATCGATATACCTGTAAATTGTGTGGCGGAGTGGATGGATTACACCTTACAATTTTGCGAAAATTGCTATTCATACCTATTTGAGGGCTGTTGCCCCTTTATTTAGGGGAACATATTTTGCACTTCTCTACTAATCAATCCGGTTTGAAAAGACCTGAACATCGTACGGAACCAGCATGCCGAAGGGAACTTGCCTTCTTAGAACCCTGTTGTTGTTCTTTTATAGCGATATCGCATCTCCTTGAGAGATTTAGGCATTAATAGTCGGTTGCTTTGAAAGAGCGACTACGAAGTAGTCGGGGAAGCAAATGCCCCGGAAAGCGAATTGTCCTCCATTTTTATATTAATAGTGAATATGAGGTTTTGATGTTAGAAAGCGAAGGGACAATTAGCTTTCCCCGACTACGAAGTAATCGGCCTTTCAAGTAGCCGAATATTACCAGTGGATGCATCTTTTACTGCCTTCAGAGAGGTTTATGTAAAATATTGCGTTTTGACGACCAAATCTAAGTTAAGAATTTTAGAACCACTTTTCCTTTTCCTTCTAGAAGGCTTGCATGATGGTCAATTCTAGCTGCTCTCTTGATATCATCATCATACCCTCAAGCGATGTGGTAAATCACAACTAGAAGCTTCTGTAGTACTATCAGATTTTTACAAGCTCTCTAACCTATTACTGTCACGGCGAAGTGTACGAGACGGGAAATTCCCCAAAAGAAATGTAAGTCTTATGCTTTGATGCAACATTTCTTTATTTCCTTACTGCCAGAAGTCTGCAGGAACGAATTGTTGGTTTCTTGTCATCCTTCAAGTTGTGAATTGATCACTTTGATATAGTTCTTTCCCATCCCAATCTCTTCCTACTCGTGGATTATATACACAATACATGAGCAAGGAACATTAACAGTAAACAACATTAATGCCATACCCAATATCAAAGATATCTATCTCCCTCTCCATCCTATCATTCTCGAAGCCTTCCTTTTTGAAGACTATCATGGAATACAATTGACTAGGTAATTTCTGCGTGAGCTACTTGAGCCAATGGCTAAATTTTGAGATTGATATAATCTACTTGCTGAGATCACCAAATGTACCATTTGATGGACCTTTTGTATTGAAGACTAGTCGCCGAGGATCCGCATAATACTTCTAGAGATATCACAGAATCGGATCTCTAATAATATCAAGGAAAATATATGGTTTATTCTTCCACTTTGATACCATGGAGGTATTTACTACCCACATTTCTCATCTACTTCCATATATATTTATCAGTCTATATCTTCCATAAACAAGACCTCGTAATCCTAAGATCTCCATTACATTCGCCATTTTAAACTCTGGATCCGGAATCTAGGTGTAGTATCACCATTTATATATTTCCAGCTTGGTTTATTTATCTACTGTAGTTCACTTCTGTTCCTATTACAATATTTCACTATTTAAAGAGGAAATTCTCTCATCACAAATCTATATCTTTTAACTTCTCACTCACTGAGGCCCGGGAATACATGTATATAAAACTTATATAAAACTTACATATAACGTGGTTTATCAGCGAGCGGGCCATATCACCGAGCGGGCCACTTTTACCTCAATTTATATCTTTCAACTTCAATACGCGATTTATCAACAATATATTATGGAATCGAATAATCAAGAAGGTCGAATACTTTTAGCTAGCGAAGCTATCAATAAAGACCAAAAATTAAGCATTCGGAAGGTTGCTAAGCTATATAATATCCTGTGTACAAAGATTCAGTATAGAATGGATGGTTCTACTCCTTATATCGAATCTCGAGCAAATGGTCATAATTTGACCAAATTAAAAGAGGAAGTGCTTATCCAATATATAATCAATATGAATAAAAAAGTGTTTGCATTTAAATTGAGTAATATAGAAGATATAGCGAATTATATCCTCGAATCGCGAGATGCGAAGAAGGTTGGAAAGCTTTAGGCTTATCGCTTTGTCAAACGACGTCTAGAGTTAAAGATATATTTTAATTGCATTTATGATTTCCAAAGAGCTCTCTGCGAAGATCCCAAGTTTATTGAAGAATAGTTTCGATTAGTATCGAATATACAAGCGAAATATAGTATTCAAGACTGCGATTTCTACAATTTCGACGAAACCAGCTTCATGATGGGTATAATATGTCTTGGAATGATTGTAACTAGTGCTAAACGAAATGGTAGAAGCAAGGCAATACAATCAGGCAGTCGAGAGTGGGCTACGGCAATTATATATGGCAATGAAGAGGGTGAAACTATACCTCCATTTCTGATGGTTCAAGGACAAGTTTATCTTTCCAATTGGTATACCGAAACCGATTTTCCTGCGGATTGGGCTATTAAACCTACTTCTAATAGATGAACGAATAATAAGACAAGGTTAGAATGATTAAAGCATTTCGATAAACATATTATTCATCAAAGAAAGGGCAAATATGAAAGCTATGAATCAATATCTTTTCAATTATATTGCAAATCAAATAATATTATATGCCTCAAATTACCATCATATTCAAGTCATTTAATTCAATCACTCGATGTTGAATGTTTTGGTATATTCAAATGTTTATATAGTTATCAAATTGAAGGATTTGTCAAAGCTTATATCAATCATATCATCAAGATTGAATTCTTTATAGCCTTCAAAGCTGCATATTTACAATCATTTACTATTCAGAATATGAAAACTGGTTTTCGAGGAGCAGGTCTAGTATCATTCGATCCTCAATCTATACTCTCAAAACTGGATATTAGGATTCGTACTTCTACCCCTCCATCTACCTCTTTGGAACTTACCAATTCCTGGATCTCTTAAACCCCTCACAATCCAATTGAGGCTCTCTTATAATCAACTCTAGTAAAAGCTCAAATGGCTCATCATTAATCAAACTCTCCTACACTTATATTTGAGACTGTATAAGCTTTAACTAAGAGTATAAAGATGTTGACCTCCTGGGATCTTGGCAGCATATGCATATATATTGCATGATGCATATAAGGAGCAAACAAAACTCAACTTTTAATTCATTCTTTCCTTTTTGGTATATTGTTTGTTTGCTTTCAATATTTTGATTTCAAAGCACTTTAATTCCGAAGGCTGAATACCTAACCTTATTCCTTCATTTTTTGAATATATACTCGCAGCTTAACTGCTTAGCTAGAGAATCAATCAATTCAATCTGATGCTCTTTCTGGTCTCAAGAAACCCAATAAAAGAGATTAGCATATAAGAATAAACTTTTAAATACTGAGAATCGTATATTTCGAAAAGCAAATGAGACATTAAGTAAACATCAACATGCTAAAAAAATTCAACTACGTAATGAAGGAGTACTTACTGGATAAGAAGCTGAAGATATATTATTACAACAAGAGGTTGATAATCAGATTCAATACAACGAGCGTCAAAATGGGGGAAATCCTAATGGGGAATCATCCACTAATCGATACTGTAGTAAATGCGGAAAGACTGGTCATAATTCAAGAACTTGTCAAAATGATATATTAGATCCTAGATTATTAGATTCTTAATAGTTTGAATCAATTGAATAAGTTATGATTGATTAATTAGAATTTGAAGTGGTTAAATGGTCAAAAAGTGGGCGGACTAGTGATATGGGCGGACTGCTGATAAACCACGTTAATACTTTTGTTACGTCGGACAGTGACATAGGTCACGATCTTGATCACATGATCAAGAAACCGACAAATCGAGATCGGCCTTGCGGTGATCGAATTGTCGGGTTTATAGCCATCGGTTTTTAGCGCGGTACGAAGGTCTATATAATCTAGATGGATTTCCTTTGTATAGAGCTTCGTGCTCAAGATCAATCATTTAGTATACTCTACTATTAGTTACGAATTGCATATCATTATTGTCATTACTTAAGTCCCTGCTTGACGCCTAGTTATAAACCACCTCGAGAGTCTAGAGCACTTCCACGTGATCTAGACGGCAAACCTCGTAACATTAAGGCTTTATCATTGGTATTCACTTGGAAGTGAATTCGTTACTAGATCAGGTAGAATGTAGGTAAACTAATTGATAACTAAGTTGAGCACGAAGCTCCTAAACTATGAAACTACTCTGACTATATAATGATCGATAAAGGGAGCCCCTAGGGCTCCTTATCACGTGGTTCCTTTTCATCCCATGACACTAATCCTAATGGTGAATCGTGACAATAATATTTTAGAAAGAATAATAATAGATTGGTCTTTTTTTTCCTATTGAATTATTAATCTCGTCATTGAATATAGATCTCCTTACGTATCCCAATTACTACTTTTTGTATATCTTGTACCATGCTATACTAACCTATCGCCGTAGCTCTACCTACGCCTGCATTCTCGATATTGGTATCCTCACTTTCATTTATTTTTCCTTCATCCTACAGGATCCCTCATGTTACTCGTCTCAATTCCCTAAATAATATCATCACCCCCTTTAACAACCCTATGACACCAACCACACCAGCTCCTCGCCCTTCCTTCCATCTCCCTAACCAAATATCTCCCCTGCGCCTTCTCATCCCCAAATTCCGGTACACAAGCCCCGACTTTTATCATCTTCACCCTCTTCTTCTTAACAACGCCTCCTATTCCTTCAATTTCATGCCTTGCATATCCAGGACCTAGACTTAAGTTCCTCTCACTAGTATTAGGGCTTGCACCTCCAAATATACTATTTCCGGGACTCGAAGCCGGACTTCCGGCTCGACTGTTTTCTTCGAATTCTCGGGCATCTTCGGCATCACAATCAGTCTCTTGTTCTACTTCTATTGCGGCTAGACAGGAGCTACCGCGACCGCAGGGGACACCGCGGTTTCCTTCTCCGATGCCGACACCGAGACCTCCGAGAGAAGGTAGATAGCGTGTGCGCCATTTCCAGATACCTTCGTATTCTTGGTCGGTGGAGCGCAGAGAGCGACCACAGGGTTGACAGAGCCAGACTGCCGTTGGACAACTACATAGAGAGTCTTTAATCGTTTCTGGTAATAATGAACGGGTGTCATCGTGAGTAATTGAGAAAGAAGAGGACGAACAAGGCGATGAAGAGGTAGCGACTAAAGAGGCAAGAGGAGCCTTCGAGCATATCTTGCATATACGTCGATGACGATGACGTAGGAGAACAGGACCGGGTGGTTTGATAGTGCAATTCTGTTTTCATAGAATCAGCCTCTATACTACTCACTAAGTGATCACAAAACCAATCGATATCCCACATATGGAAATACACATCTAGAATCCTTTCACGAAGAACGCATACCCTACAGACCACCCTTCCGCACTTCCGACACTCTCCTACTAAATCTCTTGCGCAATCTCCCACTTTTCCACTCCCGTGTGCATCTCGTCCGCTTTCTACAAAATAATAATCTGCGGCGCGTGCCCGATAGCGAAATGTATGCTCAGGGTCGAGTTCTAACTCCTCATTTTCGCAGTGAAGTGTTGATGTAAGGAGCTTCGAGCGGAATTGTAGGAGATTGACCCGGATCTGACGACATGTGCGGGAGAGTGCATCGAGGGTGTTAAGATCGATATGAGATCCTATGGCTGATATGATACTATGAAAACGGGATCAGCCTGTGCCCTGGTTGTGCGAAACGAGGATGAATATAATTATTAAGTAGTTATAGATGAAACTTACGGATAACAGCCCAATGCTTCTGTAATTACATTTTTATTTGGATTCTCCCTACCATCCTCCAACATCAATCCGCGTATATTTGCCCCCTTGTTCGCGTCTCCAAAACCACCCCAAACGGGTTTTTGGAATCCATTTATTCCATTCTGTAAATGGTGCAATCCGGTTACATTTTGCTCTGGAGGTTCCGAATCATCTTCATAATCGACAAAGACTACCATTTTCGTATTTAAGAGGTGTTGTGAGGGATGAGTAGAATATAGAGTTGATGTGCTAGATATTAGGAATGATGATGATGATGATGATGATGATGATGACGATAAGGATAAGGAAATTGATATCAATGAACTTGATTGTTTCCCATTGAAAACACGCACAAGCTAGTTCCAAACAAGATTCCAGTTTGAGACAATCAAATTGTTCCTTCTTATTTTTTCTTTCTTCCTTTTTAAAAGTAAAATATAAATAAAGACCCGAGTAAATAGTAAAGGAAAAACTTAAGAAGAAGCCGATGAGTCTTTTGCTTGTCCGTCCTCGGTCTCTAGCGTCTTAGGCACTGGGTTTAACTCCCCGCCCTTTATCAGATCAAATGAATCAGAATAAGAAGAAGTGGATTTTATTTCGTGATAGTTTTCCACATTTTCGGCACTGAGCACTCCCACGTACCTTACCTCAGCTTGTTCGATTGCCGTTCTCCGTACGTACATGACTTTACAATCAACAAGCAGAGATGCAAAAAGATCCAGACTTGTCTTTGTTACACATATTGCACCATCACGCATAGTGGGGTTGAGGAGATAAGATTGGAGGAAAATCCACTTTGGCATCTTTTGCATAGTGTGTGTTTCCTACGCAGGGGTATCTTACGTTTAGTTTGCATGGACATAGCATTTCTATGTGGTAACTCTGTGGTAATTCTTATTGTGTTTTGAGATAGGATAGGGATGGTAACTGGATTGAAGGCTGATAATCTCGTGCTCGGGCTTGCAAATAGTTTGTTGGAATGACACTCTAGGTATACGAATAGTTGAGGAAGGGAATGGGAAGGAAGTTTAGGACGAGGAGATGATTGATTGTAGGTGGGTGTAAGATTGGCGGGAATAATGTTATTCACGAGCTGATACTTGAGATGGGTGTATTCTTATTGTTCTAGTCTAACTCGTAACATTATAGACATTAGGATGAATGAACCTACTTCTCCCATAATCGTGACACTAGAACTCTCACTGCTGAGTTTGATAAAGTATGTATCACAAAATGTATTTTGAGCCGGCTGCTCTCCTTCGAAGTACCCAAAGTCGTTGGGCAAACACTCTTCAACATCATGGCATAAGAAGATCAGAATGTAAAAATATTGGCGTTAACATCATCAATCCAATATCAAATCTATCAAAACTCGTATGGCTATGCCAATTCGTCTACGCCAGAACACCAAATGCTAATCCAGACATAGACAATCCAGTCTAACCCAATGACAAGTTCCTAGTCGAACGATCCTTTCCCAAACAAACCTCCAACGGCCTTACGCCTACTCTCCACACCCTTGAATTTCTTCTGTTCTCTTCTCTTCTCCTTCTTCTCCATCATAGCCTTTCGCCCACTTTCCCTGACGAAAGAGTTCACTCCACTATGCTTTCCCCCTCCCCTCCTAATACTGGATCCCTCATCCTTCCCACCAGCCATTCGCTCTGTTGCCGACATTCCAGTACTGACACCCGTGCTTGATGTTCCAGACAAGATACTGCTATTTGTCGTGGCTTTTCTCAGTAGAGGTACTACCCTGTGACCTGGTTGTGATGAAGGTGCAGCAAATGCGAGACGCTCCTTATTGGCAGCAACATTGCTTGAAGATTCACGCTTAAGTTGTATTCTATCAATGATAGAGGTGCCTGTTCTGCGCACGGCAAAAGGATCACGATTTTTTTGGCTTCCTTGTTCTGGATTTCCTTCAATTTCCAGATCATCATCTGAATCAGACTCAAAATTCGTTGAAGCGACCATAGAATGAGGATCTTCAATGAGACTTGACAATGATTCTCGAACCTCTGAGAGATTCGATGGCTTCTTTCCTGTGCGTCGCAAATGTGGTGGCGGTCGAACATAACCTGCTCCATCAGAATGCTTACGCGTCGGGGGAGGACCCATGACTTCTCCAGTCTGGTTCTCTGGCGCCTGCTGAGATTCGTCGTTTTGAGTTTGAGACTGTGAGTCAGAAGTATCATCTTTTTCTTGAAAATCATCCAGAAAACCCATCTCATCGTCACTTCCTCGATCCTCGATAGCACGAAGAAAAGCCTCTTTTTTGGGATTCTGTGCAATCTTCCCGATTTTTTCGTCTGCAAGTAAAGCCTTGCGCAGCTTGGCCTCCGCTGCACGTTTTCGACGCTTACGTGCCTCTCCACCATCGTCTGAATCCGAAAGGTCGTAATCAGCACCACGTTTGCGGCGAAGCATGCCCTTGGAGATATCATTGTAAAGCTTTTCTATTTGCTTCTCGTCATTTGCTCTTTCGCGGTCACTAAAGTGGATTAGTAAAAATAAACGTGAAAAGGTGTTGAAAGTTCTTACGCATAAAATTTGGCAAGTTCGCTCTCGTCAATATCCTTCTTTTCGTCATCTATCATTTCCTTGACAAAAGCATCCTCTTCCCCACCACTTTCATCGTCGCTTGCACCACCTAATCCAGCATACTCATCTTCTGATTCCTCGGCTTGTTCATTGACCATGTTCTTAGCATCGCTTTTCTTCTTATCGAAATTATCTGGCGCCTTCGGCTTCTTTTTGGCGGCTTTTCGCATGACATCAAAAGCGTTGGCGCTAATTTCAAAATCGTCATTTTGATTTTGATACACTTTCACAGCGTCCAATGATTCGTCGTCTTCGGAAACAGAGTAAACTTGGGCTCTTCGGCGGAGCTTTCCTTTCCTTTTCACGAGAGGTATTTCTTCAATATCGTCGACAGAAATTTGAGTAAACTGGGACTCCATTCTAAACGTGCCTGCTGTTGAAGGTGGATCCATAAATCGGGATTTGATTGGTGTGATCATGGAAAATCCTTCGTCCTGTGTATTTGGGAAATCGGATACTTGAGTTGATAATGGATTCTCAACCAAGCTGTCAAAATCATGTATTTGTGACTGTGAGAATGAAATGTGAATTCCTTGAGTCTCACTATCGGCTGGTTGCGATGCTGCTATTTGAGTTTGGCTGTCCACCACTATGTCTTGTGACTCCTCATCATTCATAGTGGGAACAAAATCAGGCAGCTCTGGCAAAGCTCGTCGGCGAAGAAAATCCATGGAGGTTCCCCTTTTATTAAACGTTTGTGACTCTGGATTTGATGCTCTAAAAACGTCCTGGCTATCATCCATTGTACCCTGGAATATTTGTGTAAGACCGAGTCCAGCCGGGCCCGTTACGGTTAAACCAGGTATGAATGTTTTGGTCGCTGAGCGAAGAACCGACGTCGGGACTACTGGTGAATCGATCTGTTCCTGTGTCAAAGATAGAGTCCGCGGGGCTTTTGGCGTCTTTGTAAGGATATAGTCTTCTTCCTCGTCATCAGAGATAACGTTCGATCTTCTGGGCTTCCGGTGAACAGAGAGAGTTATTTCTTCTTCCTCAGCATCCATAGGGTCCACTGGGTCTTCTGGAATAGAAAGGTCAATTTCAGATTCTTCATCTTCCCCTGCTTCATTGTCGAAAAAGGGGTTGGGTGCTGCACTATGAGCTGTCTCCTCCTCTTCCTCCATCTCTTCATCTTCGCCTTCACCACTTTCTTCGTTTTTGGAGTTTTCGTGCTCATTATCATCTGAGCCGGAAGCTTCTTCCTCTTCTGGTACTTCATTTGTTTCTGACCAATCCTCATCATCACTGCTATCGTCAAATGGGTCTAGTTCACCATTGGCTTTTCGCTCCTTTTTAGCAGCTGCCTTCTCTCTCGCCTGGATCTCTTCTCCTTCTCGGCGAGCTTTCGCGAGCAAGTCATAAACTTCGGCCATTTCTTTTTCACGTTCCTCAGAAGTCTGTACGATAATTCCTCTATCTCTCAGAGCTTGGAGTCTCTCCTCCCGTTCTCGGTGAGCTTGTTGCCTTGCCTTTAACTGTAGGCTATTCTGTAGGTCTTGAGCTGTCATTGAAGATTTCTGATTTCTTCCTGTATTTTGCTTTCCAGGCGATCTAAGATGTGCAAGCATCCGTAATGCCACCATTGAATGAGGCTCTTGGGCTTGTTTCTCTGGAATGCGATTAAATATTGCATCTAGCTTTGCATCGCGAGCAGATTTCTTTACTCTCACAATCTCAAGATCACTATCCGAATCAAGCTCCAAGTCACCTGTATCGACCTTCGCTGGTCGTACCCGAATTGGCCGTTGCTTGAAGACAGACTTCTTCTCCGTTGAGATTTCAGGCAACTCCGAATGTACAGCTTTTCCTTTGCCCTTTTCTTTCCGAGAAGGTGGCGATGTCTTTAAAACTTCCTCGAGAGTTGGTAAATCTTCTTCGCCTACCATATCCATAGTTGTGCTTACCACCTGAGGAGGTTCCGCGGATTTTTGTTTTTCTTTAATGTCCATATCATCTGGTGGAGACGTGGGTGGCGTATCCTGCATCTTAACATCAGATTGTGGTGCGGGTGGAGGACTTGAACTCGTTGGTCTAACAGGATCCCAAGAAGTAGCATTAGGCTCCCCAGCTTGTTTATAGCCGAATTTAGCAAACAAACTCTGTTTCGTGATTTTTTTCTTGGTTATAGGGTTGTGTGCTAATTGCATGTTCCGGCTCATCCGTTGGGTCTCTTTGTTCATCTCCTCAATGGCCCTCTTGCTTGCCTTGCGGGTAGGGCGATTCTGTTGTGTAAGTCGTTGCTCTCCCTCATCTTCGGTGCTATCTTGGTCATCTTCCTCGATTGATGCGGTCTGTCGTTTCCTTTCTGCTGCCTTCGTGACCTTCTTCTTTGTCTCTTCTACCTCTTTCGCGCGTAGTTCTCGGCGCTTCTTTTCAACCAGAGCCCGGAGTTTGTTTGATACCGATGTTGAGTTCATTGAAACGCCATCCAATCCTTCGGGGTCAGCTTGTGGAGTGGCTGATCTGCCAGCATTGGGTGTAACAAAAAGCCCTGGCGAGGTAGATTCTTGTTGAGGAGTTGATTGAACAGGTGTCTGGGGAAGTGAAGGTTCCATCATGTGCTTTCGCGGAATGACTGGCGTGCCAGTTTCATCAGTCTGGCTATCATCATCTGCAACCTTCGGTGACTCGGGCCTTGGTTTCTTCTTCAACAATCTCTTGACTCTTTCCCTCGGATTATTCACAACAAGCTGATCGTCGTCTGATCCGTCCAATGCAGCTCGCATGCGTGCGGCCATTCGGCCCCTTGGCCTTGACACATCTTCATCGTCTGAAGAACTCTGGCTTTCGACCTCAATCGACCCTTCTTTCCTGCTGGGGAAGGTTAATTGCGAATTGGCATTAGATGTGTCCGGTTTTGAGCTGTTTGGCTTTGGTTTTCGCGAGGCTAATCTTTTTCTCGCGTTTCCGGACACACTCTCTTCATCAGAACTACCCAATCCTGCAGCCGCAAGGTCTGCTCTTATTTTTGATTTGGGTGTTAACTCCATTGGTGAAGTAGACGTCGCGGGCGAAGATTCTCGGGATGAAGCCATTGTAAGTAAATCTAATATAACTATGATTGACAAAAATCAATGCAATCGTATGTAAAGTTGAATTTAATCATGTAGAAAGAATCGTCAAATCATTGCTTGGGCTTTTGTATAATATGTAATGGCAAAAAGTAAAGAGTATTGCGTTTTATGCTGTGCTACAGCCAACGCGTTCACGAAAGATGTGGTACGCGACAAGCAAGGGCAAAGTTTAAGTGCGTAGCGGTGTGGCTGGAAAAGCACGAATCATTTTGATAATCGCACGCCCTTCCCTCCCCACGTTTAGACGACCCGACATGTCATTTGCATTTCCGGTCTGTTCCTCATGACTGTGTAGAAATTCGTAACGCACGAGATAATGACATTGTGAAGTTTTTCGTTTCTTATATCTTGTTGTTATCTATTTTGTCTCTTCTTCGGGGATTTCTGTTTATATCCTAGCCCATACATAGATACATTTCCAGATGACATCCTGAAATAAATTCAAAATCAAGGCGTCACGAAGCCATTTACCCTCTCATTACAATTCATCATTTTACTTTAGACAGTATGACGACTTCTTTCTTTCTGCGTTTGAAAGCTAGGTGTAAGAATAATGTAGCCGCGATGAGAGATTCTCCGTTGGCGGAAATATCAGGCGCTTTTGGTGATCTAGGAACACTTTTACCTTTGATGATTGCTCTGGCTGTCAATAATTCGATATCCCTTTCAACAACTCTGGTTTTCTCGGGCTTGTGGAATATATTGACCGGTATCGCTTTTGGTATACCGCTACCAGTACAACCTATGAAGGTAGTTCTCTCATAGCTGACGGTATTCTTGACTGACCATGCTTTAGGCCATCGCGGCTGTAGCTATATCAAGGAAGTTCTCGATTGAAGAAACGGTTTCCGCTGGTTACACTGTGGCTGGCGTGGTGCTAATATTGAGCGCTACGGGTCTTCTTCGATGGTTCACGTGTATGATACCTACACCCGTCGTCAAAGGTAAACTATTTCCTGAGACTTTTCTATTTCAATGAATGTTCCATCTATACTGACTGGATGCCTCCAGGTATTCAGGTTGGAGCCGGCTTGTCTTTGGTTCTTTCTGCTGGTTCGAGCCTTCTTCAGCCCTTAGGCTTCACGACCCCGAATGCTACTGATAACCTGATATGGGCACTTTTCGCCTTTATCGCTCTGCTGCTCACGCAGAGATTTCAAAGGTTCCCATATGCTCTAGCTATCTTCCTACTCGGGCTTATATTGTCATTATACATCACGGGCTCAAGCTATTTACCTTCCTTCCAAATGTGGCATCCTGAAATATATGTTCCTTCCGGGACCTCGTTCAAAGTCGGCGCTCTCGACGCAGGCCTTGGACAAATTCCTCTGACTACCTTGAACTCCATTATCGCAGTCAATTTTCTTGCAGCTGATCTCTTGCCAAACATTCCGGCTCCGGGAGTTACTTCCATTGGTGTCAGCGTCGCATTCATGAACCTGATTGGTGGCTGGTTCGGTGCTATGCCGGTCTGCCATGGCTCAGGAGGATTAGCTGCTCAGTATCGATTCGGAGCTAGAAGTGGTGCAAGTATAATCATGCTTGGCACATTTAAGATGATCTTAGGATTCTTCTTTGGCGATACACTTGTAGGACTCCTAAAACATTATCCAAAAAGTTTACTTGGAATCATGGTTGTAGCAGCTGGCCTCGAATTGGCAAAAGTGGGAGAAAGTCTTAATTACGGAGCTCGGGATCTGTGGGAAATATCGGAATCGAGTGTTGGATCAGACTCAGCTCAACCGCAAACGATAAAGCGTCATCGACAGCTTTCTGACGACGAAAGAAAGGAAAGATGGACAGTGATGTTCATGACCATTGGGTTTCTGCTAGCATTTAAGAATGATGGAGTAGGATTCCTGGCTGGTATGTTGTGTCATGGTTTCAATCAATCTTCAAGATTGTGGAATACATGGGAAGGCTGGAGAATTAGGTATGGCGAGAGAAAGACCAATGATGCTACGTCGAGTCTCAGAGATGAAGAAGAACAATTGCTCTCCGGCGCTTAGGCATAGAGCTGGGTAAAGGATTTAACGATCTAACGAGCATATGAAAGAATCGAGCAATTTTGCTGCGAAATTGTACCTTAATTTGACGGTGCTACCGCTAAAACATTTTCATCACAACCGGTCTTCATAGTGACCATTTGAAACATCACCAAGTGATCCTTGATAATCTTATAATATACAGGCCAAAGTGATTTATACATCAACATTACCATGAATAGTACTGCCTTTGGGCAGTCACAGGTCTATTCGGCAATTGAACCCAGACCTTTTTGTTCTTTAACTTCTCCTCCCGTTCCTCATGAAGTCTAATGCGAGTTTTCTCCTCTTTCAGGACAAGCGAAATACCTAATTATGTTAGCTAGACAATACCCCCACAGGGGATACAAAACTTACTCGTTGTTCTGTTCTTCATAATGTTAACATTTCCTCTTGCTCTGAAATCGTAACTTTTACCCCAATCTCCCTTTCCACACCAAGCCTCGTCAACATACAAAGTAGTTGGATCTTCCACCTTGACCCTCTTTCCATCCTTAGTCACAATATACCGCGTCTTGAAATTTTCAGTTGACTTCCTTTCAATCTTTCCTAATCCCATACCCCTCTTCACAATGGCCTCGTTCCTTGCATGCTCCAAATGCTCCTTGACATCCTTTGCAACCTTCTTCTTCGAGAATCTCATCTGAATGATCGCATCCTCCACTGTCTTGCCGGCAATCTGTTTAGCCAAAGGAACCAATTTCTTCACCGAGGTCTTGAAATCATGACTCTTTGATAATAGCACCCTTTCCGTTCTCTTCAATGTTTGTTCCTTTGTCAAACGTCCTCGTTTCTTGACCTCCTGTATTACCATCTTCCTTTTCCATCGGAGTGTGGCATTTGGGTATGGGTCGAGTGCTCTGGCCATTATTTCAGGGTTTCTAGCTGGAAATTTGCTCTTCTCATCTCGTTTGCTCCCCGACCCTTCACCTTCAAAGATGGACGATTGGGAGAGATCTCCTCGCTCGGGGTTTTGCCGTTGCGCATCCTTTTTCTTCATGAGATATTCTTCTGTCAAGGGATTGCTGGAAGCTTTGTTTGGCGAGAACATCCTCCTTGCACTGTCGAGACGCTTTGTAAAGTTGTCCCATAGTGACCTTCGCTGGTTTGTGTATAATGGGACGAGGAAGGCGATGGGCGGACGTGACGTCGTAAGAGGTGCAGCTGCAAGGTAATCAGCAGTGATAATATTCAGAATTTACCCTGTACTTACCTGACCTTAGCAGGCGCCGCGAAGGAAGATTCAAACTCATTTTATAAGTTGGGTTGTCGTACTTGTCAATGCCCATGCATCATATCAAAATAATTGAAGTTCTTAGCTCGCCAAATTTATAAGGCTGCTTTAAGAATCATGTTACGGAGTGAGGATCAAAACTGCATATTCTTATTATTCAAGCTTATACGTAATGTCTATCATAGGTACATCCTGCCTATTTACATTCCTTTTTTTTTCTACAACTAGATGTTTCAAATAATCAGAAATGTAATTCATTTAATCTTGGTAGAATTTCTGAGGTATTTTCTGGAAAAATAAATTTGAAACGGGACGGGGTAACATGTTCCCGCGATCGTATGCCGAAAGTACTAAGCGGCGGCAAAGGTTCGGTGGGATTAAATGTTCGAGATCTATCGTATTTCATGGCGTCAATGCCTGTCTTTGTTGCCAAGATACAACACACTTAGCATTCACATTTCATCAATAAAGTCTCAAGAAGTTCCTCGAAATGCTTCTTGGGCTTCCTCCCGGTATCGATACGAGATCTACAAAGTGAAGTAGTCGGAGAAAGCTTTGTTTACAAGATGGGTGAACCTCTTTGCGAAGAAGATTGGTTGGCGCTCGTAGATGAGGCCAGCAGAAACGCGAGAGATCTAGAGCAGCGCATCGAAGTTGTCGAATTATATAAACGCGCAATTTCCGCAGAGCCTTGGAGCAACACGCTCTGGTTGGCAAGATGTGACTGGGTCTTGTCATTGTACACAGATTGCCGGGATCCAGATGCAGGATGGCCAGAGGAAGAGCAAGAGCTTGGACAGGAATTATTCTCATTGCAAACGGTGCAGGATCTTTGGCAGGAAGCTGCTGCAGCTACTCAATTCCGGTTGAACGATAGTCATGAGCTATGGAACAGGTGGATAACCATTGAATTGGAAGAGCTTGCAAAATCACCCAGTCGCGAATATGTAGAGCGCATCCGCAAAATATTTTTCGATCGTCTGCAAACTCCACATTCTAAATGGGATGAGACTTCGCAGATGTTCTCGACATTTCTCACGAAGTATGACGAGCCTTCTTATGAATCGACGATGGTGCAAATTACACAGATGGGTAGCGGTGCAAGACATTTGTATGCACAGCGCGAAGAGCACGAATTGAAGCTTCAGCAGGCTATCGCGACTGGCGATAAGGAACGTGTAGCATCTGTAATGAAAGAATACTTGGAATGGGAGACTTTACAGACATTGATGAAGCCCAAAAAGGGGCTGCCTCAAAGCCCTCCCATTCTCGCAGTTGCCCTCTACGAACGCGCGTTGGCATCGACTATTTTGGGCCGAGATTCTGGAACCTGGGAAGATTACATTGCTTTTGTTCAACAAAGCTATACCGTAAATCCAGAAGCGCAGTTAGGTAATCCCTTGTACATTGTACAGCGAGCCACTGCACATTGCCCTTGGTCAGGAAGTCTATGGGCGCGATACATACTTCTTGCAGAAACACAGAACCTGGATTTCTCCTCGATTGAAGACATAAAGCATGCCGCAACCAGGTCTGGCGTATTGGATCGTGAAGGGAAAATGGATGAGGTAATTGAGGTCTATACAGCTTGGTGCGGATACCTCAGGCGTCGAACACTCAATCGTGCAGCAGAGGTACGTTACATGAATCTTTCTTTGATTTCTATTCTATCTATCATTCATTGCACAGGATGGATGCTGTTACTGGTATCGTAATCCCTTTTTATACGAGGAGCTATTAACCATAGCGCCATGACTGGAGTGGTTCATGATGACTTTGATCTTTCCGCCAACGAGCTTGAAGCCCTGGTTGCCGAGGTTGAGAAGAGGATGAACGAGCACCATTTAGCCTGTAAAGCATGTAGTAAGGACAAGGTCCGAAAAATCAAGCACGACGGTTATACAAAGCCACGGATCAGAAGAGGTTTTTTTGTGTTCTTTGCAATTTACTTTTTCAAAACTCTCCAAGCTCAATAAGCCCGCCAGACACTTGAAGAGGTGGGGACTGCAGAGCTTGCCTACGGGTCGGCTCAAATGCTGGCCCGGGGAATTTATTGGGATCTTTCCTACGTCATTTCATAACTATACAACATTCGCTCTACTTTTGATTTCTCTTTATACAACATTATCAGTGAGGCATTCACTAACCAACCTTCATTAGGACGAAGCATTTGATGTGGCTGACGCTGGTCTACCTGGTTCACTTGAGGCAGTTCAGGACTGGGGTCGGAGGCTTCACAAAAGGGAGTACACTGATCCTTTATTCAGAATTGAGAGGATAATGATACAATACCTCACTCAAAAGGGATCAATTGATGAAGCTCGTGAGTTTTGGAAAAGACTTGTAAACGCTCATCAGAAAAGCTACGTGTTCTGGCAACAGTATTACTTTTGGGAAATGGCGGTGCGAAACTCGAACCCATCCTCTAACTTACCATCTATGGTTTTGTCCCGAGCTATACGTACGAAAGATTTAGACTGGCCGGAAGCGATCATGGAACTATATATTGCACATTGCAACAATTATGAAGACGCACACGCTTTACTAGCAGCTAAAGATTTGGTCCGCAGACAATTCCAATTAGTCACCAAACGCAGGGAAAAGTTGGCTGTTGAGCAAGCGGAATTGTATGCTCAACAACAACCGCATGTTGTCACCCCAGATCCAACGGACGAGGAATCCCCTGGAAATTCGAAGAGGAAACGTGAGCCGACCTCAGAAGATGCCAATGGTAACACCCACAAGAAGATAAAAAATGAGCAACCTGTAGCTGATCCAGAGGCCTTGCGGCAACAGCATTTGACAAGGGATCGAGAGAATACCACCGTAATAGTCACCAACCTGCCCCCCGAGGTCACCCAGACCAAAGTCAGACAGTATTTCAAAGAATATGGTCACATCAATAGCTTGGCCCTCAAGACCGAACCCGACAAGCTTTCCTCTACTTGTTTAATTGAATTCCGTTCGAATGATGACGTCCAATCGGCTTTTCTACGTGATGGAAAATTTTTCGGTGAGAATCAGATTAAAGTCGAGTCCGGTACTGGTTTGACTCTCTATGTAACAAACTACCCACCTCCTGCTGATGAGAATTACATGCATAACCTTTTCAAGGATTGTGGTGAGATATTCAGTATCCGATGGCCAAGTCTTAAATTCAACACGCATCGTCGATTTTGCTACATTACCTTCCGTAATGCTGAAGCTGCTTCGGCTGCCACCCAGCTTGATGGAAAGTTACTCGAGAATAAATATAAACTTGTAGCAAAATATTCTGACCCAGCCGGAAAGAAGCAACGAGAAGGTGCCACGGCGGAAGGTCGAGAGCTCCACATAACCAACCTCGATTTGAGTTTAAATGAGGACGATTTGAAGGAAGTGTTTGCAAAGTATGGTCAGGTTGAATCTGTCAGAATTCTAAGAACACACAAGGGGGAAAGCAAGGGTGCAGGTTTTGTCGTCTTTGAGAAAAAGGACGAAGCAAATTCAGCACTTGAATTGGATAAAACCAAATTAAAATCCTCAATTCTTCATGTCGAATTGACGCAATCGAGAAACTACAAACCTATCGCAACCAGTACAGAGAAGGGAACTTCAGCATCTCCAGTCCCAGACGCTGATGGAGATGCTGCTATGTCTCTAACTTCTACTGCGGATCATCCCAACAAAAATCAACATGCTTTACACCAACCATCAGAAGTTTCCAATCGAACTATTACTCTACTCAATGTCCCTGATACAATCAATGATGCAAGAATCCGTGCAATTGCAGAGCCATTTGGTACCATCATAAAAGTCGTACTTCGCCCAGACCACCAAGGTGCCATCATCGAGTACGAAGATGTCAATTCTGCAGGCAAAGCATCACTTGGTCTCGAAAATTACGAGATCACTCCAGGTCGCAGACTAAAAACAGGAGGAATGAAAGATTTATTTGCGCAATCAAGCGAAGTAAAATCAGATCGTATTGTCATTGGACGAACTGCAAAAAAGGAAAAGGAGAAAGCGAGTAGTAGTACAAACACGGGTATGAGCACGAGTAATCTCATGCAACCAAGTGCACCGATTAGAAGACCAGGTGGACGTGGTGGCTTGGGACAAAAGAAAGGATTGGGATTCTCGGGAGCAAAAAAGTCGGCGGTAGATTCAGATGCTACTTCTTCTAAACCGAAAAGTAATGCGGATTTTAAAAAAATGTTTTTAAGTGGGGGGAAGGAATAAAGGATGTGGTTGTTGTTTTATGACTATATTGATTCTAGCTATATAGGTGACGGGATTGGCTAAGCTGGGCCAGAATCTTTGCTAGCATCGTTGCGAAGTAGATATACAGATAGTGAAATCAAAAGCTAATAGTTTTTTCCTTGCTGTTTTTGTTTATTTATTATTTTGCTTTTTTTTCTGAGAAAGGAATCGTCAAATTTGTGTTGTATATCATGTGAAGAAATACTTATTGAGAAGAAATATGAATAGAAATGAATACTATGTAGGTACTCACCGCTATCTATACTAATGATACCTACCGGTAGCCCTCACGTTATTATTATTATTATATAGATATAAGGTAAATATATATTTCTAATTTTCTGTAACCTTAACCTTAACCTTATTTCTTTACCTACCTATGGTACTGTATATCCGCGGCGCAGAGTAGTTAAGATTAATTAGATCTTATTTAATAATATTTAATATTTAATATCTAATACTCATGTAACGATACTGTACTGGAGGCAGCGGCTGCCTAAGGTTCGTCGGTTGGTAGTTATGGGTTAAGGCTTTATCACTGGTATTCACTTGGAAGTGAAGTCGTTACTAGATCAAGTAGAATGTAGGTAAACTAATTGATAACTAATTTGAGCACGAAGCTCCTATACTATGAAACTACTCTGACTATATACTTCTGACTGCTATTGGATAGCTTGGATAGACTGGTCTATCCAGTCTATACATCACGTGATCCTTTACATGCCTCAGGACACTAATCCAAACCACGATTTGTGACAATGATATTAAAGATTTTGGATTTTAGATTTAGGCTTAGGTTTAATTTTCGTCTCTAGAGAGTAGAAATATTTGTAGTTATTACTTTTATGATTTTAATTGTTACCGGTGATGTATTAATTATTACACAGGTTACAAAGAGACAGATGTTAGAAATAGAACATGAAATATATAAACATTGAAAGATATCTTTAATTTTCCTAAAACGAATAATCCATCCTACTCGTATTTCATATCTCATAAATGAATACCTAACCCAACTTCCAAATCCCAATCTAAAATCACAATATAAACTTGACCATTTCCTTCCGTCTTCCTTCTTCCCTTCCTTCACATCCTACATATCCCTAATGAAATTGATCCTCCGTAACACCCTTACCCATCGCACTCGTACTACTTACACCTCCAGTAACCATCTTCAATAACTCATCTGCGTAATTTGCTCCAGACCATTTCTGATGCTTCACCACATCAACTCCAAAGTCCATTTCAGGTTCCTGAACCAATTCCCCATAGGCTCTCATACCCATCGTACTATATTTCTCCGCAAATTGATGGGAGATAAGTGCAGTGGTGTGTAGACCTGCTAATGTAATAAATTGCCAACAGTATCCTAATTTAGATAGACGTTGAATATAAGTTTCTTGTTCTGAGCGTGGCATGGCGGCTTTCCAGTTGAAGGATGGAGAGAGGTTGTAGGCGAGTTTTAGTTCTGGGTAGACGGCGTGGACACCTGCAGCGAATTCAGCGGCTTGGTTGTAGTCTGGCAATTTGGATTCCATCCAGACTGCGTCAGTGTAGGGGGCGTAAGCGATGGCGCGGTTGATGGCACAGCCACATCCACCTTTTAATCTGTAGTATCCTTCTCTTGTACGTGGAGCATCCCAATCCCAATGAATCTCTACACCAGCGATTGATTTGGCGAGTGCTCTTGCTTCGGAATTACTCTTTCCCTTTACATCGTTTAAGAATTTGGAAATGAGATCGTCGGCTTGGGTGTTGCTAGGATTGGATTTTATGGCGGCGACGACGGCGTCGTTATAAAGTTTGAGATCGGCTTGTGCTGTCCATTCATCTTCGATGGCTTGGAGTTGAGCACCAGTTTTACCGGCTCGCTCACCAGCCAGCATTAGATCGTTGAGGGGTTTGAGATTAGCGTTTGTTGAGCCGAGAATATAGGGGTGGTCGCGCGGGTCGATGGTGGTTGTGATTAAGGTTGCAGCTTCGGCATCTGTACGAGCAATAGAGATAAGATCGGAGCCTATTTGAATGTGTTATTAGTACTCACTATCTCCATGAAATAGGGATAGATTTTGGCATACCCATAATATCAGCCTGAGCACGAATGGCAACCAAACGATTAATATGTTCACTGATAGGTACAAGGACCTTTCCAGCCATATGTCCACATTTCTTAGTACCAGGAGCTTGATCCTCAATATGAATACCCGCAGCTCCCTTCTCCACAAACAATTTTGTCAATTTCATAACGGCAGTAAGACCTCCATGACCGGTATCTCCATCTGCGATAATGGGACGGAGATAATCGACGTTTTGAAGCTTGGCACGATCGGCTTTCGAGGCGGTCATTACGCGCTCTTCTCGTTGTTTGCGGTCGTGGAAGAGTTGCGCCATGAAGAGATGGGCTACTTTGTTGGGAACTGTAGTCTTTGGGAGTGTTAGTAGGTTGAAGACAAAACATTAGGAAATGAAGTGAACTTACGTATGGGTAATCTGCGAGATCTGGACCAGGTTCATCGGAGGAAGATGCAGTAGATGATGATTGCCATCCAGAAACATAAACTGTATCGAGGAATTTTGCCATTTGAGTCAACATGGTAGGTTCCAAGCAACCATAAGTAAAAGAAGCATCTTTATTCTGTTTTCAAACGCATTAGGATCAATCTGCCAATTTGATACGAATATGAGGAATGCATACCTTGAATCTATCCTCCAAGATACCCCAAAGCTTTTTTGAAAGTGCATTGCTTGGGTATTCAATCTTTAAATTTCCCCTCTTTGCCACAATTTGCTCAGCAGTAAATGGTCTCTTGGTATATCTCCATCTCTCATCTTCCCACCATTTCTTAACAGCAGCAACTTCTTCCAAAAAGATCCTCTCTTCTTGCTCTGGATCCACCGAGGTACCAGCCATTTTGTTGATAGCAGCCATCTTGAGCGTAAATATGTAGGAGTGTAGAGTGTATAAAAGAACGAGAAATGAGTCTCTTTTGTGAGGTTTCCTTTCAAGCTCTAGAAGAGTGACGATGAGATAGAATGTATGAAGTACAGATTCCTATTTCTCTTCAGGAATGTAAAAAGCCAAACTAGTAGAGCTTCAATTAAGACTGTAAACAAATATAAAATCAATATCCCAAATGTAAAGAGGAAGAAGTCCAAGGTATATAGCTATATAGCTGTTTAATCATCCTCAGCAAAGCATCCATCCGGCCCAAGAAACCCGAGCTAGTTCCCTATATCGCAAGAGCTGACAAGACTCACAAGCGTCTTGTATCCTCGGACCATCGAGGTGATTTCCTTGAGCATCAGCGAAACATTTTGGTTGGTTGTTCGGGTCAAAGGGAGAGCATTAGGAATGTCATGATTGGATACATTTCCGGAAACTGGGGAAGCTGCTTACTGCCCATTTGCTTAGCATTGCCATATTAGTAAATAGAGTGTCTGGCTAAGCTTGGCTCTCCAAGATCTGAGACGTTTTAGTGTAACGATTGCGGCTAACTTTAATTATGACGAATGCGGAGATATGGATGAAGATTTGAGATTGAGGGTTTTTTTTTTTTTGTTTGGTTGCCAATTGTTGGTCGCGTGCTTCATAATTAGATAACATAGCATAGCATAACATACCATACCATACTACCATTACTTACTCACACCCTCCATAATCCCAATCTCTCATCGATATCATCAATACATCCATCCATCCATCCCTCAGACCGCTCCAAGCCCAAATGCCCAGCCGTAAGACGTTCTCTTGGAAAGTTACATCCCAATTACCTGTCACCTAGCACATGTTTTCATATGCGCACTAGACGTTATAATCCCCTACATATCTCTCATTTCTTACATTAGCATGTGAAGAAAGCTCCAAAATAGATAAAATGAAAACCTTCCCAGGCCAAACAAGGGTTAATGACTTCTCTACCGAGGGGCGCCCAGCAAAACGCGGAGGAGGGGATTAATTTTCTACAGGCGCTTATCTGATGCCTCGGCTTAGAAAACCGCTCAGATACCCACTCAGAGACCCTTTCATCCTTAAACCCGATCCGATACCCGCTGTTTTACTTCTCCGAAATATCAGAATCTTCCGGTCATGCTTTTGAATGTCCGATTTTAGGATGCGATTTCAGGAAGTGAAGGCATCCATGTACCTATTGGCTCAGATAAATATAATATGCGTCAAGAGTATATCCATATTGAATCACTGATGAGGTGCCATGTGTAAGAAAGTAGAAAAGCCAAGAACAGTCATGTCATTCAATTCATAGGTAGAGGATGCATAATGTTATCAGCAATTTTGCCGGTATATTAATTTCTGGCGAGACAGCCTAGACTGCTACTTTTCAACTGAATTCTATACATATCTTCATTAAAGTCTCCAATCCCCAAAGCGAACAACCACCGCAAATCGTCCCCAAACATCACTCATAAATACACTTTTGCAAGTCCAGCAAAAGGTTCTATCGGCTTTTGGGTCACCCCTATCATCCCACCACATCAAGATCGTTCAATCGTTAACATCAGAAATTTTTGGAATATCGTTAAGGTTTGCATGGGGTATAGAGCAAAAAATGCAAATGTCGTTAAAGCATCAAATGTTCTGTTATCCTCTATCTTCGTATACTTAAAGGTTCATGGCCTTATTGTATTGTTCCCAAGGAGTAAGTGCTCCTAGAGTTCGTCGCATATGTGCATTGATAATTTGGAGTCCGTAAACGTAACTGGCATTAACCCATCCGAATCTAACACCATTAGAACTTTGCAATCGGTCAAAACGTCTTGAATAACTTACCCTTCCTTGGCAACTCCCTTGAAATCCGACCCTTGGTTGCCATACTCCGCATCAACCTTGTGAGGATCGATAACTCTGGTCACGTCGTATTTTTCTACGACCACGCCGTTGAAATCGACAAATGCTGTTGTAATCATGAACAGCCATTTGTAGGCAAGCCGTTCAGCCTCTTCCTGGTAATTGTATCGTAGTAAGCCCGTCCAAGCTAGCATTTGCTGCGGAGCCCAGCCATATGGATAATCCCATTGACGGTTTGGCCGGTCTAATCCAACTGCACCACGAGACTCTTCGGTTCCGGAAAGTAACCCTCCAGCGGCTTCAAATTTAGGAAGTGCATTTTTAACCAGACTGGCAGCTTGCTGTGGCGAAGCAACGCCTGCCCACATAGCCCAAAAGGTGGTGGCAGTTTCATATGTACACTGCTCTTGCTTCAGGGTATTATAATCAAAGTACATGCCCTTCTTCTCATTCCAGAGGTATTTGTCGATGGCCAACTTGCGTCCTCTGGCCCTTCGATCCCACATTGACGACGTTTGCAGCTGACCGGGCTTCATGTCGCCCACGCAAAATTCGGCTGGAATTTCAAGCTTGTCGTTGAAAAAGGTACGAATGGTGTATGCAATATCTTTTTCATACTTATAAAGAAGAGAATTGAGATCAATTGTTGCAAGATCGGCGCAAACTCTTTCCAAACGGTAGGATGTGTCGTGTCCTGATTCACGTACTGCTCGGTCGTGCAAGAAGTAATCATCCAACTCTGGTTCCACGACTTTTCCATTATTGTAAGCTTCGACAAATTCTTTGAAAGTCATATTGTACTTCTTAGCGTAAGGCTCCAACAGATGCTCGAAATGCGATGCTTCAGTCTCTGGAGGTACACCCAGGCCTTCAGGGCGATATCTCGACAGGCCGGTGACAGGGTCATATCTTGGCTGGGCCGTCCAAACGCTATGGTACTCCTTAATCGCAGCCAAGATAGAAGTCTTCAAAAAGTCCAATGACCCTGGTTCATGCTTGATTTTGTCGAAAACCCGGAGTGCCATGTCTGTCAAGAAAGGTGGTTGAGAACGACATAAATAGTATGACCTGGTGGCATTGAGAATTTTTCCGTAATGCTCGATGCAAAAACAGAAATTTTGCACCATTGACTTTGCCAAATGGACCTTGTCATTGACGATCAATCCTAGTGATTCCATATAGCTATCCCACCCGTAAAGCTCGTTGAATCTACCACCTGGTACAACGAATGGCAATCCTTTGAGAGTTTTAGCACCAGTTGATGGATCCACAACTTCCTCCATGGCAACAGCTAAGAGACCGGGCTTAGAGTTCATATCACGAACAACTTCTGGAGTGATCTTCTCTGGTAACCAGCAAACATCCAGACGGACTTCGGGTCTATCATTGGCCACTTTGGTGTAGTATGCATGTTGTTCAGGTGCACCTCGAGGAATATAAATTCGTGGGCGAGGATCATCCGTCCAATCCTTAGGATCCCGGCCAGCAATTTCAATTACCGATCCATCGATTCTCCGAGTCAACCGGTCCCAGAATGAGCCTTGTATCAATCGTGCGAGCCGGTTGACGGGGTTCTCGTTGAGGCGAGATTCGTCCAAGATGATTTGCTCTCTGCCATTTTCTTTTGCCAAAGTCAATTCCTGCAAAAGGTTTGATAACATATAAGTCCCACGAATATCATATCTTTTGAATCCGTTCGAGGTGGCGGTTCCGAGAGGAAGTGTCTGTTTCAAAATGCGTCAGTTAGGAAACTGCAGGAACAAAATGCCTGGAAATTCCTCCTACCTTTGGTCCCAAATCTTCAATTGTAATCTGGTGATTGTCGTCTGTGTCTTCCTGCTTCCGAAGGGCTTCCAAAGTTGAGTCAACCTGTATTAAGAATTTACGTCCATAATCTCCGATATCATCTGCACAAAGGTATGTTAGTCGTAAGAAATTTGAATTTCGCAGGAGTAGAAACTAACCATGACTTCCTCTTCTCATCGGCTTCTTCAGACCCAGGATTGGTGTGGAGAGAGTGCTCTGATTCTGCGAGCAAAATCAGATGAGTGTATGATGGATGTTATTCAGATATGCCATGCTTACTGAAGAGTATGTACGGGTGCGGAATTGTTTGAATGATTTCTGATTTGTGTCATTGCTGTAGTATACATGTGCGGCAGCAAACGGATCAATTTCACTGGAAACGCTGGAAGTACGCTGTTTTGGCAATGGCGAGGTCATTCTATAGTTTGGAAGGTAGTTTGAAAGTGTTTGCAATATCTCCTGTCAAGATACCTAGCAGTGAGGTCGAAATGAGTTGTGAATGTCAGGATGGGAAGTGGGGGGAGAGGAGATAAGTCTTGACTTTTGAAAAAGAAATAAGAAGTAGAAAAGGTGAAGTTGAAATTGAATTTGTCAGAATTTAAAATTGAAATTGGAAATATTGTATTGTACTGGTATGTTCTCCACAGAAAAGACTGTAGACATGAATCAGTCCGTGTGTTGCGTGTTTGTTGTATGGTATGTTGTATGTTGTATGTGGTTGTATGTGGTTGTATGTTGTATGTGGTTGTATGTTGTATGTGGGATGTTGTTGGTATGTAGGAAGAAGTTTAAAACATCAGCAGAAGTGGTTTATTATACCGTCCGGATTGTCTGGCTTCTGGCTTGTGCTGTTAGCTGACTACTACAACTATCGTGGGTTTTGGTGGTTGCGGGTTGCTCTACTCCGTATCGTCTACCGCAACTCAAAGATAATCACAACATTCACAACATCCATCCCATCCTACCTACGATCCTGCAACCTTCATCAACCCAACCAAATTCCATGCTTTTGATTGAAACCTTCCTTTACCCAACCTTATGAGAAATTGACTGATGCTTTCTCTTTCCATTTGAATTTCTAACTTGGAATCATTGGCTGATGATTCTACTGATAAATTGCTTTATAATTTTATCTTATTCAACGCAGAACATATCTACTTGTAATGACTTTTTCAATACTCCCTTCCGTTACTTTTTTATTTTTTTTTATTTTTTTTGGATCTTCGATGTCATTCTTCACCGCCTCAAATCGTACCAAATTATAGACACCGCATGGAAACTATGGAAAATTATCATCCAAGATGCAAGAGTGACGCAGTGCGACGATACTTGTAACATTTCAGCCAATAATAGTATCCTGTGAGGAGAAATGGTGGGGACTGTGGCTGTCATTCATCCCACCATCATTATTTTCACTCTACTCTCACAGCCCCAGGTTTTTAAGGGTTCGCTCTTCGTGGGGGTTTCGGCCACCGGCATCGGTTTGACATCCGCTCCATATCTCGATACCAGGCACTTCTATGTAGTATGTACCTAAGTACCTATGCAACACGACATTGACATCTCAACCTCAACAAAGTACCTAGTAGAATACGACGTCAATAGGCCAGGATGAATTGCACTTGGAATATGCTGCTGGTTCACTGCTATGCGTTAGGATCTTTGGCCGATATTCATCCAATTTTAGACACTGCATATTTCAACTATAAGATCTCGCCAGCTCCCCGAACGCAAATGTATAAATCTTCAATCAAACTCTTGCCAAGACTCAAGAAAAGCCCTTGGTGCTACGAGCTATCGGCATATATCAATCATCCCGAATAAGTAACCGTTTTACGGAGTCTAGTCAGGCCTGAGGTTCTTCACTTGGTTGTATCTCACACGTCACATTACACATTGGACTGAAAGATGGGATGAGCTAACAAATCAGAACACGTACCGAATAATCCGGGCGTCATGTCGAGGGGAAACCATACCACCGACCCGATGTTACATCTCACATTGTCACTGCCATGTGCAAATACAGTGGTACAAATACTCGTACACCAAGAAAAGTTAACAAGCAGCCATGTCAGCTAACTAGAGTGTCTAGCTCACGTAAGTCTGACTATAACGACAATCATGTGTTGTTAGTGTTGAATTCTGTGCTTTGTATAGCTTTCCAAGCCATGCCAGCCTCTGAAAGTTATATATGGCTGTCGGTCTGTATGGCTCAAGGTAATATTTGAAATGCGTCTTGGTTCTCTGGAAGAACGCAGTCCTGTGCGTTTTGCATTTCCCAGAAACCAATATATTCGATAAACCCTTGGACGGAAAGCAGAGCACTGCTGTTTCCGTCTCCGCGACAAAATCGTTTCCAAATCATTCTTGCCACGAGTCCTGGATCCATCTTATCTTTCAAGTTACCATATTTCGAGGGGCTCTGAAAAGCCACTAGGAAGCCGTATCTTTTCAGACCGTGGCTATACTATGAATCACCATCTTTTGGATAGAAAATCGAGACAATCAATGAGTCCAATCTGATTCTGCTGTCGGTAGAAAGGGAATGAATAACTGTTAAAGTCTCAACATGGCCACATTGAATGCTAGGTTGCTTATGGCTACGGGATGTGGTGAGTCCTCTATCGCGCTCAATATAGAACTGAATGACTATTTTCATCAAGTAGTCTTTCCCAGTGCAAAAAAACGAGAGTCTCGATTTTGACAGTGGGAACTAAAGTTGCCTATTCGCTAGTTTTACTTGGCACTGGAGCGCTTAATTGGCAACTGTTGGATTGCTGTACCTTTGATCGACGACGAATCGGGTTAGGTTTAGATCATGGAAGTGTAACGAGGTGGGTAGGAGTGTTGTGTAATAGTGGCTTTTGGCTTCTGGAATTCCAAGACGACCCTGGGAAAACAAGATGAGACGACGTACTTTTGGAATTTATATCGATCTAGCCGCTAGTGTAGCGTGGACATGGGCAGAACTTGTAGTTCCACATTCATGTCCAACTTCTGGACCTTTGAGTGACAAGCAAGTCATGCTTGTCAGGTCAGCCTTCTGAGAAATAGCAGACGCATGATCCTTTGGACAGCAATCGGTCGCGAAGCTCGTCGAGAGCCGTTTTCATGCATCCAAGTAATAACTCTCTTTGGTATGTCTACCAAGAGTTATGAGAGACAACCACTCTTGTTGGTCGACCAGCCCAGCTTTCAAATCTTTTGTTGTTTTGTTTTTATAATAGCAGCGCGAAAAGCCTGCGAGGTTTCCATATTACTAGTAGTGGAAATAATCACTTAACCCCTTTTCGAGCTCATGGATGGTTGTTAAAGCGGACAGCGAATCCATGGCGTTGAAGCTCTCAGCGTAAAGTCGGACTATGGTCTGAACAGCTCACTCGCTAGCCACGATGACCATCTAACTTTTCTTAAACTTTTAAAACCTAGTTAGGGAATTTTCCTAATACAATGTTCGTCGATAATAATTTCGTCGTTGAAAAAGTTAAGCCTCTGATGATTTTACATCATTTATTTTTTTAGGTGGTTAGTTGCGCCGATTGCCGTTTCGAACACCACAGTATTGGTGCTTTTTGTATGGTGATCACCTTCCACACACCACTTCTGAATCACAAGTATCTCGATAATAGATAATCTTCAGCTTAACTTTCTCGATACAAAGATTTACGCACGGAACTACCAGTGATAGGTTAAAATTTTACCCTGTCGTTTCAAACCGTGCCACCTAAGAGGGAAATTTGAAGATCCTCAGACTCACTTCCCTTTGTCCCGCATCAAAGAGTCGGTTGCGTTAGTGTTTACACGCGCAGTGCACATACATATAAGGTGTCGTTGTTGTAACCCTTAAATTAGATGGCTGGCAATTTACGACGCTAAAACTTCAAATGTGCGCACAGGCGGAAATCTCAAGAGATTTCTCGAACCAGGTCTACGAAGGCTATGCGGCTTATGCCACGCACAATATTCCCGCAGATAAGATAACAGTTCACTCAGCCTTTGTCAGGGCCCAAGATGGATCGAGGCTTGATGATGGCTGCATTTTGTTGAGCGCCTTGGGACAACGACCTTAAGATAAAGCATTCGAAAGGGGAATAAGAGCCGCTCTCCAGGAATAGTTCATACCCTATCTGGATTCCATAGGTGAAGAACGAACCAACACCGTGGCAGGACCCACTTCAACTTTTTAACATTGATGCTAGCACACGGAGCTGATCTTCTCAGAAGTTTGCCGAGACACAAACGGAGAAAAACTTACCAGGGTCGGTGTATCAAGAGGGAGACACGCCGAGTGTGTCTAACTGCTGAGGACTCACTTCCATTATTTCATATATAGGAAATATAATTAAAATCTAATTCGACGGTGATTCAACTGTCGTATGTATCACCTCAGAGATCGAGATTCCCTCCACAACCTCCAAACCTTCTCTTTCAACGTTTGGAGCGCTGAGACAGGTTATTGGATAGCATCATTCCAGCCCCATAAACCGGATTTTCTTCCACAGACTTCGGGTGGAGGGGTCTAAAAATAAGACCCACCCGAAAGGAGCTCGGGCCCGACTAAGCTCTAGCTGCAAAACCTACGAGATTGACTCGCCCATGCACTCTGACTAAAAAGTATGCCGTCTCCATTTTCATGCTAGCAAAAGCATCATGAAAAAGCAAGCATTAGACGGACCTTGGAGAGGAAAAAAAACAATACGTCCACATCAAGCTGGGAATGTAACTTTCTCGTTTTCGTTCATTTATTCCTTTCAAGTTTCTAGTCGTACATGCATAGTTAATAAGTACTAAGTACCAAGTACTAAGTATTAGGTACGATAATTAGAAAATCCCATCATGATGCGCCGGCGGTCAACTTTGCTATGGTTTCGTTCCGCTCATTTAAAGATGCCCACCGAACAATGTCTTATTCTCTCCATCAATCAATCAATTGTTGAATGATGAAAGTTTGATCATCCCTATTCTTATCAGGATCTTCCATTACATTCAAACGGCTTTATGATAACATAACCTTTTGGAACGGTGTAAATACAATTCAGAAACACAAATAACCCTCAGACGGAAGATCACTTGCAATTTGCAAAGAAGTTGTTTTTCGAAATTTTGCGTCTTGATCTTAGATCGTGATGTTGGAAAAAACCATGTAATTGATGTGCAGATAATCAGGAAGCTTAATACACTAGGAGAATAAAGCTCGTTCTTTACTCGCTTCTAAGTTTGGTCAAAGCACGGATTCGGTTATGATGAGCAGGCAAAGAGAAGAATACGGAGCATGCCATGGATCCAATTTAGCAAATTTTGCTATCTACATAGCAAAAATATAGATCCTGAAATGCAACATCTCGATTCTCGATGTTGTTAGCTTGCGAGCGGTGTAAGTTCAGCTGATCTTTTTTGGGATGTGGCAAGAACTCCTTATCTTAACTTACTTGTTGTAGCATGCAGCAATCCCAGTATTGGTTCTCTGGAATATCCATCAACAACAACTAGAAGAAAATCATTATCTGCAAGTGCCCGCAAATGTCAATGTCTCATTGAATCATTGTACATTTCGCATCAATCCATTTTTTTCATGCATTACAGTGTCGGTGGTACTGACATGGGATTTTTCTCATTTTTACTTTTGAGCCGCCATGCAATTTCACGACCCTTCAATCCGGTTCCAAGGTGCTAACTACTGCAGCCATCCCGGGCCAAGTTCCTACTTTATATCGCTCGGTCGAACGACTAAGGTAGGTACGCGCGAAGTATAATTCGAGCTAATTATAAGTGAAGATTTACGAGCGGTATATGAGGAAGGTTGCAACATACACGATCACCATGTAACCACGACCATGAGTTGCTTCAAAAATTCCAATATAGGATCAACCCCTTGATATTTCGTGCTTACATGAAAGCTGTACAAGATACATATTTAAAACAAAAATCTGCAGTATCTTTTTTCTATATCCCTGGCAAATCTCCGGGGAGGCCGGTGAAAATCATTCCTTGTGGATCTTCCGAGTGACGCTAAAACCCCTGAACTGCCAGGAAAGCGTGCGTCTTGTTTAGCCTGAAGACTTATCTGCAAATGGGAATGGTTTTTCGTCTATTTATGAAGTGCTATTCCAAATTAGCTTGAACTGCTACATGAATTTCAATAGATCATTACCGGATTGGACCTACTCGCTTTTGTTTACCTCAACAGCATTGTTCGATTGTCAGAGCTGTGTCGGGAACGCACAGCATCAACAATACTTTCGTCTGAACCTTTTCCGAACTTGGGAAAGTACCCAGCCAGCGCCGAACTGCATTTGCTTAGTTTGGCCTTGGCGTTTGATATCTTTCTGCCATGTTGGCCTAAGAGCCACGAGTGTTTGGAGGGGTGGTTCGCTGCCATAGCTTATCCGAGCTTTTGGTCGTATTCGATCCACCTCCTTGATATGGCAGCGGCAAGCTAGATACATGGCCTTGTTTGTTACTCGCTCAGGCCTGGTCGAGCCACAAATTTGGCGGTTCGCGGTCGCTGAAAGCTCCAGAATCTGCAACTTGGGTAGGTCTTTTCTCAGCTCCTCGTTTTCCTCCGAACTATTGCAGGCTCAATGAATGGGTTTGTTCTTTGAGTTATCCCTAGCTTCAATAGCGTTTTTGGCAATGTTCAGAGGCGCTAGTGCAAATGGCTTTTTCTTCTCATAATCTACTTTGTACATATTGCCCTTCACCCCGCTGAGCGCGAAGTGTTTTATCAAGACCTTTTCTTCTTCACCGACAGCAAAGCCCTCATTCATTTTGGCTTGCTGATCATAGTAATCAGTCACTTTTGTTTGAAATATTTACTGCATATATTTTTTCCATTCTTTTATTAGTGTTTTATAATTAATCATATATACTGATTGTTACGTTTGCCCGCATTTCAATCATATCATAACCCAAGATGAACGCCATCAAGGGATACCTCGCGCCGGGGAAGAAGGCCGAGAAAGATGCAAAAAAGGGAAAGAAGACTGAAGCATCGACAGCGACACCAGCACCAGCACCACCACAAATGGAAATGCGTACAACACCTCCATTGGGCTCGCCAATGGCAGGATCCTTCGTTGGCAATTCGAGGCCGTCCTCTCTATACCCAGAAGGTGATTTTCGAAATGGTCCTAGGGAAAGCGTTATGAGTGTCAAGGCCGATGTAGTAGTCAGTTGGTTACATCAACAACAGATGGAAAAGCTATGGGCTGTTGGTGCTCCAGGAGAAGGTGTTGTCTTGAAGAAGGCGAAGGATGATTTTACCTGTTGTCCGCCTTCTTTAAGGACGGAACCATCAGGAATCTTTGACTACATTGTAGCAATGAATGTCAGAGTAGGTACATCGCATGCGCTTAGGATAAATATTTGCTAACCTGCTATATAGGCTGCCATGACCGTAAACACTCGCGTTATCAAAATCTTCCTCGCGCGTCAGCACGCTGATTACGTTCCTCTTTCAAATGGTCTTCGTCTTCAAGTCCTTCCCAGTGTTGAGTTTTTACCTCGATGCCAGAAGCATCATTTTGGTGCATTCATTCAAGATCAGCAAATTCTCGTTGTTTGGGATGATGAATCAAAGCACTTGTTGAAGCGAGCCGAATTTATCGAGAGATCTTTGTTAGAAATGATCTGGGCCGATGATGACGCCGAGATGGATGAGAAGAAGGCTGGAGCACAAGTTTCTACAGCTGATTTGGGAAATGGTGATGTTGAAGATGGTTATGGAACGGAAGAAAAGAGACCAACGTTACTCATCAACCCCATCATGGTTGCTGTAACCTTGTGTCTCCTCATCGCTGCTCTTGGACTTGGTTGGAAAAATCTTGCGCTTGAAGTTACCGTTGATGGGAATTTCACCCGATTGGCTTTACTTGCCGTCACTCCTTGCCAAGTCTTCGTCTCGCTTTTCTTCATGCAAGTCATTGTCGTCAATCTCACCCAATGTTTCGGACCGATCAATAACTTAAACTGCAACTCTAAGTTCTATTCCGGCAAGGCTCCTCAACGCCTCAATCGCAACAATAGAGAACTTCCTCACGTCACCATTCAAATGCCTGTCTACAAGGAAGGTCTCGTTGCTGTCATTCAACCCACTATTATCTCGCTCAAGGCTGCTATCTCCACCTATGAACTCCAGGGTGGAACTGCCAATATCTTTATTAATGATGATGGTATGCAATTACTTCCTGAAGAAGAAGCTCAAGCTCGTCGTGATTTCTATGATGAACATACCATCGGATGGGTCGCACGTCCCGGACACAAACCAAACCCAGAGAATGGCGAAAAGGCATTTCTTCGTCGTGGAAAATTCAAGAAGGCTTCCAACATGAACTACGCTCTTATGGTTAGTAACAAAGTCGAAGAAAGACTCCTCACCATTGCTCGTCATGAGGGTTGGTCTCAAGCTGAGGAATATATCGCTTATGATCAATGCTTGGCTCAAGTCTTGGAAGAGGAAGAAGGTCGTGCTTGGGCTGGTGGTAATATTCGTGTTGGTGATTACATCTTGCTTATTGATTCCGATACTCGTGTTCCTTCCGACTGTCTCTTGGATGCTGCCAGTGAGATGGAACAATCTCCCGAAGTGGGAATCTTGCAGTTTAACTCTGGTGTCATGCAAGTTACTGATAGTTTCTTCGAGAACGGGTACGTATTCGTCATTCTTCTCACAGCATAATTTGAATAAAACTAATCAAAACTACAGAATTACTTTCTTCACCAATCTTATCTATACCGCCATCCGATTCGCCGTAGCCATGGGTGATGTCTCCCCGTTCGTAGGCCACAACGCCATGCTCCGCTGGTCCGCCGTCCAACAAGTCTCCTACCACGACGAAGACGGCTACGAGAAATTCTGGTCCGAATCGCACGTCTCGGAAGATTTCGACATGTCTCTCCGTCTCCAAGTCAACGAATACACCATCCGCTACGCCGCCTACACCGGCGATGGATTCAAAGAAGGAGTTTCCCTCACTGTCTACGACGAACTTGCTCGATGGGAAAAATACGCTTATGGATGTAACGAGCTTCTTTTCAACCCATTACGTTTCTGGTTCACACGCGGTCCCTTTACAAAATTGTTCAGAGAGTTCTTGTTTTCGAATATGAGACTTACCTCCAAGATTACCATGATGGCTTATATTGGTACTTACTATGCTATCGGTGCATCGTGGATTCTTACCGTGGCCAATTATTTCATCATGGGTTGGTATAATGGGTTTTATGACAAATACTACTTAGATTCTTTCCAAGTATATTTCTCGCTCATTATCGTCTTCAGCGCATTGGGAAATGTTTCGCTAGCTGTTCTCCGCTACCGATTATCAGAACGTTCTTTCTTTTCTTCTCGTAAGTATTTGCCTTTCCTCTTCTTCCCCTTTCCCCTCATCAAAATCACCTCATCCTAACAAAATAACTCACAGTCTTCGAAAACTTCAAATGGCTCCTTCTAATGACCGTCTTCCTCGGCGGACTCTCCATGCACGTCTCCCAGTCCCTCCTCTGCCACTTCTTCGAAATCGACATGACCTGGGGCGCCACCGCCAAAGAAGTCGAAAACGTAACCTTCTTTGAAGAAATCCCGCGTCTACTCAAACGTTTCAAATATACGTTTATCTTCTGTATATTGATGACGGCCGGTATGATCGTATGTGCGCTCTTCGTGCCTTGGAATTGGAGAATCGATACTTTTGTCGCTATTTATCCACTGTGCACGGTGGTTGTTAGTCATTTTTTGATGCCGGTGGCTTTGAATCCGGCTTTGATGATGTTTACGTGGTAGAAGTGGGTTTAGGTGTGCGGGTTATTGGGTTGGGGTTGGGGTTGGGATTGGGATGAATACATGTATGCGTGCATGCAATACATGCATGGATATGAGGAGACTTAATTTGATGATTGTTATGTCTTAAGTTAATTTGGGATTGGCGTTATATTACATCCGTATATATGGTCCACGGGAGGCATTTTTGACATTTTTCTTATTTGTCATAATCTTTCTTTTATATGCAGAGATGGCTGGAAATAAATAAATATATGCATGGATGGATGGTTAGATCAGATATAGATATAGATAAATTATTTAATTTTACGTTCTTTTGATTCATGGTTTAGACTTAAGTTTTCTTGTTGCAATTTTGAATGGAATGATGAAGGGAAGTTTTGGTGTGTATTTATGGATGTGTATATGTTTGTATACAGATAGATATAGTACTTGAATAATTAGTCAGGTTATAGAAACTAAATAAACCATATAATCTAATCTTATAACAAGAATCTATTAATCAATTATTGCACCCAATATAAGATCACACCTAAACTTCTCCCTTCTATCCATCCCGTCCCTCCAAAATTACCCCTCTCCCCTCTCCCCACTATCAAACTCAAACTAAAATCCCCCATACACCCCCTCCCCCTCTTAACCCCTCTCCCACCACCAATCAATCAATCATCTCCCCCTCCTTCTCTCCTACCCTCCTACTTCCTTTCCCCTCACAAAACCCACCAGGCCCCCTCCTCATAATAACATGACTTGTCCTCCCCATCCCCTCCCCCCCCTCATACAAATCCAACCGTATATCCATCGCATGAACTTCTTGAAAACCGTGTTTTCGATAGAGACCTATGCCCCAGGGGCTAGCCCCTAGGATTACTTGGATGGGTGGGTGAGTTTGGATACTGGAAGAAGTGGCTGGAGAGGATGATGGAGGGATTGGAGACGGGATGGAAGAACGGGGAAAAGTCTCGCCGGAGTCGGCGAGCTGTAATCCCTTGCCTGAGGAGAAGTGTGCCGATTCCTTGGCGTTGGTAGTCTGGGTGGATTACGAGGATGTTGAGTTCCGTTTAAGGGGGCAGGGAGGAGGAGTTAGTGGTGTGGTTTGGTTTTGTTTTCTGTGGAAGGGGCGTGGGATGATGGTATAGGAATAGGTATAGATATATAAACAACGGGAGGAAAAGGAAAAGGACAACAAAATATATGAAATATACATACTCAACCACCTTTCCTTCCCACAAGCCTTAAACATATATTCATCCCCTCTAACAAATACATCCTCACACAATTTAAAATTACTCCCTTTTCCCCATATCTTTTCTAATTCCTCTTTTGTTTTTACTTTAGGAATTTCAGATACTTCATTTATTTCCTCTCCTTCGCCTTTCCCTTCCTCTTTCTCCTCTTGCTTCCCATCCCCATCCCCATCCCCACTCCCCTCATTCCTCTTCCCCTCTCCCTCTTCCCCACCCCCACTCATCCACCCCGCAACCCCCACAATATCCCCCTTCTCCTCATCACCATCCTCTTCCCCCTCCTCTCCTTCCCCCTTCCCCCCCTCCCTCCCCCCCAAAACCGCCTTAACAAACCAACAATCCCCCCTCCCCCAAAACTTTCCCAACTGTTCACTCCTCAACCTCAAACCCTCCTCACTACCTCTCTCCCTTCCAAATGCCAAATCGCTAAATTCATCATTTTCGAATGCTAGATGTTCTAGGAGGGATAGACGAGGGAGATCGGATTTTGTTAGAGGGTGGAGGGATATTTGTGGGGGGTGTTTGGGAGGGGAGGAGGAGGCTTTTGTTGGGTTGGGTGTTAGGGGGATGGATGGATGGGTTGTGGTCATTTTTTGGGGGTTGTGTGGTTGTGAATAGATTGGTTTGGGGTGGGTTGGGTTGGAATAGGATGATGGTTGTGATATAGAGGTGATTATTGGGAGTTTATGAAATGAAAGCGGTATTGAGGTAGAAGTAGGTAGGTATTAAAGTAAAGATAAATAAAAACGAAAAACGAATAATTAAATAAACAGATAAATAAATAATTATGAATAAAACCTGTCTGATACATATACAGGTAGGTATGTAAATGTAGATGTAGATAAGTATGATAGTATAAAAACAAACAAACGGACGAAACGAATGAATATAAACTGCGTCTGGAATCAAATTATATATGGATACCTACATACTACACTACTTATATCAAACAAGTAACCTATAAGACAAACTGCCGTGCAATCCTGGCACTTGATTCTATACCAGCATATATATGCTATACCTACATTCATTCATATTCATCATATGCTACCTCTCTAATCGGTATGATGCAATACAACATCATACATACACACAAAACCCTTACGATTACAACCAACACCTTCCATCCAACAACACCAACACCTTCTACACAAATAAACTAAGATCTTACCTTACCTATACATACTCCGTACCCATCCAACCACCCAATCTCCACATATACAACCACATGCATGCAACACACCGCACATCCATCTCATATCACATCTCATCTCACATCTCACATCTCAGTGCTCACATCCCATCTACCGCATATATATATGACGTCTAATCTAACCTGTAAGCTCTAACCCTAATTACTCCATCCATAGTAAATTCTCACATCCACACGCGTTCCTGCATGAGTCTACTCCGTACATACACCAGTAAACTTCTGGTAGGTTTAAAGATCCCTGATAACCGGGAACATGCTCAGCTCATCATTTTGCTCAGCTCTCAGCTTGCTTGAAATCTATCGGTCTTACACCTACATAACTGCACACTTATACGGATATACATACCTATCTACCTACCTACCCACCCACTTACCTACCACAATCACAACCATACAAACAAAAACTCCCCATACCCCATGTGTAACCTACCTAACCCAACCTAACCTAACCCTACTCTGTCCTCCGTCCTCCGTCCTCCGTATATGTATATGTATGTAGCTTACCGATTGACTCACTCACAATCCATAATCCATGATACATGATCCGAGACCGACTCTACTCGACTAGACTCGACTCACCGAGTTGGGATCAGAGTGAGAAGTGAGACGAGGCGTTATTTTCCCGAGACCCTAGTGTATATATGTATGTATGTTTATGTATGTGTTTAATGTATGTTTATTTAAGGCTGAGTACTTATTATATAGTGTACATGGATGGATGAATAAATGATGTGATTACATGATTCTGTACGATTTTTAGATTGTGAAGTTTCGGGTTATAAATAATACCGCTATTTGGTTTAGTTACCAAGTAAGCAAGCAGCAAGCAAGCAAGCAAGTGACCTTAATCAGAAAAGAGCAGGCAATTAGATTTTACATGAAATATCTATCCGATTTCACACTGCATTCATTCCAGATGTCACATCTCACTCCACACATCATCATAAAACCTTCCAATCAACCCCAACACCCCATTTCACCCTCTCAACCACAATCTCCCAAACTGGTCCTTTAATTCCTACGATCTCTCCAACCTGCACTTCCTTTCCCCTCTGTAGTCCTATCCCCATTCCTTCCCCAGCCAACATAACCCTCACATCTCCCAAACCATCTAGTATCTCCTCTCCATCTAAATCACGCACCTGTTTTCCCCTCACTAAACACATTTCCCTCCCACCTCTACTAATTTCCTCCACCTTAATCTTCACAATCCATTCCCTATCTTTATTTTTCATCCCTTGTGTATTAGATTTATGTGCAGAGGAAGAGGAAGAGGAAGAAACGGAAGAATCAATATTAATCAACCAATCTCTAACTTCCGCCGCCAATCCCCCATTCACATATTGTCGACCCTTTCTATGCGGAGAAAATTGTTCGGGTAATGGATCGATATGTCCATGTGTCTCCGCAGGATCAGACGGACGAAAACGAGGAGGTTTGAGAAAAGTGGTTGGGGTGGTAGATTGAGGCGTAGATGGAGGTAATGGAGTTGAGAGGAGAAACTTGGGTTTGCTAGTGGTAGATGTAATTAGATTCTGTCGATGGGAAATTGGCGAAGAAACTATAGGAAGAGAGGAGGATAGTAAATCATCTGTTTCTTCTGAAATGATATCTGCTGGAGAAGATGAAATTCGTCGACGTTTGGATAAACGTGGGTTTATTTCATAATCATCTTCTGCGCCCTGGGCTAGAAATCCTATCTCGGTATCAAATTCATCTTGTGTTTCGATCGAATCGTGAAGAGGAAGATGAGTTGGGTATTCATCTGATGGATCATCGATATTCTCTTTTGGTTTTGGCGTTTGATGAGCTGGTGTTAAGTATCGTCCCACAGGTATAGATGATGATACATTCTGTGTGCCAATAGGTTTTGGCGTACAAGAAAATGTAAATCGAGGAGTAGTATTAAATTGTTGGGTGTTTGTAGGACGAGGAGTTGATTCCTCTGCTAATTGGGATCGTGGTGGTGGAGGTTGTTTCTTGATCACAAATCGATGAGGTGATGGTGTCTATATAGTTATTAATATTGGAATTTCCAGTGAAAAGAGTATAGAACTTACTACTGGTGGAGGCATCTTTCATGCTTCATACATTCATTGCTTCTTCTCGTGGCTTTAAAGACGGTGGAGATATTGAAGGCAGAATATCTGAAGTAGGAAATTGAATATCAGATTCAATTAATCGTTCTAATTAGAAACATCAACTACATCTTTATCAATCATTTGAAATCGCCTTCCATCTATAGTCTCGACATCCCATCATACTTTTTAGTTGTGGAATATGAACATCACCGACAAAACAAATGATTCCCTAAGGTTATCTCAAGTAATAAATAAATCAATATATGTGCGGAAAACATCCCGCAGCAAACATTGATGACATAATACAGTAGATTAAGAAGTGAAGTGGAATGCTATTTGCAAATGTCACCGGCACTTAAATATACTAGGTCTTTCCAAGTAAATATAGAAAGTGCAGAGTCCCGTACAGAGTAAGGAGTCTCACCCAAACAGAACCATAAATACTACAAATCTTCAACTTCAAATAAAGCTCTAACCCTCTAATGAAAAATTTTCCTCGTTGTATAAGTATATACAAATCTTATCCAATTCACATCCAGATCCAAATCACATCCACACACACATCCAAAAACACAAAACACCCATCTACTACCCCAAAAACGCTTTGATTCATTCATCTACATGCTACGCCTATACCCGCTATGCTGACCCTGATAATGAGAATCCCCAGTTTATCATCTGTCTCTCTAGTTATTTTCTAGTATTCATTTCTTCATTCATCCATCCTCCTCTCATCTTCTATTTATCTTTCCATCGCTCTCCCCTCCCCTCTCCCCTCTCCATCAATCCATACCTTCATCACTCCAATCCTCATCCATCCCAACACTTCCTAAAATCCAATAGACCCAATCAAAGCAACCCATGCTGTTGAGGAAAAAACACAGATTAATTAATCCTTCAAGTTTCTCATATTTGTAAATCCCATCCCATTTCTCCATTCATAATTTCCATCTGCACGGATTCGTACCATTCGTCCTCCCTTTAGAAATTCCTTATTGTCTCCACTACGTAAGTACAATTGATTGCGCGCTGGATGTACTTTCCCGCTGAAGAAATGGAGATGAATGGTTGATAAATGCCTGTGGAGCAATATACTGCATGCCACTTCGGTCCACTTCATCACATGTGCATCTCCATGTCTCTCCAATTTTCCCTTCCTTCTTTCCAAGACGACCATCTTTTACAACTCTAAATCATCACTAATACCAATATCGATACTAGCAATAATATCATCGTCCATCAAAGGTTTTCTGAATCCAGGAACTCCACCCTTCATGGACGTTTGTAGCTTACTAAAATTCGGTACCGGTAAAGCATCTTTCTTAGCCACAAGTTTAGGGGTATTATTGGTCGAAGTACCACTAACTGGAGTAGCAGTTGCGCTATCCTTACCTCCAGTATGATCATGTTTGAAAGTAGCACGAGTTTTGACACGCCTTGAGTGATCTTCATCAACTACTTCTCCACGAGCAATCGCTGCTTCAGCCTGTCGAGCTGCACGACGTTCATTGATTTGCGCTTGACGTACTTCCTCGATATTTTTGCGACGATTTAATCGATTTAATTCGGCAAGTCGGTCTTGTTGAGAGTGAACCATCTTCTTCGGCGTTGATTTGAGGGTGGTTCCATAAGCCAGTTTGGAATTCTCGAGCGCTTCAAGTTCTGAACGATACTTTTCTTCCATTTCGGTATTGCCAAGGGCTTTCTGTTCCTTGATAGCGTTGTTAAGACGCACACGTTCGGTTGCATTCCACTTTTCCGTCAATACACCGGATTTCTTCAACTTCTCTTGTAGCTCGGCTTCAGTCCAAGGTCTGTTAACAAGAGCATTAATCTCTGCACACTTTTGCATCAACTTTGGTTTTGTCGGAACAGGTATGCCATCAGCGATACAATTTTGCTTATATCTTTGCCATTCAGCCTCTGTAAATCGAGAATCTGAACATGCGATAAATGGCCATGATCTCTCAGATTTACCATGTGCAGCAATCACATATTGTGTTGTCGAAAATTGCTTTCCGTTACTAGACATCATAGCGTATGGTTTATCTTCTTTGAAGCCTGAGGTAGAGTCAGCGTGATTATCGCAAGAATAGTTTTAACGTATTAACCTTTAACAAGTCCCATGCGATAAAGGTTTTGATTTGTCTCCTTATCAACACCAATATTTACTCGAACAAAGCATCCAGTAATAGCTTCATCAAACCCAGGATAAAAGCAGACCATGGCAAATCTACTTCTACCAACTCGAACTCGTTCAAGATCATAGAGAACCGCCGGTTCTGCATCTCGGTAATCTGGAGATGCAGACCTTTTCTTTGACTTTGATGCTGTCCATTCAACCTCACTATCCCCATCACCATCGTCATCTGAATAATCGTCCCGGGTATCTCTTCGACCATCATCCCCACGGCGCTCCTTATCTTGATCGCGACGACGTTGTCGATCGTTTTTCTCAGCTCTTGCACGCTTAAGACTGTCAATTCCAGTGCTAGCTTCCCCAACCTTCCCACCACCAAGCTTGGTACGTTGACGAGACGTTTTGCGCTGGTTTTCCTCCAAATCCGCGGTACCTGCCTTGCGCTTTTTGTCCGCTTTTTTATTCTCTGCATCACGGGCATTTAACAGTTGACGAAGTGCTCTATTTTGACGGTCCCTTTCAATCTCTTGGGCACGATCAGCCAAGACCTGCTCACGTTGAATTTCAGGCATAGACATAATACTTGCTTTATCGGCTGCATTCATAAAACGACCTTCGAGAGGATATCGATCAGCATCATCGCGAAAACTTGGGCCATCGGAATCGGAATCAGATTCATCCATTGGAGCTGATCGTTCCGAACGAACAGATTCATCACCGGAAGAACTGTTCTAAAATATTAGCACAATATCTAGCTACATATGAATATTGTAGAAGAATCTCGTATGATCAATGTCCGCGCATCGGTGACAAGATGGAATATAACATCAGATGATCGTCACAGTAGAAGAAAACTTACGCTTCACCTTCTTCCTCAGAATCATCATTTCGTCTACCCCCCTTCTTTCCACCTTTCTTAGCTGCACTCTTTACCGCACCATTACGATCAGGCGATGAAGAACTGTGTCTTCCCCCATCATTTGTTGCGACCTGTTCTTCTCCAGAAGAATCATCTCCTGCAAGAGCGAGAAGTTCATCATCATATCCGCCATTGTATAATCCCGTTCGTAGAAAGTTCTGATAAAAGTCGATTCTTCGTTTGAGGGTCAAAAGACTTCGAATTGCGTATCGTGGAAGAAATTGATGATGAAATGAACACGAGCGAAGCAGACGATGGCGCGCAATTTGGAGTTTATCCAAAGTTGTGGTGTGAAGAAATATTACGTATTGAATTGAAAATATAAATCGTATGCTCGAGCTTTGGAGGAAAAGAAAATCTAGTGTTTCTTCCGAAATATGTTTAAATGATTGAGTGTATGGGTGAAATATAGGTAGTGAATTGTGAATTGATATATTTTGTGAACATTACAATTAGAGACAATACAATTCAGCCGCCATCTCCTTTGATAGAACATTAGCGTGAAATCTAGTGCCGCGATGTCGCTTAGGTCAGATTAGCGATAACGTAATGATAAGGAACATTCTTGCACTAATAAATGAACCTAGGCGTCATGGAAGTAAATGAGGTATGGAATTATTTCGTCGTTATTTTGTAAGATTATAATTGACCTTAGTACATATTTTCCAACATCATTGTAATTTTATATTAGACTTATAAACAACTTTTTTTTTTTATAAAAATTCCCATCACCAAAATGAATACATATAGATTTTCCCCTCGTTCTGCTCGATCTCTTCTAACAACTCAATCGCCCCTCTACGATTTCCTAATTCCAAGCTTCACCAATTCCCCCAGATCACCACGCACAATTCGCCATCTCTCCACAACCCCTCGATCATTCTCCGCCTCTACCAGTCCCTCTCAACCCAATCCTTACCCTCCAAATGAACACCCCACCAGCAATCCATCTCACCCAGCTCCCCAAGCAGGCGCAGAAGCAATCACCAATGCGCACCCCTCAAAGAAACCCCTAAGCCAAGCGCAAAAAGATTTCCTCACCAGCGCCCTACGCGTTAACCAAGCAGGCGAGCTCGCCGCAACTCTCATCTACACCGCACAAACCCCTCCTATAACAAATGCACATCCGCATTTACGTCCCCTCATGGCCCACATGTATGATCAAGAAGCCGGACATTTCAAAACCTTCAACCATCTGCTTGCAAAACATCGAATTCGCCCCACTGCGTTAACTCCCATTTGGTCGCTGGCTGCTTCGGCGCTAGGTTGGGGTACGGGTTTGATGGGTCGTGAAGCGGCGATGGCTTGTACGGAAGCTGTGGAAACGGAGATTGGGACACATTATAATGAGCAAGTTCAAGTATTGCTGGAGATGCAGGAGCAGATGAAGGCTCGGGGCGAGCAGCTGGGAGAAGAGTTAACAGAGTTATTGGAAACAATTAGAAGGATACGAGATGAAGAATTAGAGCACTTGGATCATGCAGTTGAGCATGATGCAAAGAAAGCTGTGCCTCATGAACTATTAACTGGCGTTATTAGAGCAGGATGTAGAGGGGCTATTTGGGTCAGTGAGAGACTATGATGTGATGTTCGATAATTGTACGAATATTGGGTATGCACTGTTGCACGGAGTGGCAGGGTTAATGTGTGGCAGAGTGACGAAGAAACTGTTACGATTAAATCTAAGTATAGTACATGTAGTACCTTCTTTTTCCCACCAAATAGACCACTGAAATGAAAGAACTCCAATCTCCATTACTTTCTTCTTATGCTAGAAATCCGTACGGAAACGCCATCCCATGTGAATGTTCCTCTTTGTTATGTTATAAGCTGTACACAAATGAAACGGAATATACAAAGCGCTCTCTGGCATTGCCATTAAATACTAGTTACTATTTCACGGGTTAGCAAATGGAAACTATGATTGTTGAGAGACCATCGACTTACTAAATTGATAAAGGAGCAACTTGGTCGACCTGGTAAAGCCAATGGGAGTTGAGTTCCTCTCTAACAAGCCAATCATAAGGGAACGCAACAATATGACCTTGAATCATCGCCAATAGATCCTCAACATCCTCTTTAGGAAGTAGATCATCACTTCCTGAGAATCCTCTGCGACTACCCCTCGTCGTACCACGACGTCTCTTCCTGACTGATCCAGATTGATTCATAGCACTGCTATTCTCCCTTCTATCACCGCTGGGTGTTGGTGTCGCAGAGAAGGTAGTTTTGCGAGTACTAGCTTGGGAGTTTGTTCCATTAGCAGGAGGGACACCCAAAGCCGTAGCATCAAGAGCAGGGAATGCTTCATTTCCTGCCGTATCAGAGGGCCCTTCATTACGAGCAGCAGCTTTCTCATCAACACCATCATATTGCCCCAAACGATTCTCGTCAGATATATTAATAGCTCGAGCATCATGTTCGGCATTGGCGCTAGCAACCCATTCAGAAACGGTTCCAAGAGGATGACCGGCTTGACTATTAGGTTTAACTTTCTCCGAGAGGGGGTTTCCTGGAACAGCAGAGCTTGAGCCCGGAGGTCCAGGTCGATCTTGATTCTCACGCTCATTAGTCTTTCCACCTCCTTGTGCCTGTACAAATCTTTCCGCGTAGGCAACAAAGTCTCTATACTCATGCCAATTGGTAACCTCGCTATCTGGGTTACACCTGAAAACTCTTCGATAAATCTTAGTATTGTTGTCGGCGATTTGTTGCCAAATCTCATCCGCAAAAGCATCATTTAACGGATCACGCATACAGTCCTTGTGCACTGGAGCCATCTTAATATCAGCCGTCAATGGATTGAAAGGTTTGGGTGCAGGATTTCCCGAAGCATCTATTATTATAGGCGGGCCACCAATATCGGTATCATCCTCGACTGGCAATGCCGGTAATTGGGAAAGCTGGGGAAGACCAAGCTGCTCTGTCGTTCTTCTTGGAAAAGGAGGCACAGGTGGTAAGCCACTGTAGCCATCTGCACTATCGGAGCTGTTCCTTCGTTGTTGTGGTACTGATCGTGAATGTGGTCTTTTAGGATGATTCAGCGTGCCCTTGCCCTCCGGAGCAATATCAGCAACCAACACCTCACGACCACTATCGACAAGAACAGAATCTCTACCCATCGTTTGTCCTGTTTGCGATAGAGATTTCAGTTTGTCGACACCATCACCATCCACATCTGCTGCATGAGCTGCGTTGTCTGTAACTCTCTTATCCGTAGTAAGTGGCTTTAGTCTATCAGGCTGTATGTTAGGATTGCCTGCTTGCTCCCAATCGACATCATGATTGAAGCTGCGTAAATTCTCATTCAAGGCAACACGTGTAGAGAACTCATTAGGGTCCCCTTTAGCCGGCGATGGGCTATCATCGCTACCTTCTTCTTCCTCTTCGTCATCATATATACCATCCATCTGTGCTTTGAACTCTTCCTCTTCACGGTCCATTTCATGATTCTTTTCCTCTTCCATAATCTCATCCACGTCCAATCCCAAATGTTCTCTCATAAGGCGCATGCGTAATTCGTGGGCAAACCTTCCCACAAGATATGGTTTTCCATCCATTGTTGACCATATCATATCAGTATCTCGAACAACTGCTGCGGTTTCTGAGTCTCTGTTACCCAACATAGATCTCTCGTTGATATTAGCAGAACCAATTAAAGCAATTCTGTCATCAACAATGATAACCTTAGCGTGAATGTACAATTGCTCTGTGACGATTATCTTCTTTGGTCCAATCCGACCCCATGTCCTCAAACTGTAGAATTGTACATACTCTTCCGGGTCAATACCTTGACTCTTTAATCTACCAAAGATAGATCCATCACCACGGCAAATACTTCGGAATTGACATTGCATAATTAAGCGTACACTTGTTCCCTCAGGTTCATCCACTGTATTCTGGAATCCAGGCATGAGTGGTATGAGGATCATACATCTCCAACTCTCATTATTTCGATAGGCGCGTATGGCACGCTCTACAATTGCATCACCAATCTTGTTGACAATCTTGACATTCATCGTCTCACAGCTTGTGACGAAAAATTGATTCTCCATGTAGACGAAATGATCAGACTCTTCAATCATCTTGCAATAAGCAGTCATGATGCTATGCTCGGTATGCATAAGACCTGAAGACCAGTCGCAAGCCGAACGTAAGATCTGCACCTCACAAGTTCCGGTAAGTCCAAGATCTTCCAACTCGGCTTGATTGTAATCAGGAGGCGGGAGGAGGAAAGGAGTTGGTCTTGTAGGTGTGCGACCTCGGAGCACATAGTTCCATCTTTGCACGAAGTGTCTAGTCAGATCTCTAGCAGGCTGACCGGCGACTTGCATAGCAACATCGTGCCAAGGCATCCGAGGAGTCTTTGACCGATCATACATTTCTGCATAAGGTTCATTGAGTTTGTAGAAATCTTGAACACGAGGGTTGGAATAATCTTTTCCGGGCCAAAGTTGACAATGATCCGCATCCTTGGGCAAATCAGAATGCTCAAAACCTGTAGGTTTATCATCCACCAAGGTGTGCTGGGGCGTATCCCAACGACCAAAGCAAAGATCAATACCTCCTACAAAAGCAACAATATGATCAACAATGCAGATCTTTTCATGATGCGCAAAGAAGAATTGATTTTTCTTGAACTGATTGGGCGATCTCTGCACAAATATGTTTGGATGTAAATCCAACATGGAGAATTTTGTGAACTCAGAATCAATAGGGATGGCAGCTTCAACGTTTCTGTAAACGATGATAAAAACCTTGACTCCTTCCCTAGCTTTCCTCTGCAGCAAACGATCAAGTCGCCATTTCTGACTGATAGCAGCAGGTCTTCGCATATATAATTGAGGACTGAGCCACCAATCATGAATATATATCACATCCTTGGCTTCATTGATTGCTCGAGAAACGTTCCACATATAATCACGACCATCCACTAGCCATTGTGCCGTAACTCCAGTCCTCACTGGTGCAAAACTGCCAAACCTATGCTCCTTTGCCCATGGTGTGTTATCCGCCATGAATCTTAACGATTCCTCGAATTGTCGGAGTTGACGTTCGTTCTTGGCCAGTAACTTTATCTTGCGCTCGGAATTCTGAATTTTAAGAGTGTGATGCTGAGGGTGCTTAGCAGATCTACCTGCTTGTGAAACTTCGTCATTCGCTTTCTCTTTTCCCTTGCCCATATCGGTTATCATTCGCCTCTTCTTCTGTATTGCGAACTTTGCATCCACCAAATACACATCATAGATGTGCATATTTTCTGGCGACTCCACACACACAAGATAACTGTGCCTGACCAAAAACCATTTTGGAGAATGACGTTGAAAAAAGTTATTGGGTGTAAGTATCCTCCTCATATCCAAACCCTTTGCCGTTTGAATAGCGAGGTAACCCTCCTTTCCATGATAGCTACCCTCAGCAGCCAAGCGGACTCCCATCGAGGATAACTCCAAAAATCTGCAAAGACGATTACTGTCCGCTCTGAATATGAGCCATCGAATCATCTCTTGAAGGTATTGTTCTATTCTCTTTCGCTGGCGTTCATTGAATATTCTCTTCTGCTTTTCGGCACTGAGAGCATTTACGCTAGTATCCAACATGGCACGGGTACTTTTCCGGGCCGCACTCATGGAAGGACGCCTCTTGACCTTCCGTTTTGGTTCCGCTTCACTTTGCGTGGCCTCGCCATGGGTTGCCTCGGCCGCGGTTTCGTCCACACGAACGTTGTCGGCTTCATCTTCATCACTCTCCCCTAGACCCCGAACACCTCTGAAATAAGGGAATGCAGACTTTGGGAATCTCGGTTGCTTTGGTCGAGCATGAGCTTCATTCCCTATGTACTTATCACTGCTTCCTTGAAGCTTATAGCGTAAATGTAAGTTAGCAAAGTCCTTGAGAGAACGATGAATTACCCATTTCATTCGGTTTGGACCGCTCCCATATTCTAGCTCAATTCGGAAAACAAGATGTCTTTCTGTGTCGTCGGCATCCTCATCGGTGGGTTTGCTATCTGTGATTTCGATCTTGAGCTGCTCAAGAAGAACCGGGATTCGTTTATTTACCGTGTTCATCTCGTTGCATCATGCTGGCAATCATAAGTACGGCTGGAGTTACAGCTCTCAATTCCGCCATGAGCTCGGCTGATTA